TTTAAATTAATGGAAGACTCAGCTTTTGCAGAATAAATGCAGCATGTACCAGATGGAGAAAAGCCTTCAATAACATGTAGTATTGGAGGTCATTTTTGGAATGAGAATAAGAGCATTACATGCATGTCCCTTTATTCATCTGGGAGAAGATACCTAATTCATGTAGAAAAACTACATTGTTTTCTTTAAACCAAAGCTGCTCAGAGCAGCTGACATAAATCTGAAAGGGATAAAGCAACCAATCACATAAAAATACACCATAGAACAGCAACAGTAGAAAACATCATGAGTCAGATGGAGGGTGAATACAAGGGTTGAAAAGGCATCCAGATTGGTGCTGGACTGAACAAATGGGCAAAACATCGATACCACTGGGAAGAGAGAAAGTAAGGGTCCATCTGACTAGTGGAAGAAAGAAGAAAGGTGCTATGACCATTATCACACCAGGCCTCTCTCATCTGGAAGCCGTCCTGAGGCTTATGCAAATGGGACGGCATACAAAAACTCCAAATAAATAAATAAATAAATAAAATCGGCATTGGTTTCCAAGTGATTTCTGGGTCCAATTCAAAGTGCTCATTTTGACTTATAAAGCTCTAAATGCCTTGGGACCTTGATTTCTCATGGAAATACCTCCTCCCCTCCCATACCTTGAGATCAGCTTCAGAGTCTACACATTCTCAGACTCAAGAGGGTAGTAACAAGAAAAAGGCCTTTTATGGTGGTGGTCCCCAGCTCCCAGGGGAAACTTGCCTTATACTCTATCTTTTCACGGTCAGACCAAGAGAGTTCTGTCCTCCCGGGCCATTTAATTTTTTTAAAACTCTTTTAAAATAACATTTATACATCTGTGTTTTATTATCCTAGTCCCTGAAATACAGTTTGGGTTCCTATACTTAATGATGTATTGGCATGCTTATTAAATTTACATTGTTGGTTTTATTTGTAGCATTATTATTGTTGTCACTATAAAACACCTAGAGAAACCTATTAACTCAATAAATCAATAAGTGAGCTTTTACTACTTTAATGCCCGTTTCTAATGGCCTTCTGCAGACTCTGGAGGGTTTTGCCTTACAGACAGATTCAGGCCTGACTCAGCAATTGGATGGCTTAATGTCCCAGACAACAGGGAAAATGCAGTGTTTTAGTAGACTGATGTTTATTCACTTTAAAATCCTTAAGGACAATGTGCCTGGAAGACCTGTTGTGTGACCAGCCAAGGAGAGCAGCAGAGGTTTAGACTAATGGGTCAGGTTTAGACCACAGGTCAGCACGGTGTTGGGGGAATTGCTAGGTAAGGGGAAAATGGATTAGACCTCCAGTGCCTGTGCCCAGTTCTAGTCTTCCACTTAACAAGCGGGTATGCGGTGACTCTACCACAGTGTGTTCAGGTCAGTCCGAAGTGCAATCTCCCACATCTAACTGGTTTTGAACCATAGAGCTCTACCTCCATTTTCAAAAGGACCACGGTATTTAAAAGGAATTCTCATTTTTAGCTACCTAAGATGCACTAAGATGTTCAGTAAATGACCTCCTCCAAGTCCCCCTTTAATCTGAAACCTTTAGAGAGGCTACAAGGAACAAAACCACTTTGGTGGTAGCCTCCCATTTGTGGAGTTTTCTCCTGAAAGAGGTTCACCTGATGCCCATTTTAATGTCCAGTTGGCACCAGGTTGAGATTCTTTTTAATCCCAGGCCTTTAAAACATAATGTTAACATCATTTTTAGTCTTATGACTATGAGCTTTTTTTTGTTTTTATTTTGCTTTACTTCCTTGGGTAATTAATTTACTTCTACTGGTACAGGCATTTGTTTTATCATTTTATGCTATATTTAGATGTTATTGTCCATTGTTGTATTTTTGTTGTTTTAATCTTGTTTTATACATTTCTTGTACAAACTGTGAGAATTGTAGTTTATAGAGTGAATAACAAATACAAGAAATAAAATAGATTAATAACAAACAAACAATTGCATAAAAGAATCACATTTTGCAGGTTGTGAGTGAAGACATTCTGTATGCTCATGGCTGGCCATTTAAGGTAAGGGGTGGGGGGTGCAGCCTGGGGTCCTGGAGGCTGTGGATGCCTCTTTAAGGGAGGGAGTGGTCAAATCACTGTGGAGCCAAGTGGTTTACAGCTGCCATCTTGATCTTCCTCTCAAGGCGTGAGAATGCCTTTCCAGAGCATTGTGCATAAGGAAGGAGGAACAGGACGGCCTCTGCGCAAACACAGTGCCTGCCCTGATTGCGATGGAGGGCTGGAGGGTGAAGGGAGATGCTTGAACAACAACAACAAAAAATGTAGTACAGCTTTTCCACTTCAATGGCCATTTTTCTCCTCAAAAGATTGAGGGAGAAACCAAGAGGATGACTGGTACTAGCTCAGTGGCGGAATGTTGATTTTTTTTTTTTTTAAGGAACAGCAACATCCCATCATGAACCCTATGGGTTTTCCGCACTACATTGTGAAAAACTTTATCTTGCAGTTTCTGTTAAGGTATTCCAGGCTAGGCCAGTCCCTCCCTCTCTTTCTCTCTCTCTCTGCTTTCATCATCTAATCAGCACTAGCAAATTAGCTGTACAACACTGTAGTTCACAGGCATTCCTTTGAGCCAACCAAACATAATCACTCCCCAAAAATAAATTAATTAATAAAAATACATCTCTACATGCCTTGTCATCCACAGGAGTCACTTCTCAAAAATTTCACTGGCAAAGCTGCCTTAAGCTGACAACAGTTCTTACACAAAAGCAAGGGTGCTTTCTGTGCTGGTAACGTGAGACTATGCCTGTATCTGTGCAGATGACGCCTGGAAACGTAAGCTAAGCACAATTCCACTTTATATATAGAAACTGTTTGTTTTATTTGCAGAGCATACCCAGAATAAATAATGAGGTAATTTTTAAGAGCATCTCAGAGTCGCTGGCTATTAATGATAACTGCAAAATGAAGCACAGTTTTCTCCTTCATCTTTGGATGACAGTCCTTTTCTGAGGATTAGCAGCCTCTTGCTAAGAGCAAGTGCTTAAGAAAAAACTCCGTAGTACTTTCTCTCTGAGGTTCTTCCTAAACACTTTGTGCAGCCTCTTCCTATACCACAGGAAGGAAACCTCACTGAATTTCATAACACATATTGAATAATAAAAGCATACAAGTGGGATCTGTAACAAATTGTTACAGCATGGAGTGGTCCTGCTCAGTGTTAGAGCCGGACAGCTGTGCCCTGTTCCAGGCTACTTCATTTCATCCCCCTGTCCCCCAGTTTCTGAGCATGCTGTTTTCACTGGAGAACAGTGGGGCAGAAGACTTACATCCAAGTAAACATGCACAGAAATGGGCTGGCAAGTGCGTGTGAGTGTATCCACCCAGTACTACCCATTTCCAGCAACAGCATATCCTTGGATGTACTTTTTCCCCAATGGGGGAATTCCTGCGACCTGCCAAGAGAGAAAAGACTAGAGCTCAGTGATCTGAGGGCAAAAGCAAGAAAATGGAGCTGTTCGGCTTCTTACTTTGACCAAAGTTAAACTTGAATCACACTCATCTTGCATTGCCTAGATTTGATGCACGTGTGTTGGGAATGCTGCCTTTTCATCTACCTTGACAATTAGGAGTAAATGTCACAATTTACTCAAGGGCAGTGGGCTAAGCATCAATTCCAGCACAGGCAGAGCAGATAAAGGTGCAGAGGCAGAAGACATGGTTGTATTCATTTTTATCAAATGCATATTCCAGTTTTGAAAATGATTACACAATTACTAGATTGAGGAGGGATTCTGTAGAGATGGCCACCCCCCATGTCTGGGGACCATCGTTTGTGTGTCCTTGCTTTAAAGGGAAGTGGAAATCCATAAACAGTTGGGAAACAATGCCAGGAGATCTGCTGGAAGTATGACAAGTTCTTTACTGGAGTATGATGGTGAGGACAAGTAGGAAGGAAACTGGCATAAAATACTGGAAGGTCGGAAGTCCTAATGACAATAACAAGCACCACTTATTTAGAGTCTGATTATTCCACAAGCCTCTGTGGAATCAGGGCAATGGGTTAGCTAGTTTTATAGTGGCTTAGCTAACCAATCTTCTCTTAGGAATATTTTTATCCCAGCTATTCTACTGCTCTTTTATAGTTAACAGGACTGTTGCACTGCTGTGGTAACACCTTTTTGTTGAAACAGAAGGCCCTGCTGGGATATCAAAAGAGGCAGCCTACAGATGCATTGGACTGCCACTCCAACACATTTGGAATTCTACAACGCTGGCAACAGAAGCTTCCTCCACTACCCCCCACCTGTCCCCACCCCCTTTTAAAAGGTTGTCTATTTTGGAACCGAAAGAGCATAATTCCTTTTGATGGCAAAGCTGGTCTATATTTAAATAGACCTTCCTTCAGACCTGTCAAGATTTTTCCTTTTGGATTCAGAAATGTGGACGGCTGTAGCACAATGCTTTTCCTGTTCCCCTTTTTCTCTGGCCTTTCTGATGTGCCAGCTACTATTCTTAGGTGACATCATCCTGTCCATTTGTCATGCATCCATCCCTGTGGAGATGGGAAGAAAGAGGGAGCAGTATTAGCAGCTCTTGTTTAAGCCTGACCTTCACAAGGCAATGCAAATTATTTATTATGCAATCTTATGCATGTCTATTGAGAAGTCCAATTGAATTCAATAGTACATACTCTCAGGTAAGTGGGTTGCAGCTGACTTACGCTTGAGAGTCAATGCCGCTGAACTCAATGGGACTTAGCTTCTCACCAGACAAGGATTGAATTGCACTACTAGCCTCTTAGCAGAACATGACTGTTCCCTTGTGCCAGACTGACCACAGTGAAATGCAAAACATAGCTGTGCAGGAAATTATAGTATTCATTTCTCATTTCAAATTTTCCTCACTTGTATTTTTCAGAAACATGTTTCCACTCATTTTCTCTGAAAAGCCATATAGGAAAAAAGGACAGAAAATTAACTTTCCTACAGACACAAACTGGAGCATAGTAAGTGAAAATTCCTTTAAAATTCCTTTAATACAAGTATTTAAAGCATCCTTTTGAACAAGGAGAACTCTTCATGTTTGTAGGGTACTGGAAAATGTAGAAATACTAGATTATTACTGCATAATTTTAAAAATCCACAGAAATACCCAGCTAATAATATGTTCAAGCTGTAGCAGAATAGCTTTTGACTTCCAAGTTTACATTTTTGCTTGGTTTCTACAAAAGCCAAAATATTTGACAGATAAGTAATGTTTTGAATTAAAAAAAAATTGTCTGCCTTAAGAGTCTGCTTCAGTAGATCCAAGAATTAAATATTTAATAACAGGCTCATAGGCAATAGCTGACTTTTTGTATACTGGTTTGTATGCAAAACCCCCAAGATAATTCAGGAAGCTCCATGCTAAGTGGAACTGCAATTTGTGCAGTTTTCCAGGAAGTCCATCTCCAGTCAAAATATTAAATGACCTGCATGATGCTTCTCACCCACATTCTGAGAGGTTAGGGTTCTATCTATATTAGTCAACTATCTGAAGTCATCCTCTAGAGCAGCCTAGCCCAACTCCAATTTAATGATGAAGAACCGATCAAAAGGGGGCACAGTGGCCTTGAAGAAGGGGGCACAGTGGCTCATAAACGGTTAGCCTCTAGATAGCAGACTAACCAGGCATGCAGATCACCCAGTCGTAGTTTTCACTGCTGTAGTAACACGTGCTGGATTTATATTTAAAATAGTTTCCACATCTATACACGCAAGTCAGCATATCCCTATTTTATGTAAATTAATGCCCTCTTCTGTAGTGATGCACTTCCTTTTTTTCAGTCACCTCCTAGAAACAGTGCACCACTACAAATCTTTCCAGCCTGAAGGGCAGCCTCAGAGGCCCTTCTCTCTGTTGTATGATAGGGTTAGCAATAAGCAGGCGCAGTGGCAACTGCATCACTGTTGATTCTTTCCCTGAGATCTGCCTCAATGTGTCCTGGCCTTTAGATGCTTCCCTTAGCTCAGGGGCAGGCAACCATTTTGGGTGCTGGGATGGCACTAGGGACCCCACCCGCAGGCACGGGGGAAGCCAATTCTCTTCCGCTAAAGGACATTTTAGTGGGCATCCCTGCTCCTGTGTCAATGTTACCGTGGTGGAAGCAGCAGTCCTGGTGTCAGGATTAGGGGACCTGCAAGGGCCTGCGGAACTAGGAACCCTTTTGACAGTGCTTGCAGAGAACAGCAGAGGAGCGGTGATGCCGTGCGACTGCAGACTGGCGTCAACGGCCTCGCTGCACTGCCGCTCTTTGCCGCAGCAACACGAACTGCCCTGCGACGTCTTGGTGTTCTGGCTCCCTGCGTCAACTGCATCCTGGCCCTTGCCTCCTGCCCAGCTCCACCTGCTCCTGTTTCCATCCTTACCTCCAACCCGATTCTGATTCCCAGGTACCTTCATGCATCTTCTCTGACTTCGCCTTGCTCGAGTCTGCCTGTCTCCCTGGAAATTGACCTTTCCATTGACCTGTGGATGGTGCTCCTGGGCTGGGCCTTTGGATTCTGCTCTTTTGGACTGTGTTTGCTTGGATCTTTCATCTCCCTGGCTTAAATGGGAAGATGAAAATAGCATGCCTCTTGCTTCTGGCCCACCAAATCTGTTGTAGGACTCTACTAACCCTAACCCTGGTCCCGACATTCACCTTATTTGGCCCGCCACCCACATCACAGGCTTATACCTGGTTGCTGTGGGATCCCTGCATGTAAGTAGAAGCGTGTTCCCACAGGCTTTGCTTCTCAGATGCCATCTCCATCAGTAGCACGTAGACAACACCACCAATGGCTGTGAGGTGGCAGGTCCCCTCCCAGCAGCCCCAACCAGCATCACAACATGTGTGCCATTAGCAGTTGTGCATGGAGTCATGACAATTAGTGTGGACGGGGGGAAACTGGAAGCAGTGAGGGCGAGCATGTGGGCCACACTGCCTGAACCTGGAAGCTGCAGGTTGTACACCCCCAGTTTAGGATTTCCTGGAATGTTTATATGCTCGCCATTGGATATTCAGTGGTACCTTGTACTTCGGATTTGTTTCAAGAGGCTGTTCAAACTCTGAATCGCTTGAAATCCAAATCAATTTTCCCCTTTAAAAATGATGGAAAGTGAATTAATCCGTTCCCAGACCCTAAACAATACCAGTTTCAATAAACTTAAAACAGCAAACATGCATAATTTAAGGTAAAAGTAACACAATGACATGCAGAATTAATTAAAACTTGAAAACATACAACACAAAACAATCTTACAATGGCCATGCCAGTAATAGAACCAAAAAAATAATGTGAAAAAAGCACTGAAAATGCACAAGCATTACATAAGAGAAGTTTCACAGTGAGAGATGACTTGCGCACAACCAGTAACTTTTATGCACCAACCACATTTTTTCACTGTGTGTGCAGTTTAAACATAGAAGCATTGTTTGCAGTTTGGAGTGATTTTATCTCAACTTTAGCCTTTGAACTCTGGATAGTTTGAAGTTAGAGTTGTTTGAACTACAAGGCACCACTGCATGTTTAAGTTTTTGGTATTATTTCTTACCTTTTTATTGTTTTTTTAAATTACCAATTGTTATCTGCCTTGTGAGGACTTTGCCCTGAAAAGCACAGTAAAAAGTTTAAAATAAATTACTAGTGATACAGGCTACATTATTAGCATTGGTTGTTCTGCCATGCTTTCCGTGCTCTGGGATGCCCTGAGTTCTTTTGGGCACAAAACATCAAGCCATACATGGTATGAATTCATGACCTTTTGAAGTCCCTCGAGCCAATGGTGGCAGCACTGTTTGACTTTTTTATTATTATTATTATTATTATTATTATTATTATTATTATTATTATTATTATTATTAAAACATTTTTATGCCGCCCCATTCGCCGAAGCCTCGGGGCGGCTTACAACAATAAATTAATGCACTGTAACCATGCAAAGGTGACCTGGTACCAGGCAGTGAGCTCTCCTCTCACTTCCTTCAGGCAACCTTGGACTGCAGGATGCAGCTATTAAATTTAAGATTCATTGCAGCACTTGCCTGTTATGTAAGTTCCAAAATAATTTAAGAAGTGGAAGGAAAAAAATCTTCCCTTGTGCTAAATAAAGCATTGGGGGGGGGGGTAAAAACAGCATGTGGGTGAAAAAAGTATTAGCCATGAATTTATTCACTGATTTTACACCTGACTTATCAAATAATTCTAGAAAAAAATTCTAGAAAAAACAAAACTCCCAAAGCTTCACAGTTCTTTTCAGTGTCAATTGTTGCATCTTGGAAAAGGATATTGCAAGTGGGGATAAAACAGACTTGGAAAAAACATTAAGATACACAAACCCCTGCATGTAGAAAGCTAGCACATCAAGGAGAAGGCCATCCTTAATTTTTACCTGCTAGTTTTCCACAGGGAGGAGCTTCTGACATGGGAGAACATTCAAACATATTAACCTGCATTCCAAACTGGTGCAGCTCCAGGAGAGTCATAGCAAACAGCTTGTCCGAATCCTTAGAGCAGCGCCAAGGTAGAGCAGCAGTTACTCAAGGCACTCCAGTATGACGCCCCTCCAGGGCCTAACATCACCTTTTGGCTTTCCTTTGAGAAACAGCTTCCGTAAACTGTAAATGGATGAAATCATAGAGTTGCTTAGCATTGGCAGAGTTGCCCAGAAGTTCAGTCAACTTGTCCTGAGAAAGGCTGACGAGTTCTGCAATGCTCTTAACACTGTTCATTACAGCCCTGAAGTTTTTGGCATTCACACCGGGCATTTTTAATAGGAAGTCTTGGGGGCCGGGGTTGTACTTGTCCGATTCAGGAAGGATTTCTGAATCCGCCGTGATCGCCATGGCTGCGGCTGCATCTGGCTGAGCTCTGTTCTGCTTCAGTTCCTCAAACAATTCGGCAGTGGCGTGGGGAGACGGGCACCACAGCAGCCGAAGCCGGGGGAAATGAAGGGTCAGAAGGGCGAGCTTGGACGTAATGTCATTGCTGGAGATCTCCTGATGGAGGGAAGCCCGAGGAATGAGCGAGAAGGATTTGCTGGGGTCAAACTCGATCAGGAGGATGGGCCGCTTATAGTACCGGCTCATGGAGACACACTGTGCGTAAAGCCTGCCATTGTTCAGGGAGCCAATCAGATCACTGATGCTCTTCCGTTCCACACAAATGTCAGGTGTGAGGATGTAGTCACCCACTTCCAAGGTCACCGGTTGTATGTCGATGCCCCGACGATGAATCAAAGACGGAAGTTCACTACGAAATTCACGCATGTCTACAACGATGCTTTGCTGCACCACTTTCTGCTCCTGGCCACCTGATAAGAAGTTGTGAGATTGTTGGGGGACAGTAGAAATCAATTCAGCAAGCTTCCAGGTAAACAGGTGGCAAGGTTGGACTCAGATGGGTGAAGCTAAATCCTCTGTCGGCCAGAAGGCTAACCTACACTGATGCTATTCCTGAGGACTGAACAGTGTCACCGAGGTCTTCGCATGAAGTAAGGAACTTCTGTGCATATCTACATTCCATGGGCTGAGGTTTTGCAAGGCGTTTGCATGGTAGGAAGGGCCCACGGCTCGCAGTCCAGCATTTGCTTTGCCTGAGGAAGGCTGGCATTTTATCACGGACATCTCTACTTAAAGAACAAGGAGCAACACTAGAGCAGGGAAAGCATCCCCTGACCAGAGCACTTGTGCTTCCACGGGTATCTAGTAGGCCAGTGTGAAACGGGCATGCTGGACTCTCAACCTGATCTATAGCACAAGCTTGTTGTGAGTATAAAATCTGGCAGGGGGAAAAAATCATGCCTGTTTTTTTTTCAACTTCTTGGAGGAACAACGGGATAAGAAGGTTATAAACAACAAGAAGCCTGCTTTTAATCTGCCTGGCTCATTAGTTGGCTGTTACCACTCATTCACCATCTTGTAAGTTACCTTAATGGGAAGATGAAACAGAAATATTTAAAACTGCACAAAGGGAAATGCTCTTCTCTAGGACTTCCGGTGATTCTACCTCATCACCATTTCACTCGTAGGATCAATCAAGCCAATGGATGCAAGCAACTCTTCAAAGGAGTAGTTCCTGCACCAACAGGCAGGGGAAGCTGCATGATACCAGCACACGCTCGTGGTGTGTCCAGCCCAGGGCTGCCTGGTCTGACCGGCCCTGCTTTCCCCTGCCCAAAGCAGATGAGGACCTTTCCTATCCTCAGCTCCGCATTCCTTGTGCCTTATCACTGAGCTACAGCCCATGTCCAAGGGAGAACGGGCCAAGCACGTAGTTATTATGCCAAAGCTCTGGGCAAATCCAATGCAAGGTGGATTATGAATGAAAAGATCCAGTCCCAAGTTCTCAGCAACAAACCTGCTTTGCGGGTGTCCGTGGGCACAGCAGCTGAAGCCACATCTCTGACGAGATCCAAGTTAGTTTGGTTTCTTCCATCTCGTTCTTCAGGAATCACCATACTGGCCTTCTCTCTGGGAATGGGAGGCAGGAGAAAGTGATCATCAATGTGCCGGTTTGAACTCCCTTCCTTCTAACTAAACACCAGGTTGGTGTGCAAGCTGTGAAATGTCCTACCCTAGAGCTGGAGAAGCAGCTACAGCAGCCCTAGGCAAGTCGGTGCCATTTAGCCATGTTGGACTAGAAGCTCCATCATCCCTAGCCAGCAGGGCCTTGGCTGTTGGCTGGGAATTATGGAACTTGTAGACCAACATGGCCAGTGGGCAACGGTTTGGGGATTGGGCTATAGTTGTGCTTGGAACTGACACCACCTTCCGCTCCCCATGAAAGCTGAGAAACTAAGAATTAATTCACTTTAATTTATATCACATACTTCTTCTGTGATGTAACTCCAGGCACCAGCATAGATGGGGGAGCTTTCCTAGGTGGTCTCCCCTCCAGGCAGGCAAATTCATAGAGGATATGGTTTCCCTGATGACTATAGATCATGTGCTACCTCCAGATTGCAAATGACCAGTGACTGGGGAATGACCATGGGAGAAAGCTATTGAACCGGCAGAGCTTTTGTTACATGATGAAAAGGCACTGTGATGTAGCGGGTCAAGTGCTGAGCTAGCACCGAGGAGAACAAGATTCAAATCACCACTTGACCATAAGCATCTTATATCACCTCCTGTTATAAGACTGTTATGGGCATAAAACAGGGAAAGAAAGAAACATGTATACGCCACCCTGAGTTCTTTGCAGGAATAAATACGTAAAATTTTGTCCAGATTTGGATCTGCTTAATTTTAGCAAGGTAGTGGCTTCCAGGTCTACATATCCAGTCTGGAAACAGCTACGGCTATACTATGTTCTGCACTATTTCAAGCTGGTGGGATGAAGACTGCCATTTTGGAGAGAAGTCTCTTAGGAAAAAATGTTCTGCCCCAGTCCACTCCCAACTGTACTCGTTTCTAGGGCTCTGTGCTCAGTTGTTCTTTGCTTTTGGGTATAAATAAACCGTTCCTCTTTACAAGTGCTGTATTTTTAATTATAGCATTCTGTGACCATTCTCCATGGTATTCAGCTTCTTACATAAGTTTGCTACCTTGGAAACACACGAGGGGGTGGGAGGGAGGGAAGACGCTGAGAGAGGAGGAATGACAGACACCAGGCTTCAGATCTGCATAGCAACAAGGAGATGCGCGATGGGGTTTCCCAGCCCTTCAAATGGCTGGAAATCTTTTTGGAAATGTGGATGCTCTAGGAGTCCGTTGGTGAGAATCGCCAGTACAATTTTGCCAAGCCTGAAGAGGAGGAAGGCTGTGCTGCAGCACATTATTTGCTGTCACAGAACTAGCATCAGCGCTCAGCATCTTTGTGCACAGGCGCTGCGGCTTTAACATCAGGCCTCGCTTTAATTTTGCTCTCTGGCCCAGCAGCCTGAGCAGTACTGGCTGTCTGGGGCTAGCCTGTCTTTTCCTTTCCCCACAAAGCCTCAGCGTGATGGAATAGGTTGGGGCACTGTGAGAATGTAAATGGCAGCTATGCCCGGTGCTGCACGTTACCGAATGAGTTTCTCAAAAGCTTCTTTTTCTTTCCTTAGTGTCGTAAGGTAACGCTGTTCTTCTGCTGAACCTCCATAGATAAGGAAATAGACCCTGCAAGGGAAAAGACACAGATCTTGTCCAAACCCAGAAGACTGTGCATCCCAGAATAGCTGCTGCTTGGCCATTTTTCTGTTCTTGACCAAGGTGATGTAGCTGTACCTTTTTGAAAATCACAGCCCTCTCCATCTGGCTGTTTAAAAATCTGCCCCCAGCCCATAAAAAGAGTATTCTCTATTAATGAGGCCTGGATTTTAAAAACATTTGCCTTCAAACAGAGGCGGTGATTGTCTTTTAAAGACATATTAGGTCCATTTGACTGACTGAGATTGAACTGATTAATCGGTTGGACATGACTTCGCAACTAACAACAACAAGGCATAGTTTATAGGCATAGACATAGATTGATTCCACAATCTGCTGAGCAAGGTAAAAAGCAACTACACAGAAAAGCAAATGCTTTGTTTGAGTGCACCATGACAAGTCATGCAGCTAGTCCTTGCTGAGGCAGTTAAGTAACCCCTTGTCTGGACATGCCATTTCAGACTGCACAAGGGGGCTCACACATCACCGAGCCCTCCTGTACACCCTCTAAAAATGCCCTCAACATAGAAATCTACCTAGCATGTCATGCAGAAGGCCAGGCTAGGCAAGGACCCTTCTCCCAGGTGTGCCAGCTGGGGAGGAACACAGCTGAGTGGCAGAGCACTCAGTCGCTTCCGTCCCCAGCGGAAAGACGAATCACGGGAGTCCAGCATCGCGACTCAGGCCTGTAGTCCACCCAGCCCAGTATTATTGAGACAGACAGGCAGCAGCTCCGCAGGGATTCGGACAGACATTTTTCCTGGCCCACCTGGACATCTCAGGGTTAAACTGAGGACTGCTCCATTCAGAGCACATGCTCTGGCATGGAGCTGCACTCTCTCCTCAGGTCACTGCCCCTTAGAGAGTAGGCGGCAGGAAAGGTTTCTAGAGACTCGGGCAGAATAGACAGCATTGGAGTAGTGTGAATCTATACAGCCAGCTTCTTCTGCGGCTGATGTGTCGTTGAAGGGAACTGGCAGGGTCATGCCTACCATCAGGCAGAGTGGACTTGAGTCAGGGCTGTACCAGCTGTGATCTTTCAGGTGTCTTATCCTGCGGCTCCCAAGGTCCTTCATCCTTGGCTCCGCCAGACAGAGCAGATGAGGACTGTAAGCCAAAACAGCTGGGGGAGGGGGCAAAGCCACACAGCCACACTTCACACACACTGCATTAAGCAGCCTGGGCACACACAGCGCTGACCGTGTCTTGTGGGGTGCTCCCCACTCAAGCCGAGCATACCTCAAAGGCTTCCCAGGCCTGCTGGCCTTGTAAATTTCCAGCTGACGAACAAAAGTCAGCTCCGCATCATACAGCACCACGTATCGTGGCTCCACTTCCTGCAAGACCCGCGTGAGGGCGTAAGGATCCCCGCAGCCGTTTAGTGGATGGATAGCTGTCAGCGGCTCCTTTAAGATCCCGTAATAGGCATCTGGGAGAGACGGGTTCAGCTGGAGGTCCTCAGGCCTGGTTTCAGTACCGCTCTCTTGGCCACTGCTCAACCCCTCCGCGTCCTCTTGCTCCTCTGCGATATCCTCCTGCTCCTCTTTGGCCAGCATTTGGGTCAGGGTCAGCTCTGGCTTCTTCCTCTTCTTACGTGGCTTGGCGGACTCCGTTTTGGCCCTTTTGGCCTGAGGTTCTCGGGCACTGCTGCCCTGGCCCTTGGCTGCTTGCCTGTCCCTCTGGCAGGGTGCTCCGGATTCCTTGGACTTCTCAAAGATTTTGTTGTAAAGCCTCAGTAAAAAAGCTTCAGCCCCGGTGGTGACGTACTCCTTGAGCTGGGCACAAGTGCGGTCGTCACTGGCACAAATGAGCACTCGCCCTGCAATCCAGAAAGAGGTGCTAGGCTTAAAGTACAAAGGACACCCAAGGGTGTCCCAGAAGTAGCCAAAAATAAAGCCGGGACAGACAAGGACATGGGGGCAGCGCATCCACACTCCCTTACAGGGTTCCAGCCAGCCTGGGACAAGAAAGAGCCTTTGAGGCCAAGCGGGTGGCAGGAAAACAGAGCTTCTCTCTTCCACTGTATTGCTGGAAAGAGGATTTTGACAGATCAGTATGAAGAGTAGCACGAGTGATGGACTTCCCTTTTTGGAGGCCTTTAAGTAGTCTGGAAAACCACCTATCGGGGATATTTCCTGTATTAGCAGGGCATTAGACTAGGTGACCTTTGAGATCCTTTCCATTTCTATGGGGGATGCTATAATGGGGGGAGCCGGTTCTAAAGAATGGGAAAGGAAAAGGGCATCTTCTTTCCTCCCAGCCCTCTTGAATCCTTTCCTGCCCTGTGTAACAAGTAGAGGGGAGGTTTTTGATCAACCCAATTCAGGAGTGGGAGAATTCAGGCTTTGAGGATCTCTTTTGCTTTTGACTAGATCCTTGAGGTGCACCCATCAGAGCCAGGAGAACAACAGTGACTCAGGCAGACAGATGCTACAAATTAAGGAACGGCATGCTTTTATGCTCCATAACTGGAAATCGGTACCAGAATCCGGCTCGCAAGTCCTTTTGTGCACTCCTGGTTCCCCCGCAAGCATTCCCACTTAGCCAAGCTGTTCCTTTTGTGAGGCAAATCGGAGCCGGGAACCATGGATGATCTACCTCAAATCAATCAGACACCTTCCAGGAGATCCTGACTCGACTTTCTGCTACCATTCACTATAGTCTTCAGCAAGTGAATGCTCCACCCAAGTTGACTCCGTCCACACCTGAATGGACACTTTTAATATTCGAGGCTTGAACATCCATCATGCCCAGATGGTGCTCCAGCTGATGTTGCTTCTACCTCCTGCAACTTGCTGAAACTGGCAAAACTGGCAGGGAGAAGAAGCAGGTCTTTGGTTGTGCTCACACCCAACTCCATAACTTTGTGCAAAACTTCATGATTAAGCATCATGCACTTAAGTTTGCGTTCTTCCTTGTTCCTCTCCATCTCTTTTTCCTTAATGTCATGTCTTCTAGAGAGAAGCCAGAGGGGTTAAGGACTGTCTTATTACTGGTATTTTAAGCTGCTCTGAGAACCTATTTTTGTTTGAAGACCTAAGAAAAAAGGCTCTATGGCTGTTCCTCAACATCCCACACATTAACTTGTTAGGCAGTTTTGGGGTATGTGTGTAAACTTTCTTGGGTATTTAATAAAGCCACTTTCCAGAACTTATAATAAAATACTAAAGAACCACTTACATAGGTTACTGTAGGAAATGTGTGTGTGGAGGAGGGGTAAGAAGATGGGTTTATGGTCCCTACATCTTCACAAAACAGTAGGTTCTAGAAGCACATGGCACACTAGAAATTCTGGGCAACCACGTGTGCTTTCTGTGGCTGCCCCATTCATCTATAATGAGAAAGAGAGAATGTGTGTATCTGAAAAGCCGCAAGACAGCAAGGAGAAAATGTTTCTCTGCCTCCAGATTGCATGCTTATTGTCTGAAGCACTCTTCTTCTCCAGCTACACTCAAAGTGGTAAAAGGCAGTGTGGGAAGAGGGCAAGGTTTTGCTCTCATCACTCCTAAGTTCTGTTCTACATAAGAACATTAGCCCTGCATGTTTGGGGCACTGTATTAACATTAATTTTTATTGGAATCTGTGTTTAATACTGAGCAGATAACAGGAGATAGTAGTATGTATGTACGTACGTACGTATTTATGTATAGTTTTTCTATGCCGTCCATTACTGAAAAAAGTCTCTGGAACAAAAAAACCAAGAAAACAAAAACCATAACAGCTCCATAACAATATTCTTCCAGTGAGTATCTCTTAGGATACTCACTTTTTAAAAGATTGTGTGGAAAAGGTGGATGTGGCAATTAATCTTTTAACCATAGCAAAACATGTTCATAGCTTCATTTGGAAAAAAAGAGTATTACCTCTGTTTTTTTCAGTGCCTGGTATGCGGCAATAATGATGAAATTGGCTCATCGTGTAAGTGCTACAGAAGAACACTTGCTTGATGAGAGATTAATTGAAAGATGGAACATCTTTGTCACGGTTTGGAACAATAAGCTTAGAAATAATGTTTATCTGTATTGTTTCCCCTGATCTGATCCTGTTGCTGTTGCTGAAAGATATGTAGAGCCTGCCCTCTGCTACGCTGCAGGATCATCACAGAGCTGGAAAGGAACTCCAAGGTCATCTTACTCTAACCTGCTGCCAGCACGGGCGATTCTGTTGCTGCAGCATCCCTGCTAGGGGCCCATCCAAGCCTTGCTTAAAGCCCGCCAAAAATGGAGGAGCCACCCCTTTGCAAGGCTTTGAAACAGCTCTCGCTGACACGACACTTCTCCTAGGATTTTGTCAAAATCTTCTTTCCAGCGGAAGAAAAACTTTATGCCAATTATTAATTTTATCTTAAGTGATGGAATAAAGGCTAAAGAAAAGTTAAGGCCAAGTTTTCATTTTGTATATGAATGAGGAAGACAAATTCATCGAATATACCCGGCTCTGAGCCCCTGCCTCTCTCACCTGGCCCACCCAACGCTTCGCTATTGGCATTTTCCATTTCAATCTCCTTCAGCACTTCTGTAAGAGCCTCCCACTTCGGGTTGCTTTCCAGGACCAATTCCCTTTTCTGCTCTGGAAAGACAGGAAAGGCAGAAAAAAGAAAAATCATACCACCTTTCTTGGATGGATGAAAGGTAGGCTGACAACTATTGAACACAGACAAATGTAGAGCACATGTATCACAGAGTGGCTTGTGGTTCTGAACCCAAGCCACCACGTAGCCTTCCAAACATACTACAGGTAGATTTTGTGTGGAGAGCTGAACCATCAAGCATTGCCCTGGGATTTACACTCTGCCACCAAGTGATATCCACCTCTCCTTAATGCCATTATGCAAAATCTTTAGCCAAAGCCATGCTTTGCTGAAACCACATGATTTCTGATTCTAGTTTGTGGGCCAGTCATAAACCATGGTTTGTCATTCAGACATTTCCTAAAACTTAACTCATTGCTAAAGTGTCCTTAATCATGGTTTGATGTGATAGCTCTGAGTAGTGCTTCATTAACGGGGACCAGCAGGTACTCTCGTATAATGCCAGTTCTATACCATTTACATGGGCTGCCAATTGAAGTCTGGGCCCAATTTAAGGCGCTGATAATGACCTATACAACCCTAAATGGCTTGGGTCCTGGATACCTAAAGGAGCACCTTCTTCCCTATGTGCCCGCCCGCCCCTTGAGGTCTGAGGCAGAGGTCCTTCTCCAGGAGCCCTCCTTGAGGGAGTTACCTGGAGAAGGGCCTTTTCGGCGGTGGCACCCCAACTCTGGAATTTGTTCCCCAGGGAGGTTTGGGTGCTGTTGCTTTATTCTTTTTGGCATGAGGCGAAAACTTTTTTATTTTCCCAGCATTTTAATGTTTAACTGGTTTTCTGAGTTTTATTATTGAGGCTGGATGCAGTACCTTGTTTTGTTTCATATGTTTGGGTTTTTTTCTTTTCTTTTTCTTGTAAGCCATCCCGAGACACTTACAGCCTTCAAATCTAACTTACTATAAGCTATTCAGGATGTGAGGTTATTTATGGAATGTTTCCACAGAATTTACAGTAGTTAGCAATTATGAGAATTTTATGAATTGCTCATGTAGAACTCAGCTTCAGAGTCTTTCCATTTTCTCTTCCGTGGAGAACATGTACTGACAATGTAATAATGTAGCAGGTGGTCAGTCCATCATGTACACGGACAGCCGGATATCAATGACCCAAACACAGGAAAAGTCATACGCATTCTTCTGATATACAGCAAAAGATGTTTGTCATACCTTTTTCTACCTTTTCATCTGCTTTTTCAGAAGTGGGGTTTTTTTTACTTGCTTTGTCATCTGACAGGCGATAAACTCTAGCCCGAGCATTTAGGAACATTGATGTACTAGAATCAAGAAAAATCCAACCTAGGAGATGGAAAAAGAGCAAAAAAGAAAAGCGAAAAAGATTCATTGGTGTGATTGCAAATACCTCCTACTTAAGTCCCTTTCCTTCCGTCCAATCTTCCCTCTTGAAGCAGTTGCTATCATTTTAAATATACTGAATTAAAACTGATTAAAGCACATAAGTAACAGAATCATTCTGAAGAACAAAAGCAATTAACTTCTTGGTTAATTGAACAGTGCATGCAAGTCCTGTGTTATCTATTTCCTGAATTTGTACATTGCTAAATCTCTAGACAGACTGTGGAACAGCAAAGCTAAAACAGATAAAAGAACAAGCCAATGCATTAACACCAAGTGACATGAGAACCATAGCTTGTCAGCAAGAAAGGCTTCCTGGAACCAAGACGTTTTCTGCAGGCATCGAAAACAGCACCATGCTGGGGCCTGCCTGACCTCCTGGGGCAGGGGATTCCGTCAGAACGGAGCATGACACGGAGGGCTCTTCTCTTGAAGGACTCCAGGCAGACTGCAGGCCTATGTGGAACCACCGGGATATCCCCCAGTGCCCTAAGGCATCGGGCAGGCTGGCAAAGGAAGAGCTGCGCCTCAGAAATCCTGCTCCCAAGATGCTAAGGGCCTTGTGCACTAGTAGCAGCCCCTTAACCTGGCCCAAGAGTGAACAGGAAGACAGTGCAGTGCCTTCAAGGCTCTCCTTTAGATGGCACATCCCCTTCCTCTGTCACAGTGACAAGACACGCCTCTCAGGCAGACCCAGCCACTTCAAAAATGCACACAAAAATGAGGATTTTTGGAAACGAATGGACAATAGCTGCTTTGTTTATTTACAAATTGCCCTTGAATAATGAGCATGCTTGCAAAGGAGCATACAAAAATGGGGGCATTTTTAAAACGCACTGTGGCGTTTTAAAATGCCAACAAAAATCTGAATGAATTGTTCTGCAGATGAAAAAAAAAATCACATTCCAATGCAGAAAAGAGAAACCACCGAATTACAAGTGGAAAAAATGAGAACCAGAGCAAACTCAGCTCTGCAGATTTGTCTACGTGTATTCCTCTGCTGGCTAAGTTATTCTTATGTAACTGACCTAAGAAGAAACAGCAAGTCAGGTTTTTGGTGTGAACGCTGCATCGTTTCAAGAAACAGAAGTTAAGTGGGAGGCTCAAGACACTTCACTGTCATTCAATCCTACAGCCCTTATGGCTGGTTGAAAACATTTGGGAGTGTTTGCATGATGCTGTTATTGTTTTTAAATTAGAACTTCACTCTTTACAGCCCTGCCAATTCAATTTTTAAAATGCTACGCGGTTCATACCTGAATTCTGACCAAAGGCTTTTTCTGATGCTCTTAAAGACTCCAAAAGGTTGAGGAAAGTGACGCAGTCATATTGAGTCAAGTACTGCAGCAAAGTACGGAGGATCTTCAAGTCTTGGACCAAGAATTTTGTTTTCGCTCCAAGCTGGTGCCAAAGAGGATCCAGATAGTGACGAATTGTCTAGAAATACAACATTGGAAAGAACTGCTAGCAGGCGCTGTGAGAATGTGGACTCAAACTTTGGTAGCCTTCCTGAGCTCTAGCAGGTTTCGAGACCCAAATCCTGGACGGCGTGTTTTGAGAAGTATTGTTCTCATGAACGCAACGGAATGATCGCAATCTTATTTGTCACATTTGCTTCCCACCCTGCAGAGCATTGCCCAGAGCAGCCATGCGGGACCACAGAAGGGTCTCTGAGGAAGAGAGGGCTGCGCAGGGAGTACGAGAAAGCGGCTGGATCAAATGCTGGCTCACTTGACCCTCACCGAGAACTTTCTGTTCGTTCTTCCTTCCCCCGCATCTCACTACCCCACCTCTGTCATTCATACCTGCACCCGTTACTTCATTGGCCAATGAAGAGTTCTGATGAATGGAGAAACAACCCTGATGCTTTCAAAGGAAACAATCCGTGCCCATTAACACGTGAGCACGCTCTTCTCATTGCTGCCAATGCACAAGGCGCCTGGGGCAGATGAGCTTCGCACAAGCATCTGCGAGCTGACTGAGAAGTCTCCAGTCACGACTCCCTGTGGCCAGGCTGAGGCGGCTCTCTCCAGCATCTCTGATGCACGCCGTTCGGGTGCACGGGGCTCGGCGTTTGGAGGTGCCTCTCAGGCGGCGGTATCCGCCTGACAGAGCACTCAGTCAGCTGACTACCAAGAACCAATCCCTGCCCACTGGGCCCTCGAACGTGGTGGTCTCCAGGCCTGCTCGACAAGACAAGCAGCTCCACTCTGCTGTGCAGGACCTGCCCTACTTCTGGCTTACCTTCCCCAGCTGCTGCCTTGCCCAGAGCAGACCGTCTGACAACCAATTCCTCCCTCCCCCCAAACCTGCTCAGCACGTGATCCGTGCTCAGGCCTGACCACATTCGAGCACCGCACAGCTCTGCCCCCCTTTCCTTACCCTGCACTGTTCCCATCCTTGTCCAAGTGGCTCCTCTGCAGCGATGACAAAATGGGTGCCCAGCTTCCCTCGGCCTCGGCCATTTACAGCCATGCCTGGTTCCACTGGGATCACCCCCCTCCCACCCCCAGCTTCCCGGTTCATTACACTAAGCCTGTTTACTGCAAATATATGAATATATATATATATATGTATGTATGTATCCACAAGGAACAATTGCAAGAATCTTTTGATCCTGGCACATGATGACCAAACAAATGAAGGTTTATTTCATTGTTAACAAGCTTATGATAAATGTGCCAGAGACTTGGAGAACTAATAAAACATTATTACATGTAAAAGCATAGCTCAACTATTTACAGATGTCTGAGTTCTCCATTTAAAAAATAGTAACAATAATAGTACAGACTTCCCTCTCCTAAACAAAACACAGCTGGCGCGGGGGGGGGGGGGCAGGGGGATTCAATCAGAAAACTTCTGCTGGGTTGTGCCTTGGATGCTTAAGAGCCTTTGCCAAAAAATAAAAATAAAAAAGGGCTGTGCTTTCTTGTTCCAAAAAGAAAAGAAAAAAGAAAGGACACCGAACAGATGCACAACCTGGAGAGTGGATCCACAGATGGATGGAGACAAGAGGCGCTTTCACCAGGACGCGTAACTGCTGCAGTGCCACCTTCCCTGCAAGGAACCCGAGCTGGCGCATGCCGCACCACCCTCCTAATTAAGTTCTACTTGTGGGCTTCCTGGGGCACCTGATTACCCAGCCTGGAAGCCCAGAAGTGGTCCACCCCCCCCCCCCGTGGTCTGATTTAGCACAGGCAGCCGCCCTGGAACACCAGTGGGGGGGGGGGCAATAAAGGAGCCAGCCTTCCTGTTCTGCCGGTGAACTTCCCACCTGCTGTGCAGAACCAGATGCTGGAACAAGGACGCCTGCGCTGACCTATTACATTTATATCCCACCTTTCTGGCATCACGGAACTCGTGGTGGCTACATGCAGTTCCTATCCAATCACCAGCCAGGCCCAGGACTGCATCATTTCAGCAATGCAGCTGCCTCACGTGCCTTCAGACCATGCTCTGGGATATCTGATCCAGCAGCAGTCCAGTTATGTCCCTACTATTTAATTTTTTTAAAAAGCTGTCCATTACTAAAAAAAAGTCTCTGGATGGCTCACAAGGGAAAAAACCATAACAGCAACAACACACAGCACACTACATCTACAAATAGTGATAAAAGCAAGGATAAAACCAATTAATTGTTAAAATACTAGGAAAATAAGGTTTTCGCCATGGCTAATAGCCGCCATGTTCTAGAATGGCATACTTCCATGTCAAGAGTAGTGTACTTCCAGCCACCTCAAGCTGGAGATTTACAGCAGGAGAGGTCAAATTAGAACCACCAAAAGGTCCACTTCGCCCAGCACTCCGTACACATGGTGGCAAACCAGCTGCCCACAGGTCCCCTCCAGCAGGGGGGTGCAAGAGCCCTGGCCTGCCCAGCTCCTCAGTGACAGGTGCAAGCAGGCAGGCCACCTCAGGTGAAGGAGGGAGCACACAGCCAGCACGGCTAGTGGCCACAGCTAGCAGCCCCAGCCAGCCTGCTCCTCCATGAATCTGTCCAACCCTCTTTCAAAGCCGCCCAGATTGGCAGCCATCACACGGCATCCAATTCCATAGTTTAACGATACATGTGTGAAGGAGGACTTCCTCTGGCCTCTGCTAAACCTCCCACCACCAATCAGCTTCATGGGATGATCCCAGATTCAGTGTTACGGGAGAAGAGGAAAAGGGCCTCCCTCTCCACTTTTCCACACCAGGCACTGAGGAAAGCTTCCAACTTCCGTATCCTATGTCACAGGGCAACTCGATGGCCACTGCTGGAAACAGGGCAGGGGACTCGACAGGCCCTTGATCTGAGACCGTAGGGTCCTTGCTGGGCTCTTTACGGAACAGCGGCTATTATCAAAAATGGTGCCTCAGCTAAGGTACGAGATGCCACAGACTGCAGAGGGACCATCCCCCACGCTGAAAGCAATGAAAATTCAGTACCTTGTCGAAAGCCTTCCCAACAGCATTTTCGAGTGACAAATCCTCCGCCTCCAGGGCAGGGTTGCAGTGCTTCAGTTCTCTCAAGCACGCGTTGAGGATGTCCAGGATGGCGCTCTGAATGGCACGCATGGCTGGGGTCAAGGTGATGCGCATCTCCACCACTTCAGGCTTGTGCTGCTCTAAAAAGGAGTGCACCACGGCGTGGAACCTGGAGGAGAGCGAGGGAGAGCGATCGAGCGCACGGTGCCTCAGAGCAAGGAGGCTCCGGTGAAGCCGCGCCAGTGGCGAGCACGGAGGACGGAAGGGAGGGAGCCGCCTCCGATCAAGCCCGAATGTGCGCCCCTCTGGGCCCATGCGGTCCACCCTGTCCACGCTCTCTTACAGAGGGCCTTCCCAGCCAACTTGCAAGTGGAGATTCCTGGAGCTGAGCCCACGGCCTTTGGACGGGTAAAACAGGTGGCCCTCCCAGCAATCTCCTGGCCCTTCACCTCTTCCTTGGGACAGTCTCCGCAGCAAAGAGCGGTCTGCACCCTCGCCAACACCATCCCTTCTCCTCCCCGTTGTTGTGCCACGCCCAGCTTCTCCCACATTCACCCAGGCTTCCCATGACTTGCCAAGGAGATCGCCTCGGTCCTTCCACAGCCAACAGGACGTGTGAAGTGGAAGCGCAGACGCGGCTTTCTCAGCAGCTGCCCCCTCCCCACACACGCTTTAAGACTAGGCAGAATGTGCATCCAGCCATGAGCGTCCCAGCCTGGACTATCCGTTTTACCCAGGGCTCCCATGCCCAATAATGGATTACGACATGGTACGGCTTGGATGCATTTACTGCTTTTCTCAGTGCCGGTAGCACCTGCAATCGCAGCTAGATGGTCTGATGCAGCATCAGCATTGTGAGAGTGCGGGATTATAACCCTGCCAAGATAACAGGCAGAGAAGAACATAAATCTCTTCCTCCAAACCATGGGCAATTTTACCATTCTCCTCCTTATTTACCCCATACATTCTGCAAGGGTTGAAAGGCAATATACAGATTCAATGTACACATTAAAATGCTGAGGTTTCTTTGTGGACAGACCTTTGTGCACCTGAATGTCGCTTCACAGCCAAGACTGCTATGGACACCGCCCCCCCGCAAACACACGTTCTGTTGATTCCTCACATCAAGTGAGTCAGGGGTACAGTGCCACTGATCACAGAGGTTCTGCTTTTGCATACTATGGTTAAAAGCCCCTAATTAACATTATCCTCCTGGCTGTGTTCAGACATCACCATAAACCATGGTTTGTCGTGCCAGAAATGACCCGAACCTCCTCAGTCACTGCCCATTTTCTCTTCTACTCCAGCGCTGCCATGAGAAGACCGGCAGGTTACAATTCTGATGAACCACAGTTTGGTATTATGTCCAAATGCTAAACTGGGGCTTATCATTCTTATGGCCTGCTAAAGAGAGCCAGCTTCATAAGTCACCGCGGCCAACTCTGAGGCTCAAAGGTAGGCCCCACCTGCGATGCATTCACCTGTCCGAGCGCTGCGCCAGACACCTTACCGTGGCCAGAGGTAAAGCTTCCTCACAAAGAGATTCCTCATCACCCTTTCCACATGACAAAAGCCAGTGCTGAAGGCAACCGCGTTGTCCGTGAAGGCTTTGACGAAACCCTGATTGTTCTTCTGCCGATAGAGTCGTAAGATAAAGGCTTCTTGGCAAGACTCAATGATTCTGTGAGCTTTGTAAACCAAAATCCCTGGCAGAACAGCGCGAATAAATCCAGGCCATAGCAGAGGAGGGAAAAAACAGAGCACAGTCAGCCAAACCAGGCAAGGCAGGACACGATGTTTTGCAGCAGTGTTAGGCGTTTCCAAGGCTGCCCTGATTAAAGAATGGGACACATTTGGACTGTCCCCCGGCAGGTTCAGAGAGGAAACCATCAACCCTCATTTAATTCCTTTTTCACTGCCTTTTCTACTGCTCTAGAAAATAGTGGCACACTTTAAAATGTGCTGCTTGTCTGTAAAGAAGAGGAAAAGCTTGGAACTTCAAACTTTATGTATAGGAACATTCTTGGAACACAGCAACAGTGCAGTCTTTGGCACGACTGCTCAGATATTAGGCCCCTCGGACTGAGATCAGAGCAAACGTCCACCTACTGCAGCAACCTGCTTTCTGCACAGGACAAGCAGATCTGCTGGAGAGCCCAGAAGTGGGTGCAAAGGCCACACTCTCCCCTGCCCCCAGAAGATCATTATGGGGGACGGGGTGTACAATGCCTCTAAACATGAAGGTTCAGTTTCATTCTCATGGCCAATTTTAAAAATTTTATTTCATTTTTATACCACCCAATAGCTGAGGCTTTCTGAGCAGTTAAAAAAGTTAAAAACAGACCAAAAAAATCAAACAACCCCCACAACCCAAAACCGTAAGACGATAAAAACACAGCAACTGCGATTGAATCAGTGCAGAGGTACAAGTTAAGATGCAGTATGAGAACTAAGCTTAAAAGTTAACTGGTAAAGGACCAAAAAATAAAAAGCTCAAAATAGCACATTAAAAATATAGTAAAACACACCATATTAAAGTATCATAAAAATAAGCTTACCAGACAAAATGTAAAACAGATCCAGAAATTACAATAATTTAACCAAAGGACATTTCAGGGCCTGTTCAGTAACTCACAAGCACCCGTCCACTCATTAAGTGCCCTGCTGCGGAGCCCAGCCTTAACCTGGTGCTGAACGGCGATGCTGGCACCAGGCAGGTCTCAGTGGGGAGCTCGTTCCCTAAGAGGATGGGGGGCAGCACTGCAAAGGCCTTCTCCATGTTGCCACCATCCGAGCATCCCTTGGAGGTGGCAGTCAGAGGCAGCCCTGGGCCTTGACCTTGGTGTCCAGGTAGAAAGTAGTAAGGAGAGGCAATCCATCAAGTCTTGTGGTCCCAAGGGGTGGAGGCTTTATAAGCCGAAGCCGGAACCTTGAACTGGACTTGGAAGCATGTAGGCAGCCAGTGCAAGTGGGACAGGATTGGTGTTACCTGCTGAGACTGCCTGGCACCATTAATTTTTGTATTAGATTTATATCCTGCTTTCTCCTGACAACAAATTCAAAGCAACTCACACCGTTCTCTTCCTCCTGCTCTCTGTCTTATCCCCACAGCAGTGGCCCTGTGAGGTAGGTTGGGCTGAGAGTCTGTGACTGGCCCAAAGTCACCCAGGTGGCTCCATGGCTTCAGTGGGAACTTGAGCCCAGATCACCTGAGTCCCAGTCCTGCACTCTTAACAACTTTGCCGCTGTTGTTATTCCAGCCGATGCTTTCTGCACAAGCTGCAGATTCCAAACCGTCTTCAAGGTCAGCCCCACATTGAGTGCACTGCAGTGATCTAGCTTAGAGATGCCACTTGTTCATCTCTCTGCCGCAGCTCATTTCTCCTCCACAAATCCGGTTTCTCCTAATCTAAACAAGTCTCCACCATATCCTGCGGCAGCAAATTCTGTAAATAACCCCAAATAGATCAAACTAGAATGGAATGAAAATGCAGATAAAGTGTGCTTTCACAACAGCCCTGAGAGGCAGGTAGCTGGGCTATGATCACCCAGATAAGTTAATAACGGCTGTGCAGGTTTACTCTGAAGTAGCTGAGTTCAGTACGTATAGCTGTCTCCCGCAAACAGCTGCCTTCCAAATGTGTATAATTTATTTAATATCTATACCTCCCAACGGCCGAAGTTTTCTGGCCAGTTCACAAATGTTTAGGACTACAGCTCCAAGAATGCCTGACTCATACTGAGGGCAGATGAAATGCAAAACATCTGGAGGATACCAGTTTGGGAAAAGCTGATGTGTAGGACTGGAACCTGACTGGGGATTTCAACCTTGATCTCCATAAACCTACTATTATTATATTACATTTCTATTCTGTATTTCTATACTGTGGCTTGTTTTCATATTTTGTATTTTGGAAATGTTACAGTATTTTATTGCATTCTTTATTTATGAACTACTATGAACCATCCAGGGAGTTTCAGCTATTGGGCTGTACAGAAATGAAATCATTATCAACATGAAAGAGCAGAATGCTTTGGGGCATGTGCCTCAGACCAAGAAGATGCTTTCAATATTAGGACGAAGCTCAACCTTTTCTCACAAAAGTCCGTTCCCGGTTCCACCTGCCAAAAATGTTCATACCAGCAGCCCAGTTCAAAGTAGGCTTGGCAGCAGGCTGGGTTCACACAACACAGCAAGCCACAACGTGGCAACATGTTGTACCCATCATGGGCTAGTTGTGTTGCCTGCATGCAGCCGCTACCTCTCAGTGTAAGGCACGAGGGGAGCCCCATCGCCACACAGGTGAAATGCCAAAGACTCTTGTAAGGCATGATCACCCATCTGTAGCTTACTTAGCATAGTATTTGACTGAGGCCTTAGGTAGTGCTGCCCTCTAGTGGCAATGACACTGTAAGAGGAAATGATATAATTTTTAATAGACAATGAGATATTTTAAATCTGCAAAAAAGTGGGCTACTTGACACAAGGGAACAATGGCCACAGCAATTTTTTTTCAATCCAGACTCATATTATGTACAGAGATGAAAAGAGAAAGACGGTTCACTTGTCTAAGCTTCTTACCTGTGATAAGATCTGAAGGAATTCTGTCTGTCAGAAAATCCACCACCAGAATTCGACTGGTTGCAAAAATGACACCGCCCTGAGTGTAAACTTCATAGCGACTGTTGCTTGCAATTTCGTTTGTAACACGCCGAGGAAGATAAGCAACATTGTCCATCTTTAACTGGTCGATAAAAAACTCCTAAAGCAAATAAAAGTGACTCAGAATCAACATAATGCAAAAAAGGTAAGTTAGAAATATTTGTAGAAAAAGTCATACGAAGCAGGGCAGTCCTATGCACGTCTGCTCAGAAGATCCATTACATCCAGTGAGACTGACTTGCTTCCAGGTGAGTATCTATGAGCTCACAGCTTAAGAATTGTATAGCAAAGACATCCATATTCACAGCATAATCCAATAATGTGTTTATTCAGAAGTAAACCTCAGTGATGCGTGTGGCTTCTTCATTCCTATGTTTAGGGCTGCGTGCCAGAAAGCTACTGACCCACATGCAGCCAAAAACGCACCAGCCACATGAGAGAGAATATGGAGGGGGGGGGTCAGCAAGTTTCAGGTAACCAGCAAGACGTGTGGAAGTAGGAAAGCGTGTGTGTGGCGGGGCATGACAGCCAGAGCCATCCAGCAAGGACTCAACAGGCTCGTCAGCCACAGCAAACTGAGTGCCTGAGCGAGAGCCAGAAAACCGGCAGGGAGGGAAATTTTATTTATTTATTTATTTATTAAAACATTTCTATGCCGCCCTTTGCCAAGGCCTCGGGGCGGCTTACAACATCGAATACAAAATACATTAAAACAAATGCAGCATGGGATGCTGGAGAACAGCGTGGCTGGCTGGACAAGGGCGCTCCGTGCGACAGCAAGTGGTGGGAAGATCCCACTTGTTTCCCAAGTAGTACTAAAAGCTCTCATCACTGTTCTCCTACTGAAAGCAGCACCATGCAGGACACATCAAAGGAGGTACTTCTTTATATGTCACAGAGGTAACCCATGGAGGACACAAGATGCCATGAAGGCCACGAAGTCTGGCTGGCTTTAAAAGGGGACTGAGCACACTCACAGAGGAGAAGGCTAACGTGGCTAGCAGTGCTGGTGGCTACTGTTAGTTCTGTGTGTGTTTAGATAGCGACATCGGCAGCTGCTGAAGGCTGTGTGCTACTTCTGGCATCGGAGGGAGAGTGACTATGTACACCAGTTGCTCAGGAACATGAGTGGGGGGGGGTGTTGTAGCCCACATGTCCTGCTGGTGGAGTTCCTGTGGGTAGGTGGCTTTCCCGCAGTATCTGAAACTCTGGTGCTCAGTGACCGCCTGGTGTGTCTCAGGGTCGCTGCCTCGGCACTTCAGCTGCAATTCGAAACCCTCCTCCTCCGATTCGGAATCTGATCCCACATCCCTTCGCATCCCTTTTGTGGGAAGAGTGGGCCCAGTCCCTTCACCTTGCAATGCTGCCGTTCTCTCCAACAGCTGGTCTAACTAGTTCCAGATGGTCTAGTCTGCTGTGGAAGGCTGGACTCCAGAAGGGCTTAGCCAGGTTTTCCCGTCCTCCTGACTGAGAGGTTTCTTACGGAAAGATGCTAATAGGGCTGAGGCTGCCACCTGCTGAAGGCAAAGGGCTCGCGTGCTCCTGCACCCGGCTCTGCCAGACTCAGTGGGACTAGACTGTTTGGTTCCCCAGGGACTCTGGCTCCACCCCGCCCTCCGAGCACTTTTATGCGGGTGACAGTCCACCACACCACATCTATGCCAGGTTCTGGGGCCCCTAACAGAGGGTATGAGCTCAAGCCGCATTCACAACCCAGTGCAGCGCAGCAGACGGCGTGAGGGGCTGCACTACTGCAGGTCTAATTCCCCATTCAGTCACCGGGCCGAGCTCCAGTGGACCACACACAGAGGCCCTGCTGCTAAGACTGTGGACGGAGAAATACGAGCAAGCTGTGGCAGCTTCATTTTCCCACCATGCCTGCTGGGAAGGTTTGCCTATACAGTGTTGCTGGCCATGTTGTGGGAACCAAACAATGGGGGCTTGCTACTATAGCTAAGTAGTTAAGAGTGCAGGCCTGGAATTCAGGCCATCTGGGTTCTAGTCCTCACTCAGCCATGGCGCTCGCAGGGTGACTTTGGGCCAGTCACAGAATCTCAGCCCAGCCTCCCTCACAGGGTTGTTGTGAGAATTATGTAAGCTGCCTTAAATTCCTTGAAAGCAAAAAAGGTGGGGCATTAAATAAATAAATAAATAAAATCCCAGAATCTTAAAGCAGCACATGAGGCCTTGGTGGCTTGTTGTTGTGGCTGTCAAGCAACCCTTGCTGAGTTTGCACAACACAGCAAGTCCCAGCAAGTCTTCTGCAAATTCCCCACCACGTGTAGTGGAGGAAATAAACCACCCCCTCCTGCGATCCTGTGAATCCCCTCAGAATTTCTGCTTAACCTACCTCATAAGGACGTAGTGTAGACGGAATGGGTAGGTGGGACACAGCACCTACATGTTGCCCTGAGCTCCCTGGAAGAAGACCACAATAGAGACGAAAAATGTGAAGGCCAGTGTGCAGTGGTTAGAGTGCTGGACTGGGACTGGGGAGATCCGGGTTCGCTTGCCATGAAGACCTCTGGGTGGCTCTGGGCCAGTCCCTGACTCTCAGCCTAACATACCCCAACAGGGCTCTCGTGAGGATAAAATGGGGTGGGGGGTCAGGAGGAGAGTCTGTGAGCCGCCTCGGCTTTCTTACAAATATAACCAAACCGCCAGGCAGCTCGAGGAGGCAGCTCCGCCCTTACCTCCTCTGCAGGGCTGGTGTTCAGGACGAGCACCAGCCGAGTTGGTTCGCAGTAGAGGCGCAGGAAGCGCAGGAGGAGGCGGTCGATGCCCAGCCCCCGGGCGCAGATGACCAGCCCGTCCTGGTGAAAGAGATCCAGGAAGATCTGGTTTTCGTGGTCCAGCTGCACCGACGCCGCCATGATCCGACGCCGCCGAGCGCCGCTCCGGGCACAACCCGGCCGAGCCACCTGCGGCAGGAAGCGGAAGCGGCCGAGGCCCTTGTAACCAGCGAGCCCGTCTCATAGAGCGGCGCCCAAGGCTCGGCTTCCGGCTGGACTTGGTCCCGCGAGCGCGCCGCTCTACCCCTTGGCGCCTCCGTGGCGAAAGCCCGTTCCTGGGAATCGCGGAGCGTGATCGTGGCGCGAGGGTCTCCTCTTCTCCCTTCCCTAACCATAGATTGGAGAAAGCCGCGCCGTAAAGACAGGGAAAGTACAGAGACCACGGATCTCTTAGGAATTCTGTTAAACGTCGCTCTGCAGATGCTCTATTATCCTCGCGTAGCCGATGGAGGAAGGAGGGGCTGCGGCAGAGGCGGAGTGGCTTACAGCGGCCCTGCTGTATAGCCCATATTGCTGCTATTTCAGGTTGGAGGGGAGGCTGAGGCTGGCTTGGACCCACAACCCCCTCCCGCTTCTTCCAGTCAAAATGTTTTTGCGTGCCGAATTTCATACTCCATTGGCTTCTATGGGGGAGTGCCGCGCTTGCAGGACAGCTTTCTTAAGAACACGAGGATGCTGATGGGCCGACCTGGTCCAGCATCCCTTTCATGCAGGACCCAGCCACTGCGGCGTGGTGGTGAGTGTCGGGCCGGGGACTCGGAGATCCGGCTTGTGGTCCCCACTCGGCCATGGGGCCAGCTGGGAGACTTCGGGCCGGCCTCTCACTCTCAGCCAGCCTCGCTCGCAGGGCTGTTGTGAGGACAGAAAGGGAGCGAAGGAGAACTCTGCGAGCCTTCTCGGGTTCCTCGAAAGAGGGAAAACGGCGCGATATCAGTGCAGTGCAGTCAAAATCATCCCAATAAGCAGCTGCCCACAGGAGCCCACACGCAGGCATGAGCGCAACAGACCCTCCCACCCATGTTCCCCAGCAGCTGGTGCACAGAGGCACATTCCTGTTCGCACGGGAGGCGGCGCAGAGCCGTCAAGACCAGCGCCCCCCCCCCCCCCGCCTTCGACTGAAAGAGCCTGGGGCGCCGCCGCTGCTCCGCCGGCCCTTGGCGGCGGCGGCGTGCGCGCTCCCGGTGGCTCCCCGACTTGCGTGCGCGCTCCCCTCTGCTTTCCCTCGTTCCACGGCTTTCCCTTCCCTTCCCGCTGCCGCTCTCGCCGCCAGCATGATCTTCTTCCTGGCCGTGCTTGCTAGCATCTTTCAAGCAGGTGAGTGAGTGCAGGACGCCGCCTTGGGGACCTCCCTGCGCCCCCCTCTCCCAGCCAGGGCGGTGCCGGAGCAGCCTTTCCGGATCGCCCTCGCCGGTTTCTGGAAGCATCGCCCTGCTCCGCCCGCCTTCCCCGAGCAGGTCCCGGTGCCCTCCTCGCCTTCGCCCTCGCCCGCGTTGCTTCCCCTCTCACGCCGCCAGGGCAGGGCGATGGCTTGTGCAGGCCCCGCCGGGGACTGGAGTTGCTGCTGTGTCCCGCTTGTCCTTTAGGATGCTCTCGCGGCTGCGCTCCTCCCCTCTGTCCTCACAAGACCCCTGCCGGGAGCTCTCCGGGCTATCAGGCGAGCGCTTTTCCAGCCCCGCCTGAAGATGCCAGGGGCCAAACCCGGGCCCCTAGCGCTGAGCTCCCTCGCCACCCCTTCCCCACGTGCAGCTTTCACCGGGGTGCGTGAACGCACCTTCCTTGCCATCAAGCCGGATGGGGTGCAGCGACATTTGGTTGGCGAGATCATCCAGCGCTTTGAGAAGAAAGGCTTCAAACTGGTGGCAATGAAGCTCATGCAGGTAAGGGGAGAGGGCTGGAGGGTCTTCCCCGTAATGGACAACCTCCCATGCAGCAACGCATCAGGTCCTGCCTGGAGGGGGGGGGGGCTCTGACATTGCGAGTGGAGTCCACTTTCCCCATTCCCAGCTCTCAATCACTGTAATGGGAGCGTCGGCGTAGACAGCAAGGCTGCTACAACCCAACAGTGGTCCCTCCCCATGCAAAACTGCCACTCAGCCCTTTCCCCTTCTTCTTGTGGAACGCTCTGCGCCTGGAGATTGGAAACTGCACACACCCCACAGGGCTCTCTGATAGCAGCCAACTCTTAATAAATACCCTGACCTTGGAATCACTGAATTGCAGGATCACTGAGATTTCTGATCTTTCTGTCCTTCAAGTGGGTTAGAACACGCACATGCACGCCAAAAACCCATGAAGAAAGGACTGCAAATCGTTACACGCTAAGGGTGCAGTCCAGGGCATGGCTGGCCTGAAAGGGGCCTGGCTGACCCAGCAGCTCGCTGGAGCATGCTGACAGTCGTGGGACTTTGCCGTGCTTAAACATGCATCAGATTGTGCCTTGAAAGCAGGACAATTTTTTTAAAAGTGCTGTAAAATCATATATAAATAACTAGAAGTCCTGGACATAGAAGGGACTTGGCCTGTTGTTGAAATAACAGCAGCTCAAGTGCTGGAGCGAGTGCTCTACAGTCAGGGGGACGCTAGCAAGAAGGCCCTTCCCTCCATTGCCGCCCTGAAGGGATGGGCACCCGTCCCAATATTCTTAGCTCGGGTGTCCAACATGTGGCCTGCCGGCCTCATGTGGCCCCCGAGGCCTTGTTCTGTGGCTGCCCGGAGCCCCTATTCCATGACTGCGGCGAGCTCGCCTCGGCATGTGCCACGCTGATGAGTGCGAAGGTGCTCAGGAGCTGAGTACCTTTGCATTCATCAGCAGGAGCGGGCGCTGCATGCTTGGGGCAAGGTCATTGCACAAGTGCAGGGGGCTCAGCAGCCTTTTCCAAGAAGGGAGGAAGGGCCGGGGTCACCTGGGAGGGTTTCTGGGAGGAGAAGCAGGGAAGAAAGGGATGGGCCACCCCAGAGGAGCAGCCACGGTGCTTGGGCTGTGGAGGGAGGAGCAGCTGCCTGTGATCGGGGGCCCACAAAGCTTTCCTTTTCATTTAGGTCAGGGGTCTCAAACTCGCGGCCCGCGGGCCAATTGCTGGGACGGGGGGGCACGGGGGAGGGGCCCTGCGGCCTTCAAAGCACCGGCGGCGCCCGGGCCAGCCTCCGGATGAGCGGCCCACCACCACCGCGGTGGTGGAATACTTGATGCGACCCAGCCTCACCCAGACTCTACTTCCAGCGGCCCCCAGGGAAGTTGAGTTTGAGACCCCTGATTTAGGTAGTCCTAACATCATCTTAAAATATATTCTCCCTCACTTAATGACCTATTAAATATATTTGTGTATATTAAATTAAATATATTGCAACCACTTTAATTTTCCATATGGAAATATAATTCATTTGCGGGCTTCAGGTTCTGTGTCAAAGTCCTCATGCGGCCCTCAAGGTATGAGAATTTGGACCACTATGTTCTTAGCTAATGCACAGGCATATTTTTTGGAATTATTTTGTGGGATTCAGAGAAACTGAATTTGTCCTGAATCCTGGCCTATGCACAAGATAAATAATCTCTAACCCTGACGAGAATGTTGATCGGATCTATTTCTGAGCAGGCTTCCGAAGACTTGTTGAAAGAGCATTACAGTGCTCTGAGCCAACGGCCTTTCTACAACCGCCTCGTGAAGTATATGAGCTCAGGCCCGGTGGTAGCCATGGTGAGTAAGGAATGGGGGGGGGGAGCAGGCCAGCAGAGCCGCTCTCTGCTCTGCAGCTGCCTTCAGGGGCCTTCATCTTGATGCTGGTGCAGGTCTGGCAGGGACTGGAAGTCGTGAAGATGGCGCGCATGATCATTGGAGAAACGAACCCAGCAGATGCCAAGCCCGGCACAATCCGAGGAGACTTCTGCATCGAGGTTGGCAAGTGAGTGCAAGCTGTTGCTTTGCCTTGATGAGGAAGCCTTTCTTCCAGAAGGCGAGAGGTGCCAGCATGCAGGACTGGTGTCACCAACAGGCCAGGTCGGCACCAGCTCCGGTGACAAGAGCCTCCCTGGGCTTGTCCCTCTGCTTCCCTATTGTCGCCTTCTTCTCTAGGCCAGATGTGGTGACCCTGGTCTCTGTCTCCCGTGTTCTGTGCGTATCACCCTGGCTTATACTAGGTCACTTGCTGGCAGAAGCTCTCTGCAGGTTCTGACAGGCAGGGATCCCCCTCAGCCCAACCTGGAGATGCCAGGAATTGGACATGGGACTTCCTGTATGCACAGGGTGCTGTTTGCCGCTAAGCTGCATCCCAGGAGAGAGTTCTCTGTCAGCCTACAACGGGCTGGGCCTGGCCCTGGCCCTCCAGGGACTGCCCAGCCCCTCCTGGACATGCTGGGGTTTGAACGTGGGACCTTCTCTGTGCAAAGCTACACCCCAGGATACAGCTTAGCTCCTTGCACAACCCCAAGGGTGCAGCAACACGAAACTGGGCCACATCCCCTCCTAAATACACGCACCTCCAGATCAGGTTTCTTATCCCACAGGAACGTGATTCATGGGAGCGATTCGGTAGAGAGCGCCCAGCGAGAGATTGCGCTCTGGTTCCACACCGATGAGGTGACTTGCTGGGAGGACAGCACAGAGCACTGGATTTATGAGTAAAGAAAGCGGCGACAGAAACACGGCTCCTTCCGCTGGCACTGGACGCAATCCATTTGCATCCGAGCTTCTGCAGGCTCTTACAGGGCTCCAGCTTTTGCCCTTTTTTGAGTGGGTGAGGAGAAGGGAAGGGAAGCTGACTCTAGCCCGAAAAGAACAGATCGTGTCAGTTTGAAAGGAGCAATTAACACAGGCTTCCTCGGTCTGGCACCCTCCTGATGTGTTGGGACTACACATGCTGGCTGGAATGATGGGAGTTGTAGTGCCAACACACCTGGCTGAGGAAGGCTGCTGTAGCTTTTTAGTGCAATATTAAGGAGGCGCCTCTGCTTATGAATGGAGAAAGGAACACGCCAGAGGAGTTTCAGTCCTCTCTCGTGTTTTGTCGAATGCATTTTTCATGGATGTTCTGTCACTGCCCCCACTTTCCCTGCTGCAACAATATCTTCTCTGTGGTTTTTGGGGTGAATGTCGGGGGTGTTGTGTGCTGTTCTAATTTTCTCTGGGGGTTGGGAAAGAGCAGAGGTTGAAAAGGCAGGGTTCACACAGCTCCTATCTCTTGAATCTACTGCTACCCTGCCAAAAATGAATTTCTGATACTTCTGGTCAGGGCGAAGAAGGCACCAGCATATTTTCTGTTTTGCCCAGCAGGAAGCTGATGTCCTGTTGCAGCCGAGTGCTGCGTCTGGGCTTCTGGGCAGGGAGGGAGGCAATGCAGGCGGCCACATGGTTTGCTCCAAACAGTGGGTACCGGGATGCCCTTCTGGCGTGGGGCCTGCCTGATGCATTATAGTGGCTGTACTATTACAACACCTGCGCCTTTTCTGGAGCTTTCCGGGTCCTCTGTCCAACTTCGCATTACTGTACCCCCAAATATCTTTCCAAGGCGGCTTGTTGGAATCTCTAAGTAGATACAGAGCTCCTTTTTAAGAGATGGGCTGTGCGTTTGCTTTTTGTAAAATAAATTTTGGAAAGACCAGCTTTAATACTTTTTGACTTCTAAGATGTCCCATTAGGGGCTGTTGGGTATGCTTTGACGAAAGATGATTCAAGGTGATAGGCGAACCATCTTCTCCCATGTTGATGGTCTCTCACAAAGACAAATGGCCAGAATGATTTTCCGTTGCTTTAGCAGGAAGGGCCCAGGAGCTGGTAGATTCTTCTTAGGAGAGTTTTTACGAGGAGGTTGGACAGCCACTTACTAAGGATTCTGTAGCAGCAAATTCTTACACCAGCGAGGGGATAGACTAGATGACCTTTGAGGTACTCCCCAACTCTATGATTCTGACTGCATCTGGGGGTTGAGATGGGAATGGAAAACCTTATGCTGGTGTACTGGCTGCAAAGGCTCAAATAATTGTAACTGACATCACAGACATTAACAGCAAACTAAAGTCCTGAATTAGGACACATCACTATGCAGAACCAAGACATAGTTGCTGAGTAATAAGAGGGAAATTTCCACATGCTTGGAATTTCTGGAAGTAGGAAAAAAGTCTAGGAAAAGAATTTGAGGGTACACAAAGACCTGAACATGGGCCAACAACCACTGAGCATGTGCAATATCACAGACTGCTGAATGAGGAAATGGAGTATTCTGAAAGAAGGTCTGGCTGGCTGAGACACCAAAGAGAAGCATCCGACACAAACACTTGGAAAGGTACAATTTGTTCTTGGCAGCAGCTGTTCAAACATGCCTTTTTGGTGCACTCACCAATGCACTGGCCCCTGTGATGTTAACAATGTCTTTATTACATATAGAACAGATATAGTTTTGATTTGCTTGATAGCACAGAGGGGACAAAAAGCGTAGGAGAGTGTTGACTTGTTTTCTTTCGTACAGCAATCTCTTTACAACTGCAGACCAAAATGGCGGAGTTTACAGGCCTTAAGACACATTTCTAAAAAACCCTTTTATAACATACAAGTTAACTTTACATACATCACAGTGGAGATGCAGTGGGGAGGTGTGTTCAGTCGATCAGCTTCCACCTCGCAGGCGCAGCTGCCAGCGAACGGCAAACCCGGTGCTCTGGGGCTGTTCTGCTCCGCTCTCCCCCCCTCCCCTCCCCTCCCCCCAATCCCCATGGGACATGTGCTTCTTCTTACAGAAAGCCATCTTCACACTGCTAAATGTTCTTCAGGCATATACATAGGCAAGGCAAGAGAGTGCTGTTTTGACTAATACATGCTGGAAAACAGAGGCGTTGTCAACTTGATACGTCTACTGCCCGCACAGCCCTGTTGTAACCTGGGTGAGTTTCTGAGAGCAATCGGGATCTCTCCGCCTGTCTTTTTGGCAACGGACAGACGAGCTGAAAACGGCAGGGCGCGTCCCGGGATCCTTGGATCAACCATACACGGCAGGGCTGCAACAGCCTTGCGAGTCACTGCAGAGGCTCTGCTCACCCACCTGCCGCTCCCTCCCCAGGTCGAGTCCAGATTTAGGCACGTGTAACTGGGTGGCGGAAGTGCGCATATTCCTGCACCCTAGAAATTGCTGCAGAGGCTCAGCAGGCCTTGCTGCAGAAGCAAGGAATCCTGTGGAGGAGGAGGAAGCCGATCCCTTCCCTCCAAGAACGCCATTCCTGAGCCAATCCTGTCTCGCCTGTTGCTTGGGCGCTCTACACACCCTCCTGTCCTCCTTTCCCTGGCTCTGGTCTTTTACCACCAGCTGAAGCACTGGAAAAGCTGCTTTATGCATGCCTTAAGCCGGGATGTGCCCAGGAGTCCCGGGCCAGCTGGCATCTCTTGCCTTCGAGGGCCAGAGGAGCGGCTACACCTGCTCCGTGCCCGGCTTTGCAGCCTGTGGGAAGGGCACCTGGCCGGCCGCAGCAGTGGGGCAGGCGAACACACCTTTACTAGCTCTCCCAGGAGGTAGCACAAGGTGGCCATGCCAAGCAGAGGACGCGGCGTAGGGAGAAGGGCAGTGGCAGCTCCCCGGCCGTCCCCTCCTTCATGACCCCCTGCCCCATGGATAAGTTCAGGCTCCACCTGTAATTCCTTGTGGAGAAATGCAGTAGAAAGGGGGGCAAAGCACGCACAAACCCACACAGCATGACAAATGCTGCTTCCGCCTTGGCTCTTCAGATCTGCTGTGTGTGTGGTGGGGGGCCATCTTTACTTCTAGAGCAAGAGGGGGGAGGCGGCATGATGCGTCTTCACTTAATGGACCGATACGCATCGATCCGTCCCCCTGCGAGGGACGCTGTGTGCCTGGGCTTGGTGGGGCACACAGATAAACTGTTTGCGGCCCACCGTGGGCCCCCATCTTCCACCTCTGTCTCCACCTCTGGCCTGCCCCATCCGGACAGTGCTCTTGATTCGTACTGCACTGGTCTGGAAAGGGGCACGTGTGTGTGTGCTGGTCTTCCGAACGAGGAAGCCCCATTCCCTTCTTGCTATCCACACGGAAGAAGGCCTGACCCACTGTTTAAGGGTCAACAGGACCCAAACGTCTGCTGCTGCCATGCCAGATCAAGGCACCACTTTGAGCTCAATGGATGCCCACGTTGGTCCAGGAGGGCACGCTCTAACACCAAGGACAGCAGGAAATCTGGAAACTAGGAATGATAACGTTCAAAATCCTGTCAGAGATAAACGTGGGAAGCCAGCAAAGCAGTCTTATTCCAGCTCAGGCCAATGTTCCATCCTAGCCGAGCTCTGAGTTTTCAGCCCGATACTTTTCACCTGGCGATACCAGCAGTGGGAACCGAGTGTATCCACCTGCAATGGACGTGCTCTGCCAATGAATTCTGGATGGATCTGCACCGCCTACAATTTCAGAATACCAACTGGCTCCTAAACTTGTGCCATGGCAGAGTCTGCCCTAGAGAAAGTATGGCTTGCTGCAGCATGAGCATTTGTAGACCAGAGGATTGCATTACAACAGACTTCTAAATCAGGAGACTTTTTGATGGCACCACAGCCAATGCCCGTGAACCCCAAAACCGGGGCAGAAGGAACAACACGCAAGCCAACAGTCCATGGGACCGGTTACATAAATGCTACGGAAAGAAAAACAGGCCTGAGCAGGACCACCTGGGGGCGGGAGGAATGCAAAAAAGGCAGCACTCATTTCTGCAGGGATCATCACCGCGAACTCCATTCGTTACACCAATGCAAGGAATGAGATACCTGGCTGATTCCACCTTTCACCCGACAAGAACTGTCAGGTTGACGGACTCCTTAGGAAGCCTACTAATCCCAGTGGGGAACTCTGGCTGCCACGTTTAACAAGTGAGATTCAAAGGAAGTTTAAAGCTGGCAGCACTGCTGGAGCTCCAGAGGCTGCAACACTGAACATCTGAGTCTATTCCTGTTTCTACATGAAGTGGGGAAGGAGAGCTGAGTTAACCAGTCTCGGAACTGCCTGCAAACACCTCACCTCTTACGAGTCGTTCCACCAACTTTTCTCCCACAATACCCTTTCTGTACTATGCTAGACCCTCCGATCTCTCGCTTGCTTCTCACTGCTTCTGCAAACCCCTTGCAAGGAGCCCACCTCTCCCTCCTGCCCCACCATTCCATCTCCCGAGTCCCACGCCGTCTCCCCACCATCAGCTCCCTTCTCCTAGCTTCAACATGCATCGGGGGAACAGGAGGGGCCAAGAGCCTCTGCCTTGACCGTGCTTCTTTCCCGAATGGCCTGCAAGATACACCTGAGCTCTCTGAGGGCTACATGCAGGGCCCACACCTCAGTTTGGCCCCGTCCAGAGGACCACCCAAGCCGGCTCCAGCAAAAACATGATGCTTCGCAGCAGCCTCAAGAGCAAAGACACCCCCCAAATCTTCCTCGGCTGCTCTCTTTCAACCCACCTGCCGCCGCCTCTGTCAGCACACCACTTATCCGTACACAGGGGAGATCATCCCACTTCCAGATCTTCTGCTGGGGCTGTCACCCCGAGCCTCTTGTCTGGATGACTGTTTGTTTTGTTCAAATTCTGCCCTTCCTCCAAGGAGCTCAGAACAGCCCCAGAGAAGGTCTTCCATCCGAAATCCACCGCCAAGCTCAGAGACAAACACTCCAGTGAGAGATTCCCACCACGTCTTTGGCCCATTCTTTGGCTACTGACTTCTCCACCGAAGACCCTTCGCCACCCTCCCGAACATGTGTGCAGACCCGTTCGGCATGTATTTCGGATTCTTAACCCTGGTCCTGACTGCTCAGAGTTCCCCAGCCTAATCTGCAACATGGAGAGCTGCGAAAAGTGAAAAGACAGGAGAGGAACCTTGCTTTCTTCTCTCGGAAGCAATCTTCTCTCTTTCCATGCTGGCTTGTCGACTGGCGCGGGCCATCGGTGCTGCTTCTTTAGTGGCAAAAGGAGAGAACCCAGCAAGCGTCTGGAGAGGTATTTGTTCCCCATGCAGGCAAGTGAGGGAAGGCAGGAGGGGGCAGTCTCTGAAGCCTCATCCAGTCCTTCCAAGCCAAGCCCCTTCTTCCATGCGCTCTTTGACAGTCGATCCACTGTGCTTTGCTCTCCTAGTTCTCCCCCTTGAGAGGGCAGACAGCAGGCCAGCCAGTTCAAAAGGTGTAAAGGCCCAAGATGAAAGCTGCAAGCTGGAGCTGAGTTGGAGGAGGGGAACTTCTGTCTGGTGCAGGAGCTGTTTCCATCATCTGGGTTGGGTTTTCCAGCAGAAGGAGTAATGCAGGAGTTCTGTATGTACATCTTGGCATTCAGGGAGTTTGGGGATTGGTGGGGGAAGAAAGTTACACTGGCAGAAAAAGAAAGGAGGACGCTCATTCCGGGATGTAGGAAACTTGCCACACAATGATGTGGCTTCGTTCGGCCTTGGAAAGCACCGGTTTGACCTGGGCAGCATCTCCAGCATTTTCCTCCGTCTCATCATCTTCTCCATCTCCTGTTGGGAAAACTTGGACAATGAACAGGGTAGAAGGAGATGGAACTGGAAGCGTGAGGATGCTTTCACTGGATGCATGAAGTAGGTCCCTCCACATAATGAACTGCATGTACTGATTTTAACACTACTTTGCACTGGCCCTTTGCACATTGCATTGTTGTGTGCAATGCACATGGCAATAATATATCATTATTGTTATCCTAACAAGAGGGATGCTAAAATGCAAGCTTGAATCCCAAATCCAGCAGGCCTTAGGGGCCCTCTTGGGTTCCACAGGGGGGCTGCCTCCTGTCGCCCAGCCAGCAATTGTTTGGTGTTTTCATGGCTTTTGTTTCCCACTCCTTCTAAATGTGTGTATGTGAGACAGAGAATGCGTGAAGAAGGCCCTTTCTGTTCTTGCTAGGGTTAACTCTTGGGAGTCAGGAACCCTTGCAGATCAACTGAAAATCGCTCAGCCATCCCAGTCTCTCTTCTGCCTGCTCTGCTGCTCTAGAAGATGGGCGCACGTAAAAGAACTCACCAATCCGGAAATCGATGTAGCCTTCGCCACCACTCAGAACCAGGGCATTTTTCAGCTTCTGCCCCTCTGCCTCGATGGTGGCCGTGCTGGGGGTCTCGGAGGGACTGTCCAGCACACTCCCGTTTAGTGTTGCAAGAACGTTCCCTGGAAGATTCCAAAATGTGTAAGGGGTGATTCACCAAGGAATCTCTGACCGCATTGCTAGAGGACACCCAAAGTGTGCTAGGCTGAGGAGCGGAGGGACTCCGAGGCTGAGCAGCAACTCAAGGGGCTCACAGCTTGACTCTCACCTTCGCTGTGAACTTCCTGAGCAGCCTCAGGCCAGCCATATTCTTTCAATCCGCAGTATGGGGAGATAACACCGCTGACATGCCTTGCCATGTTTTTGCAAAGAACGAAACCATATAATGCACACGAAGCACAATGAATGTTCAAACACACTGTATGGGTGGGGAGATTCATTCTGCTTCCTGTCTCCTAGCCAAGCAGATTGCAAGCTGTCCCCGTTGGTCTAGGGATCACTGGATACAAGCCACCAAGCTCCCAGGCAGCAGGCAAACAGGGAGAGCTAACAGGAGTTTGATGGCAGAGCTCAGCTGGGGGTGTCAGCGGGGAGATCCGTAACTTCCCCACCCCCACCCACCCCCATTTACAGGTAGGACTGTGTTTGGAACACTCAGGGAAGATAAGAGAGCTTCCTTCGGAGGTGGAAGGGCCAGCAGGTTGAGCCGTGGTAGCCTCCTTCATCACAAATGAAGCCCTGTCCCGTAGGACTTTCCTGAGGTGATTTTCTCGGTTCTTGTGAGCCTGTTTGGTGAAGGCTTGGCAATGAACACATTTGTCCACGCAACGTCTTTCACTGAGACAGAGCAAGCACTGGCCACACCTTCTAAAAGCAGAGCGTTGCGTCATCAAGAAGAAATAAGAAATACAGGTAAAGAGAGATGATAGAAGGGATGATGATGGTGATCATGGTTACTACTACTATGGGGGGGCGGGAATGTGTGGAGGGGAGGGGGAAAGGGAAGGGCGTGCGGAGGGTTTAAGGTTGTGATAAAGGTTAGGGTAGCGAGGCCTTGTAAGGGATTTAATATAAGAAGATAAAGGAAAGTGCAAAGCAGAAGAAGTTTGTGAGGGAAATCGAAAACAATGAGAGAACATGCTGAGGCACAGCAAACGGCGGTCGAAAGCGGACCGGCAAGAGGGCAGGCCCAGTTGTACGAGTGGGTGGGGGAGCGGCATTCCCGCCAGAAACTGTTCCTAGCTGAGAGGATCTTCCCGAATGCAGGCACTCCGCAGGCGCAGCACCCGTCTGTGTGCTGCACAGAGACCACGATGAAGAAAGCCTGGCTAGTACAACAGGCCCGCCAAGCTCGAATCAAAAGGGTAGCAGGAAGCACAGACCGAGAAGACTCCCCGCTGGCAGTGACCAGCAAGGTCTGTGCGATGCTCGTTTTTCTGCCTGCGGTCAACATGGCCGACACGGATGGCAAGTGCAAGCTAAGTAGCCCTGTTGGCAGAGAAGGTAAGAGGAGCCAGCTTCCACCCCCAAGGGAGTGAGAGGAGTTTTTAGGCAGAGCAGTGGAACTCCAACAGCTGAGAAGCTCCAGGTGCAACAGCAAGCCGAGGCAGGGGACGATTCTGAGGGGAGGGAAAATGAGGAGGAAGCTTCCTGGAAAGAGTCACAATTCAGAGCGGAAGAACTAGAAAGCACACCGCACTGATGGAGGCAGTGGAATTACGGAGCCACTTTCGGTTGCTCGAGGATGAGACCGGAGGCCAGCCTGCCGTGGAAGAACTGCAAGCCATCCTGCGCGACACTGAACGAGAGGCTCCAGGTCAGCCAAGTGGCGGCAATGATACCAAAGCTTGCAAGGACACGAAGCGAGGGGTGTTGCGGGAGGCCCCCTGTTGCATGTGATGGAAGCGCACGTATGCCAGGACGTCAAGCAGGCCGCCTCCCTGGAGGGCAGAGGAGTGGCATAACTGAAAGACTGCCAAGGCTCATACAGCCCACTGACACGTATCCCTTCCTTCTTATACATGTGGGAACAAACAACGCTGCCAAGCAGGGCTTTAAAGAAATCATGTTGGATACATAATATAGTTTATAGTCTTTCTTTCAAAAAAATACCAAACCCAGAAGTTTAAAATCTTCATTACAAAATATTTGTGTGTAAAAATACGGAGCACTTCATGAATTTGCGAGTCATCCTTGCACAGGGCCCGTGCTAATCTTCTCTGCATCGTTCCAATGTTAGTCTATGTGCTGTCGAAATGAGCACAAGGCTGGTCGAACTTTGAGTCCCGCACTGAGCAGGGGGTTGGACCTGATGGCCCTCTGGCCACTCCCAACTCTATTGTTCTTTGATTCTATATACATTTTAATGATTTCTGTATTATTATTCTTATTACTATTCCCTTGTACCCCATCCTTGTGAGCCTCCAATGCATCTACATTTGGGATTTATTACGGAATCATCCTGCTTCATTCACTTATCTTCTGCAGGACATCCACACAACATCAGCATCTAATCCTTGCTGTCCTGTATTTTCCAAGAAGCTTTCTCAGATGGTAAGCAGCATTAGGTTTTCTTCTTTTATTTTTTTAAAGGCAGGAAAATGTCCCTCCTGCATTTCAGCAAAGATTCACTGTCGCTTCTGAAGAAGCTGTCAGTTAAAACCAGAGGGGTTCCTCATCCAGCCGTCTAGTTTTAGGTGCTGCTCTGTTCTTCTACCCCAGCAAGGAGCAAGGAGAAAGGGCTTCACTCCAAACACCAGCAGATCAGAAATAACATCTTGCTAGCCTGTCCAGAACCCCACCTCTGGAGTTCAGAAGGACCTCTATATCCATTACAAGAATGATACAGTGTTGAATACCCTCAGTGCTTCTACACCCTTTTCCACAAGTCATGTGAATGGAGTTGATCAACTATCAATGGTCCACAGACCAGCTTGAAAAGCTCTGGTAGAGGACAGAAACTTATGCCCATTAGAGCCTACATAAATTGGACCTTGGCAAGCCAGGAAGGGCAAGATCTCCCTCAGCATCTTCACAAACACACCCACTTGGCAAGAATCTACTTGGCATCACACTGCACTATATTACCGTAGCCCCCGAGACCCGCAGACACTCTGCTTACCAGGCACAGAGACAAAGAATTTGACTGCATCGCGATGACCGTGGAAGCAAAGCTGGGCCTGCGCCATGGAGCAGTACGGGATGAAGCTGCTGGTGGACTTGTCGCTGCCATCGTCACTGCCGTACACGTGAATGATTCCACCAGGGCGGTTCCCTTCTCCTGATGTCGGGGACGTCTTATTGGCTGAGATCAAGGAGAGAAGACAAGCACACATGGGAAACAAGCAAGAAAATGATAAATGGCATATCGGTGTCACAGGCTTAATATTTGTTTAATAAGAATTTCTCATTCCCTGTGAATAAAATGTTACATTATTCACATTTTTTAAAAGCATGTTTCAACTGGTCACTTGTATGCTGGAGAACATCAGCTGAGGGCAGATCATGTCCTTGTCGTTCAGACCATGGACCTGCCAAAAATCACCCACCCCAGTTGTTATCTATGCAAAGCGTACCTTCAGAAGCAAATCACAACACTAATTTTATTGAGAAACTGATGTCAGGCCTTAATCCAGGTTTAGGACATTTTCTAAATACCCACCTTCCCCATGAAAGAAAAGTAGTGAGTTCAAGCATGCATGAAAAATGTCATATAAAATATAGCCTTCGTGTGAGTAAAGAAAGCCATGGAAGTGGTAAGAGGATAGTGTTGCAGGGGCGTTTTGCTTCATGAACAGATAGTATCCCAGTAACAGAGGAGGAAGAATATGTTAAATCAAAAAGTACATATATGGCCACATGTTGCAATACTGCTGTCTCAGTGCAAAACACCGGAAGAAGGAAAACAGCATTAGGTGTCTGAAGAATTGTGTGTTCAGACACATACAGCCCTGTTCAGCATTCCACACACAGATTCACAAAATGCTTCAGTTACTACACATCTTGGTAATTTTTGCCTGCAAATAAGAGATGGGTAAGTAAGTAACTTGAGGGAGAGAAATGGGCAGCTGGATTAAGGGCTGAAGGAGCGTGTGGAAGGATCAGTGGTCAGATACAAGAGAGCAACTGGAATCTAAGAGGAAGGAAGTCTAGGACTTACCCCTGAGCCCAAGCAGCTGGCCTCGGTGGAGGACTACGGCTAGGCGGAGGAAAGCAGCGGGAGCGCAAAGGAGAACATGGAAAAAGCGACCACGGGTTGAAGGAGAGAAGGAAACCACAGTTACTGGCCAAAACAGTATCCTAGTATTTTGTGCATTTACAAAAGAAAAGAAGAAAGTACAACAGTGCAGGCTATGAAGATGAGAGACTTGATTATAAATAATATATCAGTAGTGGGTTAGGACAGTGTCTACCCAAAGTGCTGCTCTGCATTTCCAGTGTGTATGACTGAGGGTTGCCTCTGGGGTGGTAGGCCAATGGCAGTGCCTGGGACCCAACTCGTTCCCTCGTGGGTCCTCCCGATGTACACAAGCCCCCTAAAGGGCAGGAGGATGCATTACACTGGAAACCAGTGAGATCAGACACCTGAAACACAGCAAACTGGCTTCGCTGGTTTGTTTGTTTATTTTCCGATTTATATCCTGCCTTTTTCCTACAAAGGGCTCAAGGCAGCTTACACCTCCTCCTCCATCTTATCCCCACAACAACCACCCTGTGAGTTAGGTTGGGCTGAGTCTGTGACTGGCCCAAAGTCACCCAGTTGGCTCCATGGCCGAGCGGGGACTAGAACCCGGATCGCCCAAGTCCCAGTTCCGCGCTCTTCACCCCTACGCCACCCTGGCTCTCATTATGGCTGCATATGCCACATTATCACTGGAGAACAGGGGATGCTGCCATACTCCAGGTCAGACTGTAGTTTGCCTTAGCCCAGCACCGTCTACCTGAACCAGCAGTGGCTTTCCAAAGTCTGTACGCAGAGAGGGGCCCTGCCCAGCCCGGCTACTTGTGAGGAGCTAACTGGAGCCTCCTGGACTCGCAGCATGCACTCCAGCCCCAAGCCGCAGCCGGTCATCATGCCCTTCCCTGTAGGGTTTTCTACTGATTAGGACTGAAGTCAGCCACCTCCTACTGAGTCAAGTCTCGTTTCTCCATCTCATCTAGGACTGTCTATTCCAGGATGCCCAACCTCTTTTAGCCAGAAGGCCAGATCCACTTTCGGTTACTGGTCTTGGCAGATGTGCCATGGACTGAGCCTAGGCCTATGGGCAGGTGCATCATATGCCACCAAGGTAGGACCTCCCAAGCCAGGAACTTTGCTTGAGAGGGGTCCACGAGAGCCTGGCGTGAAACGGATTCCCCAGGTCCTGAGTGTCCCTGGTGCCAATGGAAGGTTTTTCCCTTTGCTTAATTGCCATGCAGAGGAACAATTTTCGGGGGGGGGGGGGATTACAGCTGGAAAGGGAAGGGCTATCTCTCCCCTCCCAAACATGCTGCAAGCCACCAACTCCCTCCAAAAATATGTCCTTTACTAACAAATAAGCTTGGTGGAAAAGCCCCTTCTCCACTGATCTGGAGCAGGATGCACATTAATTGTAGATTTTATTTCATTTGAGAGCATTTGTATAAGAAATGATGGATGCACTGTATAAGAAATGAATTGGATGGATCTGCCTCCTATCAAATTTAAATCTAGTAATCATTTCTAGATTTGCATATATAGATATAAATCAACATAGGCAAAGTTTATGCAGATGTATGCCCCCAAATCTTTTAAGTGCCTAGCAACATCCCTACTTAAAGTGATCACATCAGAGCAGACATCCAGAATTACTTTATGAAGCTGCTCTGCCGACATAACTGATCATCTCAGTGAAAGGCAGCCTTGAAGATCAAGGTTGCAGACCAGCTGGAAAGGGTCCAGAGGAGGGCAACAAGGATGATCCAGGGACTATGAGCAGGGATTGGAAGAACTGGGCATGTTTAGCCTTGAAAAGGGGAGACGTGATAGCACTGTTCAAATATTTAAAGGCTGTCACACAGAATGGGGCTGGGATCTCTTCTCAATTGTCCCAGAGTGCAGGACATGGAATAACAGGCTTGAGTTACTGGAAGCCAGATTCTGGGTAAGTATCAGGAAAAATGCCTTGACCGTTAGAGCAACACTGCAAGGACCCAGGGAGTTTGTGGGCTCCCCTACCCTGGAAGCATTCAAGAGGCAGTTGGACAGCCATCTGTCAGTCAGAGATGCTTTACCTTGCAGTCCTGCACTGAGGAAGGAGTTGGGCTCCATGGCTTTATAGGCCCCTTCCAACTCTACTATTCCATGATACGCTTGAGTAGACTACTAGATTCTCAGTACAAGTCTACAGGACAAGGTATAAGTCTACTAGAAGAGAGCTTCAACTATTAGGTGGGGTAAAAGTTAAATAAATAAATGAGTTTCAAAGACTTGGGGAAACCACCGAGAAGGCCCTGTCTCTAGTACAGACCAACCTCACTCATGTTAACAAGAAGCCCTCCAGAAGTATCCCCAAGGTAGATACTGGGAAATAAGTAGGACTGTATATATGGGTAAGGCAATTTTTAGATGTCCAAAGTTGGTATAGGCTTTAAAGGTTAAGCCCAGTGCCTTGACATGAGCCTAGAAATAGAAATTGGGCATCCATGTCTTTAATGGGGAGGAAAAGGGGGAATAACCAGTTTCAAAGAGTGCATCTTTAGCACCTACAGAGGAGAAAATGAAACCAGATGCCTCTATAAAGTGTGAAGACCACTTACTCTCAGTCAAAGGGATGGAAATGACGACTCCATTGCCTGTTCCTACCCAGAGACGATTGCCAGCGATAAGTAAGGCTGTAATCCGCACAAAGGAGAAGCCCAGCTTTCCAGTTCCTGAATGACAGAAGCAAACACATTTGGTCAAAATCATGCAACATGGAGTTCCCAGCCATGGTTCTCACGTGTGCTTCCAAGGGCTCCATGAAGCTCTTGCTCTATTTTTTGATAAAAATCCAAGGAAAATGATGGGGCAGCCTGCTTCCTCTCCCTTTCTAGCTCTTAGCCTTGCTCTTACCCTTCCTGCTCCATTTTGCCCTGCTGTTTTCCCTGCTTCCCAGCCTCACAATCCCCTTGTGCACATCTCACCGGCTCAGGGCTTCTCTGCCTCCTTGCTCTGCCTCCCCTCTTGACACCTTGCTGTTTCTCCCAGCCTCTGGTGCTGCCATTTCCCCTCCTTTAGCTCGCCGTTTCTCCTTCAGCCTCTGGCCTCTCTCTGTGCCCTGCTGCACTCGTTGGCTCACTTTGGACTAGCCAGGCGCTCACAGTAGTCATTATGTGACTAGCCACAATCTCCATGGAAGCCATTTTGTGGTGGGGCCAATATTCCTTAAATTCCAAAATGTGTCCATAAGTCAAAAAAAGCTGAGGACCCCTGATGGAACTCAATGGAACAGTAGCAGTAATAGTTATTTTCAAGCAGGGCCTGATTTAGTTGAAGAGGAAGCGGGGGAGTGGAGAATGAAGAACCGATGACAGAACAGAGGGACAGGAATAGGTATGGGAGGAAACCAGAGCCTTTCTGAAAAGGAGCGGGAAGGAGAAATGGGCATGACAAATCCAAATCAATTAAAGATGGATGGCCGATGGTGTGCAGTGAGAAGCTCTCAGGGATTGGCGCTGCGAAATGAGGAACTGCCTCAGAGATTCAGTTTTGGGGATTTCGATTCTATGGGATGGGAAGATGCTAGTGAATCCTAATTAGCCTGAAATCAACTTTCAGTTGGGGTTTTACTGCATTAACGATCTGATTCTATAGAAACCTCACACTGTTTATTTCCTCCATTATTAATATCTGTAAAACACTTAATCTGAAACTGACAGCCAGCTTCAGTCATTTGAGGTTTAGCATAATAAAAGCCTGTGATTTAAAGAAGAGTTTTTGTGCTTAACGCTGAAGGAAAGAGAAGGTACTAAAACACTCTCTGCACCAGCCCCAACCTACTGATTCTTCCCTTTTACATGTGGACAATACTGTTTTGGCTTCTTACCTAATGGCACTGACAGCCTGAATAGCGTAAACAAAGGGAATGAGTTAGCACTTTAATTTTGCTTGTAACAAGAAGGGTGTCTCCCCAGAGGAACTTACAATCTAAAAACTCAGTGTGAGAATGAATGGATGAGGATGAAGCATCAACAAGACAAGGGTAAACAAAGGAAGAAAATACACATTCTGTTTTATAATATAGAAGGCCTCCTATAACATACTGGGGCAGTAATATATACATATTCAGTTCAGCAAATTCAGTTCTGAATACACAAGCTGGTTTCCGTAGGCAATGGGGCTTAGGCATATAGGCTACGCCCTTAGACCAACTGGGAGCCCTGATCCAGCTCGTTCAGTATTGTCTGCACCAGACCAAGGGCCAAATTACATTTCAGAGAAGCTCTCCAGGGCTACATTCCAGCAGCGGCTGAAGGTAAATGAAGGTAAAGGGGGATGGACATGAAAGCAAAAGGATCAGGTTCCAAATACCAGAAATACCAGCCAGTTTTAGTGGCAAACTCTACATCAGGGGTCTCAAACTCGTGGCCCGCGGGCCAATCGCCGGGACAGGCGGGGCACAGGGGAGGGGTCCTGTGAACTTCAAAGCGCCGGTGGCGCCCGGGCCGGCTGCCACGGGATGAGCGGCCCACCACCACTGCGGTGGTGGAATACTTAATGCGGCCCAGTCTCACCCAGACTCTACTTCCAGCGGCCCCCAGTTTGAGACCCCTACTCTACATAGAAACATGCAAACATAGAAACAGAGTGAGTCAGAAGGGGCCTCCCAGGCCATCTAGTCTGACCCCCGGCTCCAGCTGGCTCTGCTCACAACATGCCCACCATGTGCATGTCTAGCCTGTCCTTGAACACCCTCACCGATGGGGCCTCAACCACCTCCCGTGGAAGCCCATTCCACACCCTCGGGGTCCTGACTGTCAGGAAGTGCTTCCTGGCATCCAAATGGAACCTTGGCTCCCTCATTCACTCAATCTTACCATTCACCCAACCTTAGGAAAGCATTTGAACCTATCAAAATGGAAGAAATAGCGCAAAGCCTAGAAAACCACCAAATGATTAGCGTTTGGGGGAAAGTGAAGAGGCTGTGGCCTTCTGGGAAATCCCAGAAGGGGCTTTGACTGCAGCCTTTCCCAGTTCTACTGGGAGATGCTGGAAACTTAGCCTGAGACTTTGTATATGCAAAGTGGGTGGTTGACCCCTGAATGCAGGCCACTGAAGGAAGCCCTTCAGTGAAGGGAAGCCCTTCCTTCAGGCTCACTGAAGGAAGCTTCATCAGGCCACTGAACGAAGCCTGAAGGACTGAAAGGAGTGATGGCACTCTGAGAGGGAATGCCATGTCAACAAGGGGAAAGCCTGGGGGCGGGGGGGGGAGAGGATGAACCAAGGAAGACTCCAAAGGGCGTGTGGTTTTCAGTTCTGCATCATTTACCAAGCATTTTGCTGACGTATGGCTCAATATCTACATCCTGGAGATGCTGATGGCTGTGAGCATGGTAGAGCCTCAGTGTGGAGTCTAGGCGGATGGAAACCCAGACGCCATCACCAATCCAGGCCAGCTGCCGGATCTGGCTCTCCCGGCGGGGGTGGGCATCAAAGGACTTCTGCAACGAGCACAGAGAGGAAATCTTTAAGAGGAAAACTTAAATTGGCATTCCTGGCATTCATTTCCACTTTCAGAGTTTTCTGGGAGAGGCTGAATTTACTTTTAGGCAATACCTCCCCTCTTGAGCACCAGGCAGGAACTTCACACAGAGAATGATGATAGAATCTTAGAATTGTAAGTGTTGGAAACAACCATGGGATCCAATCCGCTGCTCTTGCAGGTCACCAGCTCACACCACCCTGATGTACAATTAGGGGTTCGGTTCTAAGTTCAATATCTAGGCCCCAAAACAGGGACCGTGTTTGAACTGAGGGGTGAAGCTATGAAGCCCGTAATGACCCACAAGTCATAAACCTGCATCGCATCACCATTTAGTCAACTGTGCTTTGCAACATTCTGAAAATTGTCAACTGACTGAAAAATTATGAGCTTGTCATCTGCACCCATGCAGACCTTAAGACCCTGTTCAAAGGCCCTTCTCCAAGTTTCTTCATCAGATGAGGTATGATGTATGACCACTAAGGAAAAAGCGTTTTCAGCCCCTGGTCATAGAATAGCTTCCATGAGAGACTTACATAGTACCTGTGTATTTGGCATGAGGTGCAGTCCTGTTTGTTTAGAGTTTTTGTATGCCGTCCCATCGCTTATAGCCTCAGGACGGCTCACATAAACAAACATGATATAAAATAATACAAAATACAATTAAAATCCGGAAACACCCTGGCTGCACAATTAAAACCTATAGATATTAAATGTTCTTAAAATATTTTTTTAAATAAAAAGGTCTTAGCCTGGCGCCGAAAAACAAATAATGACAGTGCCAGGTGGACCTCTCTGGGGGAGCGCATTCCACAGATGAGGCGCCACCGCAGAGAAAGCCCTCCTCCGGGTACTTTGCCTCCTGATGTCTCTCCCAGAGGGCTCCCGGAGGAGGGCCTCTGCTGCCGATCCTGTTTACCCTGACAGTTCAGTGCTGACCATTCAGGTTTTTTTTAAGTTTTCATCTATTTTAAGATCCATGTAAAAGAATATCTTAAGCTGGGATAGCAACTCTGATTTTTATTTCGCTTTTAAAATTAATGTTTAAAAATATATGCTTTGTATTTTAAGATTTTGTAAACTATTTAGAGAGTGTCGGTAACTGACTGGTATAACCAAATAATGCATAGATCTGCTTTTTTATTATGTTGAATGTGCATATTACCAATTACAGGTACCTTTGCAAGAAAATGAAAACAGTGCTAGCAATTTAACAAAAGTGCCTAAACTGGCAGAAAATTAGAATACATCAGTAATATTTCTGAACTATTTGCAGTACTTGGGAAAGGTTTTGCGGCTCCTGCTTGTTTAAAAGCAACGTGGGGGAAATCTACATAAAAGTTCAATACTGGCTGGCCTTGAGCTACTACTCTCAGCCTCAGTGTTCCTCCCCTGTAAGACAGGAACAGTCATTAGTCACCTTTATTTAGGTATTTTATGCTGCTCACTCCAGCTTGTGACTCATAAAGAGAACCCATGTGGTGCCACGGTTGCCGTGCTGGACGGAGACTCAGGAAATCTGGCTTCTAAGTCCCACTCACCAGGAAGCTCAGCGGCTGATCCTGGACCTGTCACTGACTTTCAGCTTGACCTAATTCAAAGGGTTGTTGTGAGGGTGAAATTGACAGCAAAAGGGTCACATAAACCTCCTGGGGATGCTTGCAAGAGGAAAAAAGGCGGGATATAAAAGTAATGTAATAATAATCATTGAGCTCGGAGGGAGTGACTCGCGTATTCCTGAATGCCCATGTATCACAGCCTTGGCAATGAAAATATGGCCCCTTCGATTAAAATTGGCTCGTGCTACCCAATCCATTGTTAATTGGCACATTACTTAACCCTTTCAACCCTAAAATCAGCGGAGACTGGTGTCTCCCGATCAGTGGAGTGGCATTTCCATGCCAGAGCACATGGATCTGAACTGTTCGGGGGCCGCCCATAGTTCTGGACCTGGCCTGTGGTGGAATTCCACACCAAGGACAGCTCCTTTGAAGTCCAAACTGGACCACAAATGGGGTGCACTGATAGCAGAGACAGCAGGCGAAGTACCTGGGACAAGAAAACCCTGAGAACGGCAGGGAACGATTCACCATGCCCGCCTGAACGCCTGCACCCACAGGGCAGGCTCACCCACGCCCACCCTCGGCGTACCTCGATCTGCATCGTCTTGGGCTGGATGACGTGGATTTTGTTCTTGTAGCCACACCAGACTCGGTCGTACACCACAGCCATGCAGCGTATGGAATGGTGCGTGTGGCCCAGGTCCATGAGGTGGTAGTTGCTCAGGTCCCACTGCCCATCTAGGAAGGGACAAACGGGGGCAAGCAGATGAGCCGGGGGGAACCGTGTGACCACCAGAGCATCTCGGCGCAGGCAGCTGTGGCTGATGGGTGATGCAACCCCATGGGGCTTCCACTTGACCTTGAGAGGTGCTATTCCCGGTTCTGAACCTATTTGGGGCGGGTTTTAGGACTGCTTCCTAAAACATCAGACTCGAACACAGAATGGATGCACTGCTCCACCGACACTGGGGTCACTGGTCTCCACTGGCTGTGAGCCCAGTCCAGCCCCCAGAAATTCCCCACTGGAGTTCAGGAAGCTTGGGCTCCTCCCACAGGCCTTGCCTTCTCCCCTCCCTTAGCTCTTCCCACAGGCTGCTGGGGAAAACACTCATCTCTTGAACACCGTAAACTTCGTCACCTATCCCAAGCCTTTGGGACAGAGTGGGATTGCCCTGCCAGCCCAACATGCTAAATAAAGAGTTAGGACTGTTTAATTACTGAATTAGTCAGGGAAGTGCTGCTCCGAGAGGCTCTCTTGTGAAGGAGTACAGTGGTTCAGTCTTCCAAGCTTCTGAACTTAGAAGGTGATGGGACAGACCGGGCAATCCTTCTTTCCCATCCAGAGCTTAAGCATGGAGGGATGCAGGACACCTCCTTGCTATGCCGCAATCTGGCATGATAGACATGGGATTCTGCATGCCAGGATCATAAACATTTCACTTCTGTGCCAACACACAGGGATGCTCGATGTGGCCAGATATGCTAGGTGGGTGGGGCAAGTCCTGCATCTTCTTGGAATATATGCTGGATCAGGAAGAAGTAGGAAGCAGTATTACTTAACATAGCCTAAACTAGGATTTCCCGAGTTTCCTTCTGAGTTCTGCCGGTCGTGTGCCATGCACAAATGACAGCTTTTTCCTTTGACTCCCCCGACTACAGATTTCCAAACTCCTAATGTAAGATCTCTCTACATTTTGCAGGAAAGCTGCATCGTTTTCTAGGAAGCCGCAACTTACCTTCTCCCCGATGGAATATTGCTAGAGTTCCATCAGCCAGGGCCACGAGGACACGCCCTTTCACGTGCCTAAATGTACAAGGGAGGGGGAAATCAGCTTCAAAGCAAGGCAGTAACAGCTCCTGAGAAGCAACATGCACAGGAGTGGGAGCACTCCATAATTCGACAGAACTGCATCATACACCCACAGGATGCAGGCTGGTAAACTGGCATCACGCAAACCTAATCGTTCAGCTTAGAGCACGCATGCCTGCAGGTGTCTGCCCCTAGGACTGTGCACAAGGGTACCGGGAGTGTCAGCAGCTGTGATGAGCGCAGGTGGGAGCGGACAGGATCCCCACTGCTTCAAGACACGGGGCTGGAGCAGGCTGTGTCAGGCTTTCCTAACCTGTTGCCCTGCAGGTGTGTTGGAGCTGCAGCCCAGGGCAACTGGAAGGGATGAGGTTGAAGAAGTCTGGCCCACCTGTGTCCCTACACGTCTAGCAGAGTGAATTATGCGTACTATACAAACACAAGTGCAGTTTCTCCTGCTTGGCACAGCTTAAGTAATGTAGGATTTTGAGTAAAGACGTTCCTTATCATCAGTGCAAATACGGGGCTGACTTCAGAACATGGGAAGCAGCCTCCTTCCAGGCCCGATGATCAGACCATCTAGCTCAGAAGTTGTGTGTGTGGACCGGCAACACTTCCACAGGATCTGAAGGGCTTCTCACACAATTCGAATCTAATCCTATTACACCACATTTACATCCTGCCTTTTATTCCCTTGCAAGGAATCCGAAGGGGGTTACAAAGCTGTCCTCCTCTCCCTTCTATCCTCACAACAAACCTGTGGGGCAGGGTTAGGCGCAGAGGCACGGACTGGCCCAAGTCAGCTGGATCCTCCAAGTCCACCCATCACTGTCACTGCGGCTCAGCGCTGGCAAAGGGATTCATCCTGGGATCACCCCTGTGCCACACAGGTGCTCTACTCCTAGGCAGCAGCACCATCCTCTGAGTTGCAGGGCTGCTTCAAAAAAGGCGCACTTGTGCAGGCCCACACACAGGTTGGCAACACCATACTTACACCAAGCTCAGCACAGAGTCCTTCAGCTTGATGGAGTGCAGGCACTTCTTCCAGTTTGAGACGGCCGAGTGCACGTACAGCCTAGAGAAAAGACGGTTTGGGCTGCTAGGATGCTCCCCAAGGTCTGTACCAAATTGGGCAGGGCTCGCACATTTCCGGGCAGCCAAAGGAACTTCCAAAGCAGGTTTGGGAACAAGGACAAGAAGGTGGATGGGAAAGGTCTTAGGCCGGGGCTCCCAGCATTCCCAGGATCCAGAGTGTCAGCTCCTCTCCCACCTCCCGACTACAGATGGCAGGCAGATTTCACTCAAAGATCCAAGAGGTGATCCACCATTAGTGGGTCGCTTTTATGCCCAACCAAGTGAACTCTGTTCTCCGCTGAACCCAGTTCTGGGTTCTACCTTTCCTTCAGTCTTTTGTACCCTGCTGTTTCCAAAACTCCGTCCCTGGAGCCTTGCAGCCCATGCCTTATGACAGGCCCCTACGCCGCCACCGCAGGCCCGAAAGACGTACCAGCCATTCTGTGCTCCGAGCCACATGGTGGGGGCAGCACTGGTGGTAGCGCCAGCTGCATTGCCGTTTGCCTCTTGGTCCTGGGCTGTGGTGCTTGACTCCATCTTTAGCTGTCCATTCTCGCTGTTGGAAAGAAGGCTTTATGAAGTTGCTTTCTTCTAGGCTGGATTATTTGTCCAACTAATCCAAGACTGTCCACTCTGGCTGGCAGAGGAGGGTTTTCCTGATCACCTGCTACCTGATCCTTTAACTAAAGATGTCAGGTAACCCACTGGCTTCAGGCCCTAACAAATCACTATGGGGGGATGTGGCCTGAAGGAAGAGAACAGGCTGCTAACGTCAGCATGGCCACACTGGAATCAAGAGTAGGTTAAAGACCCTTTTATCTCTGCTGTTAGCACCACACTGAAGCCTTTAAGGCAGGACAAAGGCCAAATTCAACTGGGAAAGGCCTGGAGACCTGCAGTCCGTCTCTGGCCAGGCTCAAAGACAGAGCAGCTAGGACCAAACTGTGTGCGCTTTGTAACCCATTTTAAGATTACACAGAAGCAAGCAAGACAAGCCTCTGCACGTCTACTCAGGAGTAAGCAGGCCCAAATCACTCAGCAGACCTTTCAGATAGCTCCCCAAATGCCAAGCCTCAGTACCTCTCAAAAGTCGGCAAAATTCTCAAAAGTTAAACTGAAACCTGCATTCCATGTGCAAATCCAATTTTCCATCAAGTCAGTTCCAGTGAGCTGACATAGAATTAATGGCACTCTTCAGAAAATACGAGGAGAAGAGGCTCTAAGCAACATTTCCCCACCTGCTCTGCCTCACAGGAGCCTGGGCTGGGGTCGGATCTGTGAAGACATGCTCAGTCAGCGGGCCTGTCCGGATGTGGGCTGGCTCTGTTTCGTTCACACCATTCTCTGGCACCTCTGTGGCTTCTGTTGCTTCCTCAGTGGACTGGGACTGATTTATCTTGCCATTACTTACTGCAGGAACCTCACCTAAGAAGCAGAAAGGTAAAAAATAAGTACAGGAAAGCGGTGAGAGATGGAATGCGTATGTGAGGACTGTGAGGGGAACGAGTGAGATACCTCAGTTAGAAGTTATCATCATACAGTGTTTTATTTGCTGAGGAAGTAAGTTACCGAACATCTTGAAGCCACCACACTTACTGTACAAAAACAAAGTTTTATTTTGTTGATAGTTAACTCAGGGTCATAGGCTGTTTGATTATCAGTGTCTCATCCTCAGGACCACATAGTCCAACGAAGGAGCCTTAAAGCTCGGGAACCTTACAGTGGGAAGGGATAAGTGAAAAGATTGGAATTAACCTTCCTGGTGGCGGCAGCAGAAATCAGAGAGTTAACGACTCTCTGACCACATCCATACAAGGAAAGGAGTGTATTCGTGACAGTGATTTTTAAACATCTTGATTTCATTCTCTACTGGATCCATCTGCCTGATCTGCCTTTGCCCCGTATTGCTGAATTTGAGATCACTTGATTAAAAATCTTTAAGACAAAGACACTAAAAAGGAAAGCTCAAAATGGCCCCTGGTTGCGAGACATACTCTGCCCTTTATCCAGGACGGGGGTATCTCCACGGGAGGAGCAGCTGCTGCTGGGTATATTGCACCGGGTTGCACAGCCCACCAGGGTGATGCCTGCCAGAACGCCATCCGTTCCTGAGGACTCTTCGGGGTTCACATCCCCTTCCAGGAAGATTTCTCCGGGAGGGTAGTCGGTGTCACAGGCAGCTGCAAGAAATTTATTTCTGTGAGCTGTCCCGAGGCTATATAGCAAGGGGATGGCATATAAAAACTTTAAATGAATAATAAATAAATAAAAGGAAAAGGTGAGAGATGCTGCTGGGTCAGGACCAAAGCTCAGTAGCAGAGCACCAGCCGTACATGCAGAAGATGCCAAGTTCGAACAGCGGCAATCGCTGCCTGAAGTCCTGAAGGGCTTCTGCCGGTCAGTGTTGACAATACCAGGTTAGATTTATTTAGGGTGCCATTTTACACATGTTTAGACAAGGAAAACGTCTGCAAGGGGAGCTGTAGGCCTTTTTCCTGTTTAAACATGCACAAGGCTGTGCCTTGATTTATTATCTTTACTAGTGAAATGTTTCTATCACTTTCCCATAAAGGTATCAAAGTAGCAAACATAAAACTGAAGGACATAGAAACAACAATAAATATAGTAAGAAAACCACACAACATCCATTTATCAGCTATACAACAGCACACTTTGCTCTGTGCTGCAAAACACAGCTGGCTGTTTCACACTTCAGGGAAAGCCCACGTGAAGAGCTCAGAACGTAAGAGCAGCTCTGCTGGATCAGACCAATAGTCCATCTAGTCTAACACACGATTGTTGCCCACCAGTTTCCTCCAAAAGGATGGGTACAAGACCTCTGACTGCTCAAGCTCCTCGGCAATTGGTGCAGGCAGGCAGGCAGGCCACCTCTGGTAAAGGAGGAAGCACTTGGTCAGCAAGGCCAGCAGTCACGGATGAGTTTTCTGAAAATGTCTGAATGTCAGAACTCTGTGGGCCTGTGCAAGGTCAACTGGTAAGATGTTCCAGAGGGCTAGTTCTACAATATTAAATGCTCTATGTGTACCCTCAGAAGCCATTTCCTATCATATGGAAACAAAATTTAGAACCCTCCACTAATGGAGAAACTCACTAAATATCTTTAGGTATAAAGAGGCCAAGTGGAAACTGACATTTTTAGTGGGATATAGTAGCCATTTTTAGAATTTACTAATTCAGAAAAGAACACACAACAACCTCCTAAGTCCCAAAGAACTCTTTCATTTTATCTGTTAGCATGATGACCAAATAATCTTGCTTACACCAAACAGAGATTTTGAATGATCCAAAAGACTGTAAATAAACTAACTCTTAAGTGCAGCACGAGTGCTGATGTTATTCTGAAAAATTCTATAGGGAAAAAAAGGTTGCCTCTTGTCAGTTACATAGGGAGCAAACTGTTTAAATTCTTTTTAATGTTACCTATCCAACTTCACTCTCTTTCCTTCTTCCCTTATTCTTGACAGAGCATCTTAATAGTGCACTCCTATGGCCACTTACGCAGTAGCTCTATGCTGTCTCAAGTCTGCAGTGACGCAGTGGTCAAGAGGGCGAACACCACCCTTGGTTGCATAGCCAGAAGTGTGGCTTCTAGATCGAGAGAGGTATTACGACCACTCTATACGACTCTGGTGCGCCTGCAACTGGAGTATTGTGCTCAGCTTTGGGCCCCTCATTACAGGAAGGATATAGCCAGGTTAGAGTCAGTGCAGCGTAGGGCCACGAGGTTGGTGGCCAGTTTGCAGGGGATGCCGTATGAGGCGAGACTGAGGGAACTGGGTCTCTTCAGCCTGGAGAAGAGGAGACTCAGAGGGGATATGTTGGCATCATACAGGTATGTGAGGGGGTGTCACACGGAGGTGGGTAGAGACCTGTTCTCCCCTGCAGAGGAAGGCAGGACGCGCCCCAGTGGAGCAAAGCTCAGGGAGTCAAGGAAGCACTTCCTGACAGTTAGGATCCCGAGGGTGTGGAATGGGCTTCTACGGGAGGTCGTTGAGGCCCCATCAATGAGGGTGTTCAAAGATAGGCTGGACATGCACATGGTGGGCATGTCGTGAGTGGGGTCGGCTGGAGCCGGGGGTCAGACTAGATGGCCTGGGAGGTCCCTTCTGACTCGCTCTGTTTCTATGTTTCTCTGACCTCTGAGTGGCCCTGGAAGAAGGTTTTTGGGTGTGAGACGGGGAGGAAATAGGCTCCATCAGCATTGGAAGTATTTTTGTGGTGCCTCACACTCCCTCCCACCAACTCCAAGGCCAAACACTTAAAATGGCTGAGTGCTTTCCATGCTGGGAGATGGGCAGAGGCAACCTTCTCCTCCGCACTTCTCCTAACAGGCACAGGATCTCTGCAAACCTCCAAGTTTATGGGCATCCTGATTGAGCTGTGCCCCAATCTGCTTAAGGTCAGGACAAGAAGCAAACATTTAAAACTCTAGCAGATAGTTGATGAACCTCTTCTAGCTCAGCAGCTGAATGGAATTTCAGAGACATTCTCGAGAACCACATTGCAGTGTTTGCTGGAGCAGAAGGGAAAACAGGCACGTTCACACCTAACAGCATACAGAACCTAGAATCATAGACTAGTCGAGTTGGAAGGGGCTAGAGGGTCATCCGATCCAACAACCTGCTCAATGCAGGCCTCCAAGTTAAACCATCCCTCCTTAAAGTTTTAACATAAAGTTCTTTTGGTCAGCAGCCAAGTCTCAAGGGAAGTATTTGAACTTTTTAGAATAGTGTTGGGGGCAGGGAGGGAACCTTACAAAAACCAGCAAACAACCAATTACTGAGCAAGGAAACGGGTGTCACTGGGCATCTCAGAAGGATGGATTGGGATCCTAGGTAGGTGGGGCTCGGAGCCCCACGGAGCCCCTGAAACAAAAACAAAGCCCCAGCACTGCAGGAGATGAAGCCATCCCTGGCCCTGCTTTCACGCACCTGGGATGCTGGAGATGCAAAGCACGTGGGCATTGCAGACGGTGAAATGATCCACCACGGTGCCGGGCTGGTTGGCATCGATGATCACCACTTTGCTTGTGGACAAGGTGCTCGTGAGAATCCATACCCTGCTGGATGTAGCATCCATCTCGTGCAGCTCTTTGGCCTGCAAAGGAGTGAAAAGGCAGAGGGGGAAGAAAGGAGAGAGGATCAAAGCCGCAAGCATTCTGCAGGCATACGCATAATGGCACGCTCAGGCTTCCCCACGGAACCTTTGCTTTGCACGCTACGTAACTGGACTACCTCAGGAGAGGGTGATGGAGGTACCTGAGCAAGGCTAAATGGCCACCTGTCAGAGATCCCGTAGCTGCATCCCACATTGCAAAGGGTTGCATGACAGCCGCCCTTCCAGCCCTTAGGTTTATGGGCTTCTCTATATAAGGCCTGTACCGAGTGCTCATGATGCCTTACTTATGGTAGTTTGCGGGTGCCTTACAGGATAGCATCATCCTCCAGGGCCTCTCCTATGCTCTGCAACCATTTCCACAGCTCTTTTCTTAGATCAAGGAAAATGTGCCCTGATTTTGCAGTGGTGGAAAGAACCAGAATGAATGAACTAGAACTGGAACCCCCAGATCGGACTACTGCAATGCACTATACGTGGGGCTTCCCTTGAAAACAGCCTGGACTCTTCAAATGATCCAGAACAGAACAGCACAGCTGCTAATAAGGACTAGTTCTTACAAACATGTTACACCTCTCCTGCATCCATTGCACTGGCTGACTGTTCAGTCTGGGCTGAATTCAAGGGCTTCACTACAACATATAAAGCCCTAAACAGCTTAGGACCACGTTATGTTAGGGTGTGCCTTACTCCATATATTTCTGCCCATCATGTAAGGTTATCAAAGCAGGCCCTCCTACGAGTTAGAAACATAGAAACAGAGCGAGTCAGAAGGGGTCTCCTGGGCCATCTAGTCTGACCCCCAGCTGCAGCTGGCTCCACTCATGACATGCCTACCATGTGCATGTTCAGCCTGTCCTTGAACACCTTCACCAATGGGGCCTCAAGCTCCTCCCGTGGAAGCCCATTCCACACCCTCGGGGTCCTGACTATCAGGAAGTGCTTCCTGGCATCCAGTCTGAACCTCAGTTCCCTGAGCTTTGCTCCGTTGGGGCGCGTCCTGCCTTCCTCTGCAGGGGAGAACAGGCCTAACCTCCCCGTAAGAGGTTAGTGGGAGGTTGCAAGAAGGAAGGGCCTTTTCTGTGGTGACACCCCAAGTATGCATTGCCATCAGAGATTTATCAGGCTCCTACACTGCTGAGTTTTAGGTGCCTGCCTAAAACTTCTTTTCCGGCACACCTATGGCTCCACTTAGATTATTTTTGCATTGATTTGCACCAGTTTTAATTCATGAACTTAAGCTTTGTTCTTTATTCTTGTTATGTATATGTTATTTTATCTTTTTATTTTAACTGTATCATCTTACTTATCTTACTTATTGGTAATTTTATTGAAATGGCCACCCAGAGAGTGTGATGTTAATGGGCGACCTTCAAACAAATTTAATAAAGAATGAGAAGCTCCTGTATTTTCTCGGTTCTACTGCAACACCACCTTGTGGTTGTGTAATGGAACATAGAGCAAAGCAGAAAAAGAAAACCCTCAGGAAAAATCATGTCAAGGAGCTGGTTTTGATTCCATTCTGAATCCAGTAGCCTAGATAAAGTGGCAGCCCCATGCAGAGGACATTCATATGTCACAGGCAGTTTGACCCTCTACCCAGCTCTGCTCTCTCTGAATATTTCCTGACTCTGGCTGAACTTCACACATACATTCTGGGGCTCCCAGCTTGGAATGGAATCATAACTGGCATTTTCCAGGTGAGGAAGTCCATCCGAGCAATAACAGTTTACTACAAACCACCTGATGAATTCCTGGCCAAATCCCCCAGAAACCGAGACCAACTGAAGCCCACCATGCAGTATGCACTCTGGTTCCCACTCTGTTCTGGCTTCTCTCTGTGATGCCCAAGTGGCAGCCAGTACGTTCCCCACTGACACTTCCTGCAAAACCACAAATGCCTCACTGCGCTTGTTCAAAAGGCGTTCATTGACAGAAGAGAACTAAGGGGCCCTGAAATGCATCATGTGCACTTTCAGTGCGCTTTTTTGCCTATCCAGTCTATGACGAACAGCTCAGGTCAGGATATCTAACCATTTCTGCAGGAGATGAGAAAAACAAGCCATTTTCCTTCCCAACCTTTTTCTTTTCTGGAGATGCGTGGTTACTCTTGCAGCTCTCGCCTTCTACTTCTCTGTCACAGGTCAGAGGGTCGCAGCCTGGATCTGGCTTCTGTCCGTTACCAGTCTCTGCTTCCACAGGCTTCCAGCCAGTCAGGTTGACACCAGCGGCACACCATAACTAAAAATGCAGAGAAAGGGATTCAGTGCAGACCCCAAAAAGTCACTCCAGTAAGCTGGGGCTGGTGGTTGTAACATCAGTGAGACAGTGTGTCTATTGTGGGTTTTAGTCTGGGCTTTTAAGGACTATCTACGGTGTCAAGCCAAGCCAGAGTGGGTAGAATGGACACATCATCCCACTGTGGACACATCTTCCCCGACAATGAAGCTACCAATCTCTACTGATTCCAATCATATATGAAGATACTGTCATGCCTCTCAAACCCAGGACTGCTAAAACAAAGAGCAATGGTACACATCAGAAAGTCAACGCAATGCTTGGAGTTCTTTAACTCCCATGCTTTTCATCTCATTTCCACTTAGAAAACCAGCTTGTCGCTGCCAGAACGTACAGATGAAAGAGTACACTTCTGTCGAACAGAGTAACTCATGAGGGCAAGGGTAGCAGAATGCAGATCTCCAGACGTTAGGCGTTTCAACTCTGCAGTGGGGGTCAAACTGCAGGAAATAACATGCTGGAAATGGGCGAAGCCACAGCACAAACTGGGCAAGGCCAGCTTTTTTTCCACCACCCTTGTCTCCGTCTCCTTTTCCTCTGCCTCGCCTCCTCCTTCCACTATCCCATCAACTTCTGATATAAGGCTAAGAACTACACGGAATTAGGCTGTGAGCTGCATACGATTTCAACTTGCCCGCTGTTGCCTTAGGCCAGGAGTGGGTTCCCTTCAGGCTTGTGGAATGCATTTCATTTTTATTAAAACTCTTGATATGCATCAACTGGAGCCTGGTACAAAAGACATAACCTTTGAATAAAAGAATTCTGAGCCCAGGAATTTGTTCTGAGCACTGGAGCTTGAGCAAAACTCACAGTCCTTCCACACAAAAATGAACTCTGTGGAACACAAGCTGTCTTCATTCCAGTGGTTTTTTTTTTTTTTCTTTTTCTGAAAAGGGGATGTATTTTGTTGCTACTAGTATGAATCCGAGACTTGGAAGTTACTGCTGATCCCCTAGAAATCTGCTTGGAAATCTGCCAGGAGAACCAAATCTACCTTCAGCCCATGACTGCCGTAGGATGATCCCAGATACTGGAGCGCCTCTGCCCACATGGCAACTGTTCCCATATAGGCTTTCCCTTGCCCCTCGCTGGGTAAATGAGCAGGGAAGGCAGTCAATGTCATGCACCACGTGAGCAAAAACTGAACGGGGGAATCATATCCTGACGTGCAATGCATTGCAGGCCCCAGCAGGCATTCCTGCTAAATCGGAAATTCTTGCATGTCGTTGAGATTTACCTTCATGGTTGGGTCCTTCTCCACCAGAGGGCGGCAATACACCGGCACTGGGACATTCTTCATCCGGTTGTCTTCTTGGCCACCATTGGGACTCAACTGTTGGAGGGGATGTAGGTATGATTTCAAGTTACCAAATTACACAAAAAACTCCTACTGGGGCAAACCAAAGGTCCATCTCGACTCTCATGCTGCTTACCAAGGAGGATCATGAGAAGAAATAATTTTGCATGTGTATACACAACCACACATCCACACTCCTGCCAGGAGTGTGTCCCCCATCAGATCCTTGCCTTGTCCTAGTTTTTAAAAATTTCACAAATAAAATGCACTATGTGAGCACACAGTGACTATGTGAGCACCAAAATGGATAAATTTAACTTGCTTGCAAAACCAAATTTGGCTCTTTCATCACTCTGTAGCTGTTATGGAAAGTTAAATTTCCATTTCAGCACTTTTTAAGATTTTCTTCCCAATGTGTTTCAGGGGAGGAGCCCCCGCAGGCACCCACCTAATCTGCTCACACAACACTTAAAATTTTTTACATAGATATGTGTACTTTCTGCTATGCAGTTATGTCTTAATTTGAAAATGAGACAGAACATTTGGTAAAAGAAATGCCACTGGTGTCTTAAGAGCAATTTTGCTGTGAGCACCAGCCTGGTAGATCTTGATGACAGGAAAAGGCGTGGGAGCAAGTGTGTAGGCTGGCAGTGGGGAGACAACTCAGTCCCTCCTCTGCAACAGGCTGCTGGAGGAAGGATAATCCTCTCTCTTCCACCTCTGCCAGGCTTTCCACAGAGGTTCATCTGGTGCCTTTGTTCGTTCGTTCGTTCGTTCTGTCTGTCTGTCTGTCTGTCTTTTATTTGGAGTTTTTGTATGCCATCCCTTTCGCATGAGCCTCGGAACGGCTCCCAATACAAAACATATAAATAGTACACATAAAATCCAGATTCACCCTGGCTGTAGAATTAAAGCCAATAAATTAACAGTTGTGAAAACATTGTTTAAATAAAAAGGTCTTGGCCTGGCACCAAAAAACAAATAACGACGGCGCCAGGAAGACCTCTCTGGGAAGTGCGTTCTACAGGTGGGGCGCCACCACAGAGAAGGCCCTCCTCTGGGTACTCAGTCTCCTAACGTCTTTCACGGAGGGTTCCCGGAGGAGGGCCTCTGCCACTGATCTCAAGGGGTGGGAGGGCAAATATGGAAGCAGGCGTTCCTTTAGGTATCCAGCCTTTATAGCCTTTCCGGTGACAAAGACCTTTTCATTCACTCAGTCCTTTTAAACAACTTCTTTAAGGTTAAAAAAGGTGGTAACTTTGAAAAGGCTGAGCTGCAAAAAGGTCTTATTTTTCTTTTGCTAAAGAAGGAAGCATTTTATCCTCCATTTGAAATTACTGTGTTGTAGCTTAACATTTCATTTTGTTCTTGGTTCAGTAAGTCACCCAGAGGACACATGTTGATAGGAAATGGTATCAATATGGCACATGAAATAAAAAGAAAGGAAGACATTTCTGCTGTGTGTTTTTTTTTTCCAAGGTTGCAACCTAACCCCAAGAAATGATAAGGGCCACATTTAATCAGCAAAGGAATGAGTAAATAAAGGGAAGAATTTGTCTCTTTACTTCAAGGGCACTGAACTTCTTTTAGGCTAAGGGCCAAATTCCATTTGCAAAAAGCTCTGAAGGGCTGCGTTTCCAGGGGGTGGGGGGCAAAAGACCAGCCTGTTTTAGCTTAATTACTGACTTACACACCGTCCTTTTAGAATGGGGCTGAAAGAAACCTACGCAAAAGCTCAGAAACCAAGCAAATGATCAGCTGGTGGCTGAAAGGCCTTCCGAGGATTCCCAGGGCGCCGGATCAGCCACCGGGCCTGGTGCTTTACACCCTTGCTCCACTGAGCCTCTCCAGTGGGATGGTCTTCCTGACTGCCCCTGTGACTGGCTCCTTCCAGCAAGGGGATCCCCTACCTGCTTGTACTTGGCAGGAAGGCTCCACCCGCAAGCCTGCAAGCGGCCGTCGTCGTTCCGCACGTGCTCCCGGACTTGGCGGTACTGCTCGCGTTTCTGCTCGCGCCGTGCAGATGATGTACAGTCACTGAGGAAAGAAGCGACCTTCAGTTAGAAACAGCAGGCAGGTGCTTAAAGAAGTTAGGCCGTGGGGGCAGAAAGAGAGAGAAAAGCCCGCTTAGAATGTACAGTCCAAGCAGAAACAAAGCTGTAACACAGGATCAAAGAAACAACATGAAATTCCCTCTGAGATGCTGTGTGTGCATAGGAGAAACCTCAGCTCTTGCGGGAATCAAAACAAATCTTCCTTTACTACCGGGGTTACAGCAATGAGCTTCAGCTCCTGGGTGGAACAGCAATCAAAGCAACTCAAATCAAATCAAAATTGGCGATAGTTTGTTGATTACTAAAAGAAACAGTGCCTACCACAAAATGTTACAGTATATTTTCCCCTCTTAATAAGAATGCTCCTATTCAGGGCTCAGGGTCAATGCACAGGGATGATGGGAGTTATCCTCCAACCACATGGGGAGACATACACGTTCTCCAACCTGATTCCACAATTATTTCTCTATGATTGATTGAAATTGATGCCCACCAGAAACATGCTGGATGAAACAGGAGGTTGTAATAGGAAATAGTTTAGTCTGGTTGAACCTTGTCTAAAAATCTCAAATATATGTATGTGTGTGTTTAATTGTGGATTACTTAAAAGCATCATGGAGGTCTTGCTTCCTTCGTTGACAAATGTATTCTGTCTTTTATAGTGTAGATGCATAAATAAATATTAACAAACCAAAACAACCCATGTTTCTTCTTTTATTTTGGTTGATGTGTCTTATTATGTTGTTCCTTTTTTACATTTTGTACATCACCCTGGAATCTATAATGATGAAGGGTGGGATATATTTTTTTAAAATAAACATCATCAAGAAATATAAAATAATTACAGTGAAAGCCCAGCTAATTGTGGAACAGGCATTGCTTTGCCAAAATTCAGTCAGCTCACACTTTTAAGATATAGTTTTGGTTTCTCACCAAGCAACTAAGCAAAGACACAACAGAAACATGAAGGAAATGGGGTGATAACTCACTCATCTGGGAAGAACTCCAGGGTGCGGCTCCCAGCAGAGATCTGGCACATGGTGTGGCTGCGACGTTGGCTGAAGCCAGCCGCCGTGGGAGATTTGTAGTGTATATTCACTGATGGGTAACTCCGTTTGGCTGGCGGGGGGCTGGAGGAGGAGCTGAATAGGCGGCTAAAGCTGGAGAGAAAGAAAGAAGCCAAGATGCGTTGAATCCTATTTTTTAAACTGTTTTAACTACATTTTTTGTAATCGCCTGAATCACTTCAATTATTGTTTTAATTAGATTTACTGAGAAACTCCTGGATTTATTATTGTTGATAACAGCACCATTTCTTTGGTAAAAGGTAGGGGTTTAAATGAAATAAAAAATAAAGACATTTTGTGAAGCTCTTATTGTTGTTGTTGTTGGCCCTAACACCGTTGCAAAACAGCCTTCAAGGGGCATGGGAATGATTCTGATTCTGATGAAGAGGCAGTGGTGGCACTCTCAGCTGAAACACCAAAGGCACCGAATTAGAGAAAAGCAGGGAAGTGGAAGAGTCAGCTAGCCTGAAGTGCTGTGGGAAGCCAGGGCAGGCCTGATCAGGAAAAGCAGGGCACCATGAGTGTGACTGAATCCCGAGTGAGGTGTCCATTGAGAAGAGGAAATCAATTGTAAGCCGCCCCGAGGCTTCGGCGAATGGGGCGGCATAAAAACGTTTTAATAAATAAATAATAAATAAATAAAATTAAGGGCACAATCTTATGCAACTTCAGTAAGAGAAACGGCTGGGGTTTTGAGCCACTTTTCCATAATATACTAATTAACTAGCATGCTGACTAGCTAACTAACTTTGTTTTGTTTGTTACTGATTTCTGCAGCATGCTTAATTTGTACCTTAGAGCCATGGGTAATTTGCTCCTCATTCCTATCACCATAATAAAGCTAGTAGTCAGAAGAACTGTGTTTGCCTTTGCAAACTCTCAACCTGGTGCCCTCCAGAAGCCCTGGGCTGCAACTCGTTACAGGCTCGAAACAGTGGGAACTGCAGTCCAGGACATATGCAGGGTACCAGGTGACTGGGAGGCTGACTTAGACCAAGGGACAGGGGCATGATTCCGACGGAGGAAGCGACAGGGGAGAAAGGGGCTATTAGACACCATCCCGCACTGTGCCAAATCTCCCTTTTTCAAAACAGCTGGATGAGACTGCTAGTTAGAAAAACAACCGCAAATCCTTAATGGCAGGATGCCCTATCACGTTTCTCCCATATCACACCTATTGTAGTCCTGTGGGAAAAATAAACAGTTGGGGATGCCGTTGTGTAACTGCAAAACCTGCCCTGTGTCCCTGATGCCAGGGTGGGGCATAAATGCAGGTGGAATGCAAGCAAGGATGAACTGCTTGCAGGCCCCCTCTTGGCCCGTTTCTCCAGTCCAGCAGCCGTCATTTATTTTATTTATCTATCTATTTATATCCTGCCTTTTTCCTGCAAAGGGCTCAAGGCAGCTTACATCATTCTCCTCCTCCATCTTATCCCCACAACAACCACCCTGTGAGGTAGGTTGGGCTGAGAGTCTGTGACTGGCCCAAAGTCACCCAGTTGGCTCCATGGCTGAGCGGGGACTAGAACCCGGATCGCCTGAGTCCCAGTCCCACGCTCTTCACCACTGCACCACACTGGCTCGCCATCATGATGGCGACTATGCCATGGCTGCTCCATGCAGCAGAACGAGGCGGTTATGAGGATCCATCCCGAGGTGGTGAAACGAGCAGGGCTGTTTCGCCTCCTCACATCCCTTGTCTCTGAATGGGCTGAGCAAGCTTCAGCCAAGAAAAGCGCACCGGCAGAACTGCTATGCCTCCAGCAGCTGCCTGTGGTAAGCTCTTCACGACACGCAACTTTCTGCTTTGGACTCCCCTCAAGCAAGCAGCTTACTCACAATTGCCAAATGGTCGATTTCTTTTTCTCCTGGACAGAAGGGTGTTCCCGGGAGGCTCTGTGGACACAGAGAACAAAGGATTCATAAACAGTATATACAACAGAGTGACAGCACTTCTTCCACTCCATCAGTGCATGGACAGCAACAGCAGGACAATTACATTTGTTTTACACCAATAACAAAGTCACTGTCCTTCATTCAGCAGGGAATTGACCTCAGGAATATTTGAATTTAGCATTTCCAAAAGGAAGAGTTCACATTTTTCTGCCTTTCTTGCTCCCAAGTCCTTGCAGTGAAGAATAATTATGGACACCCTAACCGTAAAAACTCCACTCTCACCTGATCATCTCTGTCCACCGGACCGCCTCCTGCAGCTCCATCAACCTTTCTTTGTACTGGTTGCGCTCCATCAAGACCCGGGCCATCTCCACACGGGTGAACCGCCGCCGCTGAGCAATTGGGATGTTGTCCTGCAGGGGGGAGGAGGATGGCTTCAACCAGTAGAAAACGGAAGGGGACGGAGGTTAGTACAGAGCGAAGCCAGGAGACTAAAGGCATAAAGATTAGCTTAGTCTGGATATATTCTGCAATCCCTACTCCAGATGTTTCTCAATTCTAGCCAAGGAGAATCTAGCTGCAATCACATGAAGAAGGGGAGGATCACATCTGGAGAAGAGGGACTGAGCAAAAAGAGAATATTTCTACAAGCCTTCAAGACTGGGTTGGATTCAGCTCTACACAGCCTGCTTCTGCAGTGAGGTGTTAATATGGGTTAGTAAACACATATTAATCTCAGGCACAGAAAAATGGAACACAGCACAGAGGAATCTAATTTGGAAGCAGTGCGCTATTTGGAAAGAGAGCAAAAGTGAAGATCAGAACGTAAGAAAATCCCTGCTGGATCAGACCCAAGGTCCATCTAATCCAGCCCTCTGCGTACACAGTGGCAAGCCAGCTGCCCAGAGGCTCTCTCAGGCAGAGTTGCTCCAGGACCGACGCTGTGGAAGGACTGTCGGGGACTTTATAGCTGCAACCCAACAGAAGGCTACCACACCCCGCTTTTGCATAAAATGTGCTGAAAACTTGCAAAACTGGGTTCTCCAGAAAAGGAGAATATGTGCGCCATCAGAAAGGCAATAATACATTCAGCCCATATTATGCCTGCCTTCTTCCTACACTGCATTAAAGAAAGCAATTTGGGGTCTGAAGTAATGGGACCAGTATGGGTATGTCAACCGTGTTAGCAAGTCCGCACTGAGAGAGGCGCTCCAGGCTGTTCTCCACAAAGCGGTCCAGGAGCACGAGTGGTGGGCAACCAAGCTTACCTGGTCACACTCATCATCTGCATGGTCCCCTGAGGGAGATTCCACTGACCACTGGGCAGCAGGGAGAGAAGGACAAGATCGAAATGCGGCCCCTCGCATCTGCCCGGACAGCTACGTGCCAAAGGCTTTGGAGGCCGGAGGAAGCACTGTTTGGTAGCTGAAGGGCAGGTAAGGAAGGAGCTGAGCTGAAATAACCATCCCCTTTAGCAGGGTGCAGCACTGGGGGGCATTTCAGTGAAGGGGGGGTGGAGACTTGAATGAGCATGGGGTGTTGGTTCCACTTAGCAGCAACGGCATTCACACTTCCCACTGGCGGCTGGCATCGCTTTCCTTCCCAGCTCCTTCCTACCCAGAAGATGCTAGAGCAGGCAGGATGTGTAGCTTCTTGCTTCTGCAGCCACCCAGAGTTGGTGCTAAGATGGGCTCTCCCAGTGAGGGCAGCAGCAAGCAGCAGTGCTTCCTGGGAAAGGAACCTGCCATCAGTGGCAAGCGTTACTGCTGCTGTTCTGCTGCCGGCACCAAATAAAGGTGGAGGGGGCAAAAAGCTCTTCAAGGTCCGCTGCGCCCTAATTCGAGCCAAATAATCTGCCAACTTCTACTTCTGCTCTAGTTATGAGGGACTGAGGAAGCCCAGGATTTAGGAGTGAGAGAGCTGCAGGGTAGCTCATGGCCCTATAAAATAGGAGGCTGAGATTGAAACAGCAGCTTGTCTTGCTTTTGGAAATTTACGCAGATGAACTTGGGCAGATGCAGTTACTTCTAGAGTATGGATCTGAAGCATGTACTTCTTTAAAAGAAGGTTAATAAGTGGGTTCAGACAACACGATAACCCACACTCAAGGGTTGCGTATGGCTTGATAAGCCAGGGGTTTACTCTTGAAACATGGGTTATCATGTTATCTGAACCCAGCTGCATTAACAAACCATGGTTTATCCCAGGTAGGTTCAGACAACATGAAAAGCCATGCCTACACCTAGAATGTTATCTCCCTGGAAGGCTTCAGGTCCCTACAGCAAAGGCAGGGAATGCAGAACCCATCCAAAGACCGACAGACCGCATCTGCCATCAGACCTAGGCAGCACAGCCAGTGGTGAGAAATGAAGGGACCTGAAGTCCACCAACGTCTAGAGAGGCACACATTCCAAAAGGGAACTATCGGTTTAGCTGCAGCGAAGGCAAGCTTTTTGCTTCTGAACCCTGTACCACGACATGCTCGACTTCGGATGATACAGAACGACAGCACTGCATGTATGCGTTGTGCAGCTTGCTCGCCTTTTAAAAGCAGCTCAGGTGTGGGTGCAAGTGAATTAATCTTTCTCCAGTGCCAGGAGATGTCTATTCACCCCAGGAAAGCTGCCTCAGTGGCACCACAGACTCCCTAACATTTTCAGCTTTGCATTTCACTACAAAGTTAAGTGCACACGGTAATGACTTGCAGTGAAACCTTTGGCCCATTCCAATTTTCATGTGCACACACCCTGAAACTGGTAGCCCTGAGCATGCCGATACTCAAATACAACAAGCTGCCCCCAGATACCTGCCACCCCAAAGGCTAAGTAAATGAGGAAGACCCCCACCCCAAAAACGAGTCCCTCCTTCCCCAGGCATTTTAATAATGTAATATACCAATTCTGTACAGAGATAGCTGCTTACATCCTCCACCTCTTCTTTCGGCTCTCGCCTCGCAATGATCACCTCTGATTTCACCCTGAAAAAGAGGAAAGGGCTTCAAACAAAGCAGGTTCCAGGGTTGCACTCACTGGGTGGCACTGACTGGCCCAAATAAGCAGCCCTGAGTCTCTGATCGGCCAGCAGGTCTTCTTACAAAGACATGCTGCAAAGAAAGGGGTGCCAGAAGTACCTCCCGGGGGAATGGATGTGATCCATGGGCTGTCAGTCGCTGGTCATTTCCTTTCTTCAGCACAGCAGGGCTGCAGGGCAGCAAGGGAGCAGAACTGTGTGAAGAAGTGACGTAGCACACACTACTCTTGCCCAAGCAACTACAAAAATGCCCCCCCACAAAAAAAAATCCAGCTGCATAGGAAAATACTATAATCCTTCAGTCTTATTTTTGCTCAGCCCACCGTTTGGACAGCTGCAAAACTAGATTAGACAAATTCAGGGCAGATAAAGCTATCAATGGCTAGGAACCCAGACGGAGTCATACGCTCACTCCAAGGTCACAGGCAGAAGGTCAGGGATACAGACGGGGAGGTGACCTTGCACTCGTACTCTGCTTGGGGCTTCTGTAGGGACTGGGCCTACTTCTTCCAACAGACAGCCTTCCTAGGAAGAATCAGAACTGGAAGAAGAGGCCAGACTGAAACTCTTGGTGGAAATGCCAGGAGACCCAGAGATAAGCCAAGAGGCCTTATCTCGAGAGTCAGGAGAGCCATGGCTCTCAAGATACGCCATGGGAGCCAGACCAGGTCTGCTCCTGTGGGAAACCCTGCTGGACCAATGGAATTGGATGGGGGCAACTTGGCGTGATGATGCTGATGTACAGCATCAGATGAAAAGGGCAGCCCGACTGAACAGTGTCAGATGTGCTGCTGACTGAACCACAGGTAGCATGAGCACTCTGGACACCTTTTGGCTGAGAGAGGAAGAGAGGCAATTCACTCTGTCCTTTGGCCTCACTGCACTAACGGCGGGTGTCCTAACTTTGCAGGTCTCTTTCATAACTGGACTTCTGCAATACCCTTCTTCTGCATCACAAAACCAGCCTAGCCGTCCAGTTGCTAGAAGCATTTTGGCCTGACCTGTTGGGAATGGGCAGGAGAGGAAGGAAGACTGGTTCCTGAAAGATTCTCTGGAGTGTCTGATCGGCCAGCACAGGGAAACAGGATGGTGAACCTAGGTGGACATGTCATGTGATCCACCAGGGCTCTTCTTAACCTTCTTATCCGTTGCTGGTGAACCTGAGTAGGAGGTTCTTTCTCCACTCTTGTTCTACTTGTGGGTTTCCTACATGCTGCAGTCAAAATTATGGGCACTCCATGGCCACTTTGGTTTGTTTATAGCATTTTTATGCCGCCCCCATCCCAGAAAGCCTTGGGGTGGCTTACAAAGAAGATAAACAACATAGAATAACATTAACATTTTAAGGCTGCTTTTTGAACGTTAGAGGTTCTAACCAAGGCTGTTGTGTCTGTTTTAGTCTCAGAGAGCTCATCTTTGGATTTCACACTGAAAGATCTCTCAGGCAGAATCAGAAACTCACCTTTTCAACTCCTCTTCGAGTTCCTTGATTCTGGCTTCCATTTTGGTTTTTGTCTGCTTTGCTGCTTCCAGCTCTCCTTTCAACACTTCCTGCTCCCCAGTGAGCTGGTCTACCTTGGCGATCAAATCATTCTTCACAATATTCAAAGCATTTCTTTGGGACAGTGAAAAGCAAACAGAAACAGCAAAGTCTTTAGTCTGGAAGGCAACATGTGGAGCTGGCCCTCTGCATAAGAGTTTTTGGGAAATGTCTACCAAGAGGAATGGTCAGGGGGAATAAGCAATTTCTCATCCAAAAAGAAATATAGAATCACAATTAATTCTGGGGGGTGCTGAATCACAATTCCCCTTTGCCCAGCCAGAGGGGGTAATGGTCAAGGATTATGTACATACAACAAGACAGGTGCAAGTAAGGAGAAAGCTACTTGCCCCCAAAATTAATGAGATCACCCCAGCAAACTTGACACTGTGCTGTCGTCTGCCTCCGATCATGGGGACTGAACTATCAACCTGAGAGGAAGATGCCACCAAAGCACACTCCCCAGGACAAGCATTTCCCTGCCTGAGACCAGGTCAAGGTTGCAAATTAGGTATCCGAACAAAATGGAGCAGGCAATGTGCTCAAGAGAAGTTGTGCAGGTGCTTAGAAACCAGGGTTGCTCTCCAGCCTAAACAACTTATGTAGACCTTTTTAATGTCACCTGACCTCAAGCTGCCTGGGCGTTATGATCTCCATCTGAGGCCTTCCTTCAAGTGCTGCCTCTAAGGGAGACTCGGAAGGTGGCAGCAAGGGAAAAGGCCTTCTCAGTGGTGGCCCCCCCAATTGTGGAATGATCTCCACACAGAGGTCCGTCTAGTACCAATCGTACCAATCATCTTTTCAGTGTCATATTAAGATTGCCCTCTGCTTCCAGGCCTTTCATAGCATATGGTGGGGCATATGTTTTAAATGGATAAGGGGTTTATTACTGAAATTGTTTTGGCTGTTGAAAAATCTTAAATTCCGGCTATTGAAACTTTATGTTGCATTCATTGTATCTGTTTTTTATGCTTCATTTCATTATTATAACTGTGTTTTGAGAATTGCTATGAATTGCCCAGAGAGCTTGGGCTGTTGGAGGTGCTGAAATGAAATTAATGCTAATTAAACCTTCTCAATGCAATGTGCTAAAGCTCAGTTTTGCAGTATCGGGGTAACCTGAATATTACTTCTTCTGGACTGTACAGAAGTGGGACCCATCTGCTCACTCCAATGTTCTGTGGGAAATGGTGAATGAGTAAAACCACAACATATGGATCTCATCTGCCAATATGTCTGCAAAGATTAGGGATATGCACAATATATGCCAATAAGAAAAGTATTTTGAGAGGAGAGGCTGGTGTCTTACTTAGTTTCCAGCAGCTGCGTGTTCTCCATCAACAGATTCCCAACTTCCTTGCCCATCCCTGGAGGGATGGAAAAGAAAAAATAGTAAAAGAAGCCACAGAATTTTGCACCGTACCCTTCAGAAAGACAAATTCTGGTGTTTCACTAGCCAATTCTCCTTATTTAGGACAGGCAGCATCCTGGTTCAAGAGCCTGCAAGGGTATGTTTTGCTGCACAGTGCAAAGAGCCCCCTGCCCAACTGAAGTCATAGAAAAGAAGCAAAATAACGGAATGTGTAGAAACATATCCATTCACTCCAGTACAAAGATGTCTCCCAGAGTTAGGGGCAGACGAGACAGCTACCCTCAAAGGTTATTCCTAGATCTAATTCCATTACGCGGAGAATCTAGACAAGGACCAATTAATACAACTCCTGAAATTTGGGCCATCTTTCTTGCCTTCAACTGGGATTCAACCATGTAACCCATATCACAAACACAGTTCAAAATCCTGCTCAGCCAGCAATGTCCTAATTAGACTACCAGGTTCAGGAGACCAAGTCTCAAATCTCTGCTTAACCAGTTAGCCTACTTCACAGCATTGTTAGGAAGATGAAGGAAACGGCCCTTCGTGTAATCTGTGCTCCTCAGAGGAGAGGCAGGAAAAAATATATTAAGCACAACACACAGGATAATGCTTTAGAACTTAAGCATCAAATTAGCCCAGTGTGGTCACCCAGGCATTATGGGCCTGCAACTCCCATCCTCCCTTTCCACTCAGTGTGCTGGCTTCGGCTGGTGGGAGTTGCATTGCACACAGCACCAGGAAAGTCCCAAGTTTCCCGTCCCTGTGATAGCCAAAGTCTTCTACCTAGTCTCTGAGGAGACAGCTGATCAAGCCACCTTAGACCTTAAGTCTGTCTGTATGTCCATCTAGCCTGATGTTGTTTACCTGGACTCTTTTGGACCAATTCGTAAGATCCAGGAGTCTACATTAGCACAGCATTCTGTATTTTGTTTGACATGGGCATGCCACAGAAGGATGCACCTCGAGAGGCATCCTCCTCCATCAACCTGCAGCGCTGCTTCTCCTGTGTCATCTCACTGCATGATGCTGTGTTCTTTTCATTTCATGGATGAACATTTGTATAACTCATTCCTGTCTTCCTGGAGCCATTCCTGTTTATCAGAAAGCTATTGCCACTATGCTGCTCCACTGGAAGTCCCTAAAACTCATTCAGCAACAGCTTGGCTGTATCTCTTGAAGAACTTCTGAGATTCCTTAACTTTTGGGGGTCACTACCATGCTGGCATGAGCATTCAAATCCCATCTGGAAAACACGACTGAGTTCGAAGTAAGCATCTGCAGGATTTCATGGTAAAAAGTGCCCTTGTCAGGCTGTCTGTGTGTGAATGTTGTTAATGTAGGATTGACAGCAGAAAAGAGCCAAGGGGGTGTCAGTGGACAGATGGCACCACTTTGAGCAGAACTTAATCCCCACTCCACCAGCAAACTCATGGGGAAGGCCATGCCAAATTCAGGACAGCCTCTCTTAACACTGAGCATTCAGTTCAGGGAGATGAGACTTTCCCTCTCATGTCAAGGCATTTTAAAAAGTCCCTCTCATCCTAACACCGCAGCTAGCACCTGCACCCCTTTCCACATCCCAAGCTCCCTTCCACTTCACACTGTGTAGAGAAACATTTTTTTTTTGCTGTTTGTTTCAGGTCACTTTTAGCAGGACAATGAAGAACGCACACTCAGGACAAATGAAAAGTTGAAAACAGGAATCATGGCGGCATACAAGGAGTGAGAACATGTCACGACACACGGGGGCGGCACAGACCTTCTTCCCAAAATGAGATGATATGGGCGGATGATGGCAGAGGGAAGTCCCCCAGCGAGAACAGAAATGAAGCGGCGGTGTTTTAGAAAAGCAAGAGAAAAGAGAGAGAGAAACCCCATTACACCGGTCAACAGGGCACGAAGAGATGAATCCCTTCTGATGTTTCAGACAGCAAGTCGTCTGCAGGCCATTTCGATTAGGGCTTAGCACAAAAAGTCAGACCTTAAACTGAAATGGGAGATTAAAAACTCCAGCCTGGTACAAACCATAGGCAATTTCACACATGGTGGCAAACCCAGATTAGGAAGTCTCAGCAAGGAACTGCAGCCAATCCTAGCAGCCCAATTAATGTGCTGGCATGATGGTTGCATTCCCACATTGCATTTCTTGAATAAGTGTATACCTAACAGCATAATGTATGAAAGGGCCTGGGTATCAGAGGGGAGAGGCAGAGGTTTAACTAGCACCTCTGATTTGCTAGCAAGATTGGGAGCAGGGTGGGATAGGGTCAAATATTTCTCATATTAAGTACCAATTATCATATTTTGGTGCCTGATCAAAAGAACCTCAGGGAATTTTCCAATACTGTATCCAAATCACCAATACCCAGAAGATGCATTGCATAGTAACTGACTCAGGCATTGCTATTTAAAGTAATGGAATATCATCCCAAGTCTACACATTATATTTAAAAATACAATTAATTGACAATCTGCATCAGGTTGGTACAGGGCACAGGATCAGGACAATCAACCTCACTTTGTCAGCAAGGTGCTAGCCCTTAAGATGATAAAGTCTGGCTTAAAATTGTATGAAGGATGACAGGTCAATCTCAGAAGCGGAAGGAGCAAAATTATCACTCAGGGAGTGCAGCCAATTATTTAACATAGCCCACAAATCACACATTGTGGTGAGCTGCCTGTATAAGTACGCATTAGGTGTGAGCTACTTCTGGGAGCTGGAAAGCTACCCTCTCCCCAGTCACTGCTGACAGATTTGCTGCAGAGGAAGCAACAGCTCCACCCCTGAATGGTCTGGCAAGAAAACAAAGTTACCTGGGGATCATACATCTTCTGCATTTCTAGGTTTTGGTTTTTTTTACAGAGTGGATTTCCCTTGAGCCTCATATCCTTGCGAAAGCATGTCTTTATGTCTCCATCACTGCAACGGCCAATTCAGCAGCAGTGGAGTCAGGCTGAGGGTGCGGAACGGGCTGGGAGGGTGTTCACGGCCCATGGACTGCATGTTGCCCTCCCTGGAATCGATGAGTTTGCAACTAGAAGATACTGCATCACCTCCTGACTCCTCGCCACTGATGTGCTCAGAGGGGCCAGGCAAAGAGGCAGTGACAGCAAAGAGAATTTGGAGCAGAGCTGTCAGAAGTGCAGATCCCACATGGGATGTGGGCCTTGGCAAGTGCGCAAAGGTATTGTCCCCTGATGTGTCCCCCTGGATACACATTTCTACAGATCAGGGATTCCAACAGCCTAACCTGGAAGGGGCAGCCTTTCATGGATGCTATTCGTGAAGCATTTGGGAAGTGGAAACTTCTGCCAGGCCACCGAGAGTCAACGTTATCTTCAGGTGAATCCCAGTCTGTTACATCTGACCTGCTAAATATTCTAAAAGAGACAGGGCGAGCATGACCCTGTTGGTTCTCCTGGATCTCTCACTGGCTTTCAGCACCATCAAACATGGTGTCTCTCTGGACAGGTTGGCTGGGTTGTGGGTGTCTGTCCTGAACCGGTGCCTGAGCTCATTAATGGACTGGATGAGGGCCAAAAGACCAAGGCTCGATCCAGACAAAATGGGGGTGGGCAGTGAGTCGGATGGGTTGAATGCCCTCTATGCCCTGTCCTAGATGGGTCATGGTCCCCTTAAAGGGCAGGGCCCACAGCTTGGGAGTGCTGCTGGATCCAAAACTCTCCTTCGAGTCTCAGGCGGACTTGGTGGCCAGGAGCACCTTCCTCCAGCTGCGGTTAATGTACCAGTTATGGCTGTATCTTGACAGACAAAGCCTAGGCACCATCACACTCAGCCTGGCAGCATCCCAACCGGATTATCGCAGCGTGCTTTAAGTGGCGCTGCCTTTGAAGACACTCTGGACGCGGGTTCAAAGGAGGGCCGCACAATTGTTGACATGAAATAGTCTGCAAGCTCGTATCAGACCAGTTCTGTGCCAACTACACTGGCTACCAGTGGAAGTCTGGGCACAAATTAAAGTGCTTGTACTCGCACGTAAAGTCCTAAATGACTTGGGTCCTGGGCACCCAAAGGATCGTCTGCTCCCATATACCCCTATCTGTCCATTAAGATGGAGCCAGGAGGTCCTTGTCAGGGAGCCGTCCCCTAGGGAGGTGAGGGGGGTGCTGGCTAGAAGAAGGGGCTTCTCAGCAGTTGCTCCCCCCTCTGGAATAGGCTCCCCAGAGAGGTGTCCCTGGCAGCAATGTTGTTCGCATTTCAGCGCCAGGCAAAGACTCACCTTTTCTCCTGTTAGTTTAACAATGGATTTTAATGGCTAACTGGTTTGACCCCATGTTGGTTTTAGTAGATTTTAGTTTGAATTGTTTTATATTATATTTTAATTTGATATATTTTTATATGTGGATTATATTGTTAATACGTTTTGAATATGGTGATTTAATGTGATTGAATTTAAGGATGGTGTGGTTTATAATGTGCGCTGTGCAGAGATGTGGGCTACTGTAGCAGCATATAAATCCAATAAATAAATAAATCACTTACAATATACTAATATAAATGCATTTAAAACATTGCAGGGTTAAGATTTGAAGGAAGCAAACAAACAAAATGCACATGATAAAGTCACCCTGATACTACTTTGGGGTGATGCCGCCATGAGCAAATACTTGATCCCTGTAGAAAAATAGGGAGAAAAGGCTGCTTTGGAACACAGGATGGTTTCTGAAATCAGGGCTTTGAAGCATTAAAACCAGTGCTTTGGACTGTATGTCTAAAAGGCTACAGTCTTACTCCCATTTTTAGCTAAATGAATAGCAATGGTGTCAATTGTGTAGACATTTTCTATCACGGGTGCCTGGGTAGGATTTTTGTTTAGCGTTCCCAGAATAAATTACAAGGGACAGCGAAACATGGTCACGTCCCTCAAAACTGCATTTGTGAGCTGCTTGAAACATCAAAGTGGATAATCATCTACATCCTCAAACAGAAGAAAGTATTTCCCAAAAGATGGCAATTGAAGAAAGAGCAACTTCTCTTCCACAAAGCAACTTCATCACCATCACAGGAACAAAATAAAATGAAAAGTCCCAAGAAATCCCAGGGGTGAGGGGTGGCTGAAAGGATGACAAGATGCTAACAGAAAGGAGGACAGGGAACACCCATATGTTTAAAAATGGCCTTCGCCTTACCAAAGAAATCATCCCGTACTATGAAAGTCATTCCATATGAAAAAAGAGGAGGGGAGGGGCAGAGGTATAGAAGAAGGTTGGGGCAAAGAAGAGAAAAGGGGAAAGAAAAGAAGAGAAAGAGAAAAAGCAGCCATTAAATACAAATCAGTAAACGGCAAACGGTGATGTTCTCTTAGCATGTATGTGTGCAAAGATCAGTTATGCTGCAGCAAGCCCGGTGTCTCTCTGCCCTCTTGAATCCAACTTAACATGGAAGAAAGTCTCAGTTTTTGAAATAAATGGATGTAGTAGCTAGTTCTGGTCCCATCACTGTTCTCTACCCTTGTGGAAAAATGACCTTTTATGAAAGGGTAGCCAGAATGACAGCATCGAGAGTTAAAGAGGGGAAGAAAAGGAGGAGGAGGAGGTAAAATTTGGAGCTGAGAGGATTGTTGGAGGACCCCCTTCTAATTTTGAATGGAGCTACTGCCAGGAAAGTCCTCTTTGCGGGATGTTTTCATCAGCAGTGTGCTGTCTACTGGAGAGCCATCCTGGATCCACACTGAATAAAGAAACAACAACAACCGAAAGGTACCACATACCCCATTTGCATTGGGTTGCAACCAACAGTTTCTTTCTTCAAAAAGAAAAACTCCCACTTTCCTGAAATGCTCCTTTAATTAAGGAAGGGCGCTTTTGGATTCAACCCAATGCTACCCCCATTTTCTCACAGGCATGTCGTTCATGGAGGATGCTGCTAAAAAAGAAGTCAGGTGACACTGTTAACATTCCTGAAATGGCCATTATCAACTTCCACATGGAAACCATGATCTTCACTTCTAACCTCACCAGGAGAATCCCAGAGAGGCCCCACTCCCGGGAGGGAAGAAGACCGTATGCTCCTTTTTGGTGGTGAGAGCCACGTTCACACCCACCTACGATGATACGCTCTCATCACTGGCCAAACCAGCACCTCTGAGTAGGTCATCTTGCAACCCAATTAAAGAATGGCAAGTCCTCCGCCACTTTTCAGTCACTCCTAAGGCCACAGAACAAGCTTAAAGGGGTGTGAATGCCATTCCATTTGTGGGGGAAAACAAGCTCTGTCCCGGGAGGACTATTTTATCTTCTCATAATATTAAAATGGGGTTGGGAACAACCAGGATGCCCTTATTCAGACCAGAGTTACGTGACACCTTTGCCACACTGACGGTATTTGGCACAGGGAAGCAGTGGCCCATAGGGAAAGGTCACCCCAGCTTAGCCCAGTGTTCCCAGTCATGCTGGATTAGCAGAGGACTGGTATGGATAGAATAACCATCAAGGTTGCAACCAGGAGTTGGGGAAACATCATTATGCACAGACTGAGGCAAACTGAAGTCGACAGAGGGTGGGAGCAGTCCTCCCCCCCTCTGCCCTCTCCCTCCACCGCCCTGCTCTCCCTCTTCCTTTCTGTCACCCCCTTTTCTCCCTTTTTTCACTGCAGCCTCCTCATCTCCCTCTCTTTGACTACGCCCAGCAAGCTGCCCGGGAAGGACTGGCTTGCTCTTGCGAGCAGGTCATCGCAGAGGAATTCTGAAGCGAGAGGGAAGACAGCGGGTTCCTCACTCTTGCCACAGGCAGCTCCCCCACTGCATGATTTGAGGCACCTCTGGAAAACTGTCAAGTCACATCTGTGCTGTCTGCCCTCAAGATCTTCCCCCGATACTTTCAAGCTAAGCAACAACGGATACAAAACATAGGAAGAACTCTGCTGGGTCACACCAAGGGTCCAGCCAGTGGAACTTCCAGCTTCCCACAGTGGCTAATTCTACCACCTGGGCTAATATGGCTGAAGAGTGACCCTGACTGATCTTTAGGAGTCTCTGGCTCTTTTTTCTATAATCAACGCATTCAATACCACATTTGTCAAGTATTATCACAGATATCAGACATTGCCCTGAAAAGGGAACAAACTTCCATGGCTTTACTGTAAAAGCAGAGCACAGAAGGCACTGAAAACACAGGTATGGATTTGTCCTAGAGAAGGAAATCTCTCTAAAACAAGCTTCCTTTACAACATTGCCTCTCAGTGCTAGTCAGAAGCTGCTGGAACGAAAACTGAGAACCCACTGGGGTTAAAGGCCTGAGCCTCCCGTGGCCAGTAATGTCTTCCTTGACTCAGCTCCCTGAAGTGACCCACAGATGACCCTCTGACTTAGAAGGCCTACAAAGGTTTCCAGGTCAGGCCAGCAGCTTTCCTGAGTGACAAAGAGGCTTCTATTGTGAAAGAGCCCTGTCTCATTCACAGAGTTTTACAGCGATCCAAGGAACGTTTGGCTTCCATCTGAAAACTTTCTGTGTTTTCCCATAACGTCTCCCCTCTTTTTGCAGTCCACAGAAAATCTGTTATGGAAAGAAGGACAAAAGAGCGGCATGACGCCTTCCAACTGGCAGCTGTCTGGAAATACTCCCATCATCTCCTGCATCGGACTCTCAGCTCTTGCTCCACATCTGTGTACTGAATGCAACTGGCAGCAAGGCAACCTCCCTGACTTACGTGTCCTCCCGGATCCTTGTGGTGACCTATGCCAACAGGTTGAAAAGTCTACCATTACATCTGCTGTCCGCAGAAAGCATGACAATCCACATCTTGGTTGTCAATTCAACACAACACATACCTTTCCTCCTGTTTTGCACCTTCAAGTGCAGAAAACTCACCATGAGTTGCTGCATGTGAATGGCACATCACCCCTTAGTGGTTGAAAAGCTTGGCTACCCTCCTCAGGAAAGGGTATTCCCACCCTGTTCCATTATGACAGAGTGGGGAACCCCAACTCCAGCCTCCATCAGCCCCAATCAACATGGTCAAGAGTCAGGAATGATGGCGCTTGTTGTCCAATGGCATACCTTGCATTAGATAGATACCAAGATCTAGTATTAATTCAGAGTTAAAACATAAGAACATCCCTGCTGGATTGAAGCAAGAGTTCATCTAACTGAATCCGGAGAAAATCCACACTGCAGTCAAAGTAGGAAAGTTACATCCCAACTAACTGAAGTCCAGCAGATTTTAATGGGGACTTAAGCGCGACCAACTTGCTCTGGAACAAACTCCTTCCCAGTGTGGCCAGCTGGACTTTCTCAGAAACAGACAGACATGGTGTCACATCCCCTCAAGCAACTGCTATTCAATTCCTCCATTCTGCCCTTGAACACAGAATCACCATTTCACCATTCTGGCTACTAAATGGGGCCTGCAAGAAAATGTTGCAGCATAGAGCAAATGTTTCTGGCCATGCAGCCAGTCATGGCTTCTTCTAGCATCCTCCATTTCAATCTCCACCCTCCTCTTTTTCCAGTTCTGCACCATTAACAATGCAAAAAAGACAGTTAACTTTCTACACCCATTGGGTATGCTCAGTACCACAGCCAATCAATTTCACTGATGATTCACTGAGCAATGCAAATGTGTCTACTCAGAAGTCTCACTGCTTTCAATGAGCATTCAATTGCAGCCTCAAAGTCCTACTGTTATGAGTGAAAGTTAACCTCTAGCTCTACCCACCTTTCTTGTTACTGGGACTGGGACTCAGACAATCTGGGTTCTAGTCCCCGCTCAGCCATGGAGCCAACTGGGTGACTTTGGGCCAGTCACAGACTCTCAGCCCAACCTACCTCACAGGGTGGTTGTTGTGGGGATAAGATGGAGGAGGAGAATGATGTAAGCTGCCTTGAGCCCTTTGTAGGAAAAAGGCAGGATATAAATCGATAATAATAATAATAATAATAATACTGTCCTCCCAAACTTTGCATCTAAAATTAATGCTCACAGAGAAAAGAACATTAATCCCTTCATAATCTTGACTGCTCTTTTCAGTAACTTTTTCCATTGCTGAGATGAAGTGACTATAAGTAGACACATAACAATGAAGTTCCAAACAGCTGCAAAGTCCACAAAGCAAAGGAATGAAAAAAGATCCAAGTGAGTTGGTTCCAACATCAGTGAGATGGAAAAGAAGCAGTCAGAATGGTACCTGCCTCAGCACCTCAGTTGTGGAGAACTTCTGGAGGAGCTTTACTTTGATAAGGAGAATATCCTAAAATATGTCAGGAATCAACACATTCATGTAGTTCCCATTTGCCTAGTCCCCATGTGAGTAGTATTTTTCCCCTTCTGTTTATGGCCAGAACTACGCTTCAGGTCATCTGGTTAGCACAGTTTCTGAGGTGGTTCCAAATCAATGATCTCCCAAATGTTGCTGGTGCGTAACTCACATTATCCTCAACCACTGGCCATTTCTGGCTGGGGTTGTTGGGAGCTGTAGTCAGACAACATCTGAGGAACCCAACTAATTTAAGCATTTCCATTTCAGTCACCTAGAAAGGATGTTCTATGATCCTCTTTGGCTAGAGCTCTGTCCAACGTTCTCAAGCACTTGGAAACTTATCACCTGTGAGAACTGAAGGCTGATTCCCATCCTGCTAGCCATGAACCTTAAACCTTTTGCCAGGCCTGCAAGTAAGTCCCTCTGAGGGAGGAAAAGGATCAATAACTGGAACCTGTAAGATGAAGGAACCTCAGTCAGAGCCTTGGGTCTTCTCCACACAAAAACTTTCTACCCTGGAGGAAGACACAAATCAACAGCAGGGTTCCCCAGCTCCCACCTCAGGCCCCAAAAAGAGGGAAAGGTCCAAATAGGCAGAGTGGAGCGAGGCTGCAGAAAGCCAGAAAGAAAAAGCTTTACCATGATGCAGCAGACATGTGAGCGAAAAGCAGAGAATGTTCTACCGGGTCTGGGACCTCTGTCATGCAAGCCAATCAAACATGGGGAAAGCGGGACCATGTCCGCAAAGCTTACTGTGATTGGACAAGAGCAGGGGAGTATCACATGTGTATACACGTATCTCACGCGTCACTCACTTTAAAATTCGAGAAAGGGGATGGGGGGGAAAAGAAACAAACAAGGAATCTGAACAGAGGAGAGATACACACCTGAAAACTCCCCTATGGGCCATGTCCAGCGAAGCACAGAGAGACAGGAGGGGGGAGGAGTGGGGAAAAAGAAACAGTCCATCAGTGATCAAAACCAACAAAATAAAAAAGTCAGGATTTTTTTTAATAAAACAAAAGAAAGTAACCATGATTTTGCCATTTCAATGTCAATAGGCATGAAATAGGAAACACGGGACCCACCATGACTGCAAACAGCATGAAACTACGGAGGGGACATTTAGGAATGTGGGGCAGGAGGGTCAGTTTTTCAGATGAAAATATAGGTGAGGAGGGTAGAGACTATTCTAGAAACCCTGACTTAACCTCGGTTTTGATGCCATGCCTCACGTTTTCCTACCGTGCTTTCCAGTAAAACTACAAGATGAGAACCTTTCTGGGGTGGGGGTGGGGGAGTCTTTCTCCATTTTGATGACATCTGGAGGGTACCAGCTAGGGGGAAGACTGCTCTTAGCTGTGTCCACATCCATCAGAGCACGCGAAGGCACGACCCGAGACTCGCCAGGCGTTGCCGGTGGGTTGTGCTCAGCTTGGTGGTCCACACCCGGAGCGAGCGAGTGGGACCTATGCAACGCTAAGCGCTGAACGGATCTCCACTCCTCGCAAAAAGGCGGTGTGCCAGAACTTACCCACTTGCGCATTCTTCTCTGGGTTCCCCTGCCGTCACCAAAAATGCCCTCTTAGTTGAGGGAAAGAAAGGATTACGCTTGAAGGTAGCTGAGCCACCTAGAAACAAAATTCAGTGGCTTCCCCGACCGCCCCACTTGGCCCCCGGCAGTCCTTAGATGGCTAGCTGCCCATCCCTTCTGAATTACTGCTCTACAGGGGGGCCACACGAAAGGATTGCGTCCGTTTCGCCAAGCTGTCTGCCCCACTCACCTGCCAGGTGAGATGCGGCTAGTCTAGTCTTTCTATCGGGGTGGAAAATCTTTGGCCTGCAATTCCTATCATCCCCTAATAACAGACTGTACTGATAGGTGTTATTGGCCAAAGGGTGCTGTACTTGAAAAGGAGCTGTCAGAGGAATGGTGAGAAATTAATCGTGCCTGCACCTTGGCCGATTAAATTCCCTCTATTGCTTTAAGCATTTCCGTTTCATAAATTGCTTCATCCTAAATGTATTTTATTGTGTTGTAAGCCGCCCCGAGGTTTCGGCAAGGGGCGGCATAGAAATGTTATAATAATAATAATAATAATAATAAATATTCTGAGCAGACAGAGCGGAAGAATCTGAGCCCACGCAACTGGGGGCCCTTTCTCTGAGCTTCCAAGGGGCAAAGTTTGCCACCGCAGTGGAGGAACCTGTTTGAGGAGGATGTCACGCTATTAGCGGAGACAATGGGCAGCCCTCTCTCGTTTCAGTGAGCCTGCCACCATCTTTATTTGCAAAATAATGTCCCAGAGGCAGCATTGCTGTGGTTGGGATGCTGGTGGGGAACTGGAAATCACCACACCAGCATGGCCACCTCTGACGGGCACATGAAAAAAGAAAAAGAAGATACCCAAAACTGCTAAATTTTGAGCACTCTCCATCCCCCCCCCCAAATAAAACATAATGGTTCTGTTAGGTTCTTGTCCCCTCAAAAACAAAACTCAGAGAAAGGCCCCGCAATTCTGAATTCATCCACAAGTGGGACATAAAACTCAGTGTGCTGTGAGGACTCAGTCCCACCTGGCTGAATGGTCTGATCGGTTTTGGCACACTGATTTGGTTCACTGACTTGAGCATGCCAATGAAGAGAAAGGGTATAAAATTAGTAAGTGAAATAATGATAAAATAAACATTGTGATACGGCACAGCACTGCCAGGTGAGAATGTTACAGGGGAGGGAGAATAAATCTGTGGTTAAGAGTTTGAGCTTGAGTGCACAAAAGAACTCCACATGGCAAGGGACTGAGAGGGAAAGGAAGCTAATTAAGGCTGCCTTGCTTTGATAGTTCTGCATTTTAGTTCTTAGGCCGTTAATGCATGAATTGACTTCCCTGTTGCTTCTTATGCTTTTGCCTTGAACCTTTTTAATAGTCAGACCTCTGCTGATTAAGGCTATGTGTAAGGGGAGATAACACATAGGATAGGAGTGTGGTCACAGAATTCAACTGGCTTAAAAGTTCACTTTTGTGTTTTTGAACCTTCCGAATTATGATTGGGGTGGGGTGAGTTGGTGCCAGTGGAAGTTTTAGACTGCAAGGCCTTGTGTTCCCAACTATTAGCCAAGTTCCTAAAGGCTCAAGGCTGAGTTGAAGCCCACACAACATCCGTAAGAATGGCTGGGGATGATTGGTGTAGGCAATCCCTGGGGAATCCCCAAAGCCCAAATGTCGGATGAGTAGGATTCTCGGCATCCTATCTCCTGAGGACAGGGAGGCATCAGTGCTTAGTGTAGCTCTTCCCCAGTCTTTGCACTGGAAGGAACCAATTAGGCTAATTAGCTTGGTCAATGAGGAATAAATTATGCAAATATGCTTTAAGCTGCATAATTGATACAGATCAGAGAATTCTATTGTGTACACACAGCCCTACTAAGTAAGTGCCTTTTATTCTTCACAGGTTTCAACTTTTGTTAGGACAGATAATATAGAATCATAGGTTGAACACAATCTTTTTTTGAGCACTATAGTCTCTTCCTCATCTCTGAGCCTGAAACACTGAAATAATCTCAAGCAGCCTTCTCCAACCTCGTGCCCTCTGAACGTGTAGGACTATCTCTCCCAGAATCCCTCAGACAGCCTTGGTATGGTAGTCCAACACAGGAGTGGAACCTCCTTTAATCCATTTCCCAAGTCATTATCACTCAACTCAAAGGACTGTTGTGAAGATAAACAAGCTAAAAAAACCATCAAAGCCACACTCTTTAAGCATCATTTACCTAGCAGGTCAGCGCCTTCATCCACGTCCCCGATAGCCTCCGAGCCCACTTCAGTAAGTTCAGTATATAAGGAGTCGGTGTTGATACCGAAGGCTTTGTTCACTATTCCCTGTGTGGGGCTGTTGTGTAAGGAGAAAAACCACAGAAATGTTGTGCCTGGCAATATTTCATTTCCCTTCACCAAGATTGCAAATCATTTCACCCAAAACAACAACATTTCACAAATGCATTTCACCCAAAGCAACAATAAATGGAGTTCTCCACATGTGCTGAGCCATCTTCTAATATAGCCTATTCCTAGAATGTAACACTGAACATTACAAGAGGAACAGCAAGTTTCCTGCTTAGATCATACAACTTCAGTCACCAAAATTTCCCTGTGTGAGAAAAATAAGCAGGGAGGCATTCAGGAGGGAATTTGACAGCCACCTGAAACAACTTTAATTTGTGGGCCTGCATCGAGCAGGGAGCCGATTCTGATGGCCTTATAGGCCCCTTCCAACTCTACTGTTCTATGATTCTATGATCAACTGGTATTTTAAATGAATGTTTTAGGGCTAAAAGTGTAGATAAAACTGGACTAGTCGTACATAAAACCTCTTCACTTCTCTTTAAAGTCATGTCTATTTCAGTTTGTAAAATACTGGACATATGCAATGGTGCTATATTAGCAAGAGTGTCCCAGAGGGAAGAAAAAGAGCTTGTTGCAAGAAGGAAACATGCCACAGACACAAAGCGTACTACCCCCCTTTCCCACCATTTCCCTGTCCCAAACTATAGTTTCCTGCTAAAGCGTGTACTTGAAAACTGGCATGACTGTGGCTTCTTTATATATAATCAGGCCCTTCATGGTCCATCAATGGCAGGTCACACCAAATCCCAACCAGCTGTGACAAAAGCACTCCCACCTGTTTCCAGTGCGCTCTAGCCGAGGATCCTGACACATGTCCAGCTCCGGGGTAGAGTCGATATCTTGAAAATCTGACCCCTCATCACTGCTGCCCATGCCTGTATGATGGAACATGAAACAAGGATGTGTATTTGGAAAAGTCAAAGGACCTTTGGAATGGGGAAGGGCATCTGTGTCTCCACTTATCAAGGAGGGTATTTGCTGCTGCCGAAAAGCTGGCCTAACAGGAACAAGGCATGCCGATTCTGAAGGGGTTACACTGGTTGCTGATGCCACTGACTGCACTGCTTGGCTCCTAAGCCAAGTTGAACGTGCTTATGCTTAACATGTAAACCCCTACAAGGCTTAGGACTCGGCTCTCTGATAAAGTGCCCCCTCCATTATGTACCTGCCCAGACATTAAGGCTGAGCGGGGAAGCCATTTTGACAGTACCAGATTTGCCTAGAGTTCAGTATGTGGCAACCTGAGGGAGAGAGAGCATTCTCAAGAACTCCTAGTCGGTAAAGCTCCCTCCCTACTCCTATTTATTCATTTATTAGATTTATATCCCACCCCCTTTTTCTTTTTTAAAGAGCTCAAAGCGGCTTACATAACTCTCCCCCTCCTCCCCTTAGTCTGATTCCCACAACAACCCCGTTAAGTAGGTTGGCTAGAGCTTCTGTGACTGGCCTCAAGTCACCCACTTGGTTCCATGGCCAAGCGGGGACTAGAACTCACATTGCCGGAGTCCCAGAACCCTGCTCCCAACCACTACACCACACTGCCTCCCATATAGAGTTGATACCAAGTCTTACAATCTTTTGGTGCCAGCTAAAGACCTGCTGTTTTGACAGAATGTTTCTCTTGCTGCATCACAAAAATGGTTGTTTATTTGTTATTCTTTTTTCATCTGTTTATTTTTCTCCATGCTGTATTTCGTTTTCTGTTTGTACTTGCTTTCTGATTATGTTACAGTGAAAAGCAGGCAAGGCATTTTTAAATAAATAAGGCTGTAAGCCTAAGAAAACTGGGGTATGCTGGGAACTGGGGACCTTTTCCTGTCAAGACATGTACAGGATTGTTCCCGATGCGAACCATCTGAGAAATGCAATCAGTGTTTAAAATAATTGAAGTTCTTGTTAGTTCCATGCACGCAGCCATCTCGGCTTGCTCATTAAACTCTTCCCACAGGATTTGGCGCTGTCTGAGTTGTGGCGACCGCCTGATTCATCCCTAGTCCACTGGCTGTGGTGTTTCCCCTTTCATTCTGGCCCCTCCTCTTCATCTGATTCAGAATCTGCTTCCACACAACCACTGAAGGATCTTTAACAGGTGGAGTGTACCCAATCCATACACCACTCTCAATCCTACTCTCAATGCAGTTAGCTTTTAAAGTAGTTCCAGTTTTTAAAATTGTGCTACATTTCGCTTTAATAATGGGTTTTATGTTTTGAAATTTCTAAAAATCTCTTTGGATGGTCTCAGAAATGTGGTAAAGAAATGAATGAATGAGTTCTAGTACTGCACATAGCAGGGAAGCAATAAAAGCACGGTGAGGTCTTCTTACTCTTGGCCTCATTATTCAGATATTGTTTCTACGGGGATACCCCTCAAAGATCAGCTAAGTTTAGATGCAGGGCTTCATTGTTTCTTTGGAGACTGCAACAAGGATATCCCGAGAAACTGTATCCTTCTCACCTTCCTTTTCCATACTTCTGTGAGCTGATGTTTGCAAAGTCTCTGACGAGTGGAGAGGAGAACCTGCAACATGCAGCTCCATTGCCAAAGGAACTGCACTGGCTGCTTAATTGCTCTCAGACCAAGTTTAAGGTTCTGATACTAGCATACAAAGCCCAAAACAGTCCGGGACCAGGATACCTGAGTGAATCTCTTCTCTCTTACCAACCTGCCCGGTCTCGGAGGACACGCACCTGGTGGTTCCACATGAGCCTGTGAAATCCACAAGAAGAGCCCACATTTCTCTGGAGCGCTCCACCTCTGGTAGTCATGCAGGCCCTTTTTTAGTTTTTTAGGACCTAATAAAGATGTCTGTTTCAGGAAACTTTCCTTACTGACCAGTCATGGTTCTAACGCTATCCTGTTCTAATGCACCTTTTTTATTTTTTACCTGTTTTATTTTTTATATCATTGCTTCAGAATCTGTTGAGAAATCGATAAGTTTACAAATGCTGCAAATGAATAAATAAAAACAAAACGGGCAAGATATTTCACCTGGTTCTGTGCAGATGAGCAGATTTCAAGCGATGCACTGGGTCACCTATTTACCTGCCTGCTTGCAGTGCTAGACCAGGACTCAGGGGACCCAGGTTCTAGTCGCACTTGGACCATGAAGTTCATTGGGTGTCGTGCATGAAGCCCCGCCAGAAACAGTGACTCATGAGGAGACCTTGCACTTGGCACCCTGCACCCAAGAGTCACCCCCACAACCCAATGCAGGAGCAGCTGAACCAGCTATTGCGTCTTCCCCTGAGCCCCAGCTCATTGAGCAAACGCCTGGACCTTTATCAGAGACAGAGAGTCATGAGAAAGAGGCAGAGCAAACTGCCTCCTCCCCTCCTGACGCTGATCTCCCTGAGCCAGAAACAGAAGACACTGTGTCATAGATTTCTCAAAAGCTGAAAACAGATATCTTTTACACAGATTTGAACAAATACAAAGCAGGCAGCGTAAGAGAGAAGAAAGGCATGACTTGGGAGAATGATCCCATGTGGGCTCAGAAGGAGAAGCCATTATAGGACTGACATCTGCTCTGCAGGGACCGCTATTAGGGAACTTATCTATAGTATCGTAAATCTTGTAGACAATTAACATTAAAGGACTTTAGTTTTATTGCTCTGTGGAGAGTTGAATGTTTATACAACCCTTTTCACAACATTGGGTGACTTTGGGCCAGTCACAGACTCTCAGCCTAGTCTACCTCACAGGGTAATTGTTGAAAAGGTAAAAATGGAGAGGAAAACTACATAAGCCATCTTGGGTTCCCTGCAAGAAGTTAAAAGATGCACTATAAATGCAGTGTAATAATTGTAATGATAATAATAATCTAGAAATGCTGTGCTCATGTGGAATCCACACAATCCTTGAAGCCTTGGGAATATGGGATGAAGGATTGTTTTCAGTATGATATGGCCAAAAATTTTAGGAAGCTGGTAAAGCAGAAAGGCCTATCAGCCCCCTATACCTATGCTCACGTTCCTTGTCTCCTGGGCAACCTGGACTTCCATGTTCCGGCTGTTCCGCTTCTCCCGTGATCTCTTGTTGTTCTTTGATGTGATGTAATCATTCACAGGCTGAAGGCTCTCATTCAAGGGAGTGACAGCAGCCGAGGGCACGGACGAGGTGGGTGTGTTGGATTTGGTGCCGGTGGTGCTTGGTGTGGCAGCTGCAGAGGACTGCCCAGATTCTGACATCTCATCTGGTGGGCACTGGGACACAAGGTTGTTTGAGCAGGAGGGGAGGGGAAGAGACAGGTGTGGGAAAGAAAAGGCATCCATATATATCGGTTAATTGTTTCATTTGCTGCCTTGGTGGCTGCCCCATAGCATCAGGGTTGGGGAACCACTCTCATCCCAAGGAACAAATTCAATTTGGAGAAGCTCCATGCCAGCAGAGGGCAAAGACCCAAGGAAAATGGGGCACAGCTAAAACATGCAGCACATTTCAAGAGCTTATGGCTCTTACTGTCAGTAACTCATCTCAGGAGGGGGATTACAACTGTTTAGAATGGGGAGCAGGGAGAGAACTGCTGAAAAACTGGAAAAGCACATAGTGATTGCTGGACAATGGAAAGGAGGTAAGCACAGGAAAAGGTGATGCGGCCACCTGGGTAATCCTGAAATGCCCAAGTTGGAGCTCAGGAGGGCCAGATTTGGCCTGTGGTTCCCCACCCCTGTAATATGATGCATGATTGCGATGTGCTAGGAAGCTCATCCTGGCAGCTACAAAATGAACAACTGCTGGGCCACAGGGCTGCTAAGGGCAACATTCCCCTACAGGGTAACCTATGGGGACTGCATGCGGACCCTGGGCAGGGGCGACTCTAGCAGTGGGCAGGGCTGGAGACAAACGTGGAGGCAGCTTCTTTCCTGCCCTTTCAATCCGCCCTCTCCCCACTTTTCCATCGTTCTCACTGCCCCACGAACTGCAGGAGAAGAGGCAGGTAACACCTGCTGCTGGTCTGAACTGGCCTCTTAACACGGACTTTTGAAACTAGGCCTGAGGGTGGCAGGTTGCCCGCCACTGGTCGAGCAAAGCTTTATGGAAAACAGAGAACAAATCCCAGGATGCAGGAAAAGCAAGATTTAGTCTTTGGAACTACTCTGAGGAATAGAAGTTGCTTAGTCCCCCTACATCCTAGGATTCTGGATGTCCTCCAATTTTTTCTGACTATGATATTCAAATCCCATGAAGCAAAGCAAACAAGTGGTACCAGGCCTGGCCTACATCACAGAGTTGTTGTGAAAGATAAATCAGAATGCTGAAGAAACTTTGTTATACCAAGACAAGATATTAAAGCTGCATGTACGTAAAGCTTGCACATGCTAGGGTTGTATGGAATGTGAGTGTCCAGACACTGCCTTCCACCTGCAGTTCTCCTGTTTTCCCCCAACACTTCTTCCACCTACCACATAAAACCCATGCAAAAGGGGAAACCGCCACAGCTGTATTATGCCTTCTGACCGGGAGCACTAGGAGCCATCTGTCAGGAGGCACCAACCGCCGGATGGAACCAAAACGCTCTACTCACTGCCCTACACTGACTCTCACTCGGAAGCAAAATCAGACTTCAGCTAGGACTGAATGCTGGGCATGCTCATCACAGCAAATGAGCCAGAAGGATTCTGCCAAGGCTCCATCCGTGGGATATCAGGCAGGACTCAGAAAGAGAGAGAGAGAGACAGACAGACAGACAGACTGACAGACAGAAACAAACAAACAAACCTGGAATGGCAAGATGGGCATTTGCACGATGCACATGCCCCACCTGGTGCACTCATGCCAAGCACACGCTCAATAAGGCATGTACCCTGCTTAGCAAGGATCAAGGGAACGGGATTTCACTGTTGGGAAATGCACAGGCCAACCACCTCCAGGCTGGATGGACAGTTCCAGTGCATGCCTGGGGAGGGGGAAACCGAAGGCCAACGGCTAAGGCAGCCCTTTCACTCTCATCCCATTGAAGTGAACTGAGGGTAAAGGACAACAACAAAAAACCCCTTCTTTTGTTCTGTGTATTTGGGAGGAAGAGCAAAAGGGAAGAGACCTCAGTCAGGTAACAACCTGAAAAGAAAACGCAGTCTCTATCCTCCCACCATATACAAGAACTGAGAAGCAGAGAGATTCCCCATCCCCCACCCCCACCGCATTCTTCCAGACATGGTGGACCATTGCACCAGGCAAGCATGGCTGGGGACAATAGGGATTGTAGTCCAACACATCTGGGAGGCACCAGATTAGGGACAGCTGTCATAAGGCCACAAGAGAGTCTGCACTGAGCCTGTTCTTCATCTTCCATGTAACAAATAGTTTGTTATATAGAATTAAATATATACACAATCACCTCTATTAATTGTTGTTATTAGGATATTCTTATCTATACATAGCTTTATGGTACCACGCTGTATTTCTGCAGCTCTATCCCCATTGTTCCTCTTTAGAAATCTGGGAGGGCTTTGCAATAACCAGCCTCTGTAAGGCCCACTTGGAGGGTGCATGGCCAACCTTCAGCTGTCTTTGTAGTGGACAAGACTGCGGTGCGACCAGCTAATCATATACCCTTTTTTCCAGGGACAAACATGAACTATCCGTGGCAGAAAGGTTGTCTTCTTTTCTTGTGGCACTCTTGGCATCTCCACCCAATCCCAGCTGCTAACTCTTGGCTTTCCCTGCTGCCCATTTAAAGAACAGCTACTGCTTTATGGCCCACAAAGATCTCCCTGACTTCAGTCTTGGATGTTCTTGCACTACAATTGCAGCTAGAATTTCACCACTGAAGCACACACACCAAAAGGAGGACAGCAGAATGATGATGAAAGCTGTGAAACGATGGCCACTTAACCCTTTGCAGCCGCATGCCTCTTAAAGGATCTGATGTACTGCCATCAGTGAGAGTCAGGTTGTCCTAGCGGAGCTTGGATGTTGATCGTGGTCAGGAGTGTAACAGGAGCAAATTGGAAGTACACGCCCAAGGCAAAGGGGCCATCAGTGACTGAGTCACTGCAGAACATTCAGCTTCACAGTGGGGGCCTTCCTCCGGGCATAAGTTATACATTTCATTAAGCGGATTTATGCCCCTTTTGATGATGGACTTTCCTATGGAGAGCTGCTGGCCAGCTATGGGAAGCCTGAGAAACAGGGGCATCGTGTTGGCCTGCACATTTCGCAGCCGCAAAGCCCATCCCACAGCAGCCCCACATCCAGGCACGCTCCACAACAGTGGACACGGCTTAAGGTAGCTGCCGAAGCTGCACGAAAGAAATTGTTGGCAGAGATGGGTCCTCAGCTGGCAGCAGTGATCTCTGGGGCGACTGGACAATGACCGAGCAGACCATGTGCAGGGGCAGCACCGCTACCAGGGTGATGGGGAGCACCTCCCTAAAACCCAGGAGACCCATCCGGACGGAAGCTTCTTGCTACACCTGCGGGGAAGCTTTTACAGGCTGGCATGAGGGGCTGTCTGGGACCTGCTAGGAGCCGTAGGCCTTTTCTCTTGCCTAAAAGTGCACAGGATTGTACCCAAAGTGCACAGACCCTGACAAGTGATAGGAGAATGTGTGTTGCTGTATCAGGCCATAAAATCGGCTGAGGAAAAGGTTGCCCTGCACTGGCAAAGCTAAGTTAAACAAAGCATAGAGAGGCTGCAAAGGGTTACAGACACACAGAGGTCCTGCTGTTCTGATGGAGATGCCATTTGACAAGTAGGCCAGGAAGGCCTCATTTCCATGGCGGTGTAAAAAAAAACCTTGTAGCCGGAGTTGGACTGCAGCTGGCCGAGGTCACTCAGGTGCCAGTGGTCCACTGTGGGGGCGATCTTGGCCCCCACCTGCCCACGTACCATGTCATCTGTGAGGGGGATGTTCAAAGAATTGGGACGCCTCTTCATGCTAGAGCAAGAGACAGCAGAGAGAGAGAGAGAAGAAAAAGAAGAGAAAGATGGGAGAGAATCCATCAGAACTTCGAAATGGCGGAAGCAAAACAAGGCGAATAATGTGCGGCCAGCACGGTTGTTTATATTCCCCACAATCACCGTCCACAGGCTTCTGGGGATACATTTGGTGCTGAAAGGAACCCAAGTAACAGTGAAACCTCCCCTAGTTATTTTTTACCAGGTGGTATGTGCAAGAATCATAAGCAGGGCTGTGTGCACCTGCTTCCTCAGAAGCAGAGACTGTAAGATCCCAGAATGCGTTGTTCCATTTTATAGAAGAACTGCCCAAATTTCTAGTCCCTGTGGCGACCTTCCTCAACCTATTGCCCCCAGCTGTTTTGGATTCCAACTCTCATCAGCCCCTGGTCAGCATGGCCAATGCTAGGAGCTGCAGTACAAAACATCTGAAGGGCACCAGGTTGGGGAAGGCTGCTGCCTGGGGTGTGGGAAGGCGGCTTGAGCATGTGAGCGCCTGCTGAAACCTCTGAAGTCACACCATTTCAGTCACTACTGCCTACAGTGACTGGCCCATGTCTCTTTAGGGTGGCAGACAGGAGTCCTTCTCAGCCATAACTAGGCATGCGGGGAATCGAATCAGGAAACTTTTGCCTGCAGAGTGTGCGATTCGCTACTGAGCTACACCCCCTTCCTAGTAGAACCAGAGTAAGTTCATGCAAATTAGCAGAAAGGTGGACTAAATCATAAAAAACCCAGCTAAATAATTCAGATCAGTGTGGTGACTCCATGCTGCACAACGCAGCATCGCCACAGGTGTTTTTCTACAGAGTTTAAGCAGCATCCTGGGGTTTAAGCAGAGTCAGCGTGACCGAGCAACTAGAACTGTGGGCAATGACTGGGGAAAGCAGGAAACAGGGCCTGGATTCAAGTCCTTGCTCAACCTTGAAACTCCACTGGAAGGCCTTGTGTCTCCCGCAGCCTGAGCTCCCTGACTGGCCTGTCATGAGGAATGGAAAGGAGAGGAGAACCGTGTGCGGCACTCCGTGATGCATCCAACATGCTTTTCTCCCAGGCTACCATTTTGTGAGCAAAGCCCCATATGGTAGAGGAACGAGTGAGAAGTGGCACAGTCCTGAGCAAGGACGTAGACCTCGCCCACTGTTCCCTGTGTCCTTCACAACACAAGAAGGCCCTGCAGGATCAGACCAAAGGCCCAGCTGGCCCAGCATGCTTTCCACACAGCGGCCAACCAGATGCCTGCAGAAAGGCCACAGGTAGGACAGGTGCGCCACCTGATGGGCATACTGCCTCCAATACTACAAGCGGCAGAGAGCCATTGGGTCTAGCGGACATGGAGAGTCTTCTCCAACCATCTGCTCAATCCCCTTTTCAAGCAAGCTAAATTGGTGGCCATCACTACAGGTTGTGATTAACAAATTCCATTGCTTAACTATGCACTGTGGGCAGATGTTTTATCTATGTACCTGCAAGGGATGTGCATTTTCTTCCTCCAGTCATTTTCTCTTAATAGGGGAAGCCGATAGATTTGCAAACACGTGTGTCTGTCTGCGTGGAACTGAAGCTGAACCTTACTTTCTACCTCATTTCTACTAACATGCCAAGTCCCACTGATATTTTTCAAGAATATATGACACTCTTCCCTGGAAACTCGACATCAGTGGCAGCGGGGAGGGGAGGCCACCAGCCTGCACAACCCTCTTCCTCTAGTGTGGATCAAACAGGGAGGGAAGAAAGCGTCCAGGCTCGTGTTGGCACCATTACTGCATCCAAGCTTCACTGACTGGTTGCCAGAACAAGTGTTGGCATGTTGCCTGAAGCCTTTTCCCCGTTGTTCCCCAAATGGATTGCTGCTTCTGCTGCACACAGAAAAAAGTGTTTCCCCAGGGATGCAGCTGAGAAGCCATTCCAAGCAGGTCTCGCATGGAACTCAAGGCCCTGGGGACACAGAGGAGGAGGCTGGTGAGCCATGCTCAAACTCCTTGAAGAACGAGGAGCCCTGCAAAGTACTAGAAGGGAGAATTTGCTGGTGGGTGGAAAACAAAAAGCACATTCCTAGGAGCTTTGAGGACAGCCATCCTTGCTTAGGAACCCATGGTTTTGTTCTACTGCGTCCAGCTAAAATAAGCATAAAACAAGGGGAGAAAGCGCTATTTTCTTTGCCTTGCACAAGACTGCAGTCCTTGGTCACCGAATGAACTGATCACCTAAAGACTCAAGAAAAACAAAGTAGTTCTTCATTGAGGGTATAATTAGAGCAAAATCACTGTTGAACTTAAATGCAGGTTCACATTTACCTGTGAGTATTCATGTGCGTATGTGTTTGAAGCAATCAGCTTCATTCAGGAAGGTGATCCAAGGCCACAGGCACATGTAGAAAGGACATTAATGCTCCCCACATGCACATCCTGACATCGACCTGCAAGTTGCTGTTTGCCCTGGGATGAAAGCTACTGAAAGTCCTAAAAGTGGAATCCCGTGGGCAGGGTGGGGTCATATCCAAGACAGTTTGGGCTGTTTGTATAAGGAGACACATTTGGCCTGGCTTGGTTGAGAGCTGTAGCTAAGGGCAAGCCAATTTTGTCAGGATTATGAGTATCGGCGCCTCTTCTCCTGTGAGTGTGTTTTGCTTTTGTTTTCATTTGGACAAGGTATTTCATTGCTGGGATTCTTAACCTGAACTGCAGAAAGGAAAGTTTGCATAAAAATATGTTGTTGTTCTTTATAAATTGACCTATTGGTACACTTCGTGCTTATCTGAAACTTGTGTATGTTTTAGACCGGGGTCAGCAATGGAGCCCTCATGGGCTCCACTGCCACACCATACGCCTTTCTTGATATCCTCTTTAAAATTTTTGAAAAACACATTTTCTTACCAGTATCTGGAACTGTTGCACTGTCAGACCCCTATTGGTGCCCCGCAATCAGCCTTATGGGCAGGTGCCTGCCATGCCTCCCATGGTGTACATTTTGTGACAGTGCCAAGGACAGGTCCTCAAATTTGCAAATGAGCCCTTGGCCCCAAAACTTTGGCTACCCATATCCTGGAAGAGTTTTAATTGATGAACTGCCACAGGAAAGGTGCAGTATTTTACCATCTTTATTATGCATGGCTCTTGTGGATTGTTTTGTGTATAATTATACATGAACTAATCTCGATCCAATCTACATCTGGAAAATACAGTACATGCACAACCTGAATACAGGCACAATCCAGACTTGGTCAAACTTAGAGCCACTGAAATAGATGGTTCTTCGTTTAGTCATGACTAGGGATGTATCAGAAAGTCATTTCAGTTCACTTTTGTACAGGATTTACCCACTCCACACTTTCTGGACAAAACACAGATTCAGAGGAAATCTGAACTCTGTATATTTCTGTGCTTGTAACATGATCCGTGGACCGAAAAAACTGCACTTAATACACCTTAAGTGTATCAAGGTGCATGTGTACATTTGAAACATGCACCTTAATACACTTCAATCAATGGGAGGAGAATGTATCCATTTCAGAGATAGGTACAACTGATGCGGAAAAACACATGAAAATACACATGGATTTTCATGTGAAAAGAAGTTTTGAGATGGAACTCAGAGACCTTACATCATGTTTGGCTGATTTATACCTCCATAGGCATGGCTAACCCAGGTGTCACTGATTTCAGAGGATCTGTTCTATATATGACTAAATCTGCTTCTGGCCCTACGACTCTCTTCAACACCAATAGCTCCTTTCTTCCATGGGCTAGTAAGAAAATGTGTGAGAGGGAAACTGAGGGGATTAATCCCTTCCATCTCTACTAAAGAGCAGGTAGGCTGGGAGGGAGGACAGCTGCTATGTAAAATCTACAGACAGATGTAACCCCACCAGCACAGTGAATGAAATATGTGGTTTGGCCTTTATTTATTATGGAGGGTGTTTCTTAGCCATCATCCTTACACTGAACCTGACCTCCCTCTGAATACCAGTTAGCGGAAATGGAAAGGGATTAAATAGGGGGACTGTGGGATTCTTTCTGAAGGCACCAGGATGGCCATGCTGGACTAGGCTGGAATGGCATGCTGAACTAGACAGGCCTTTTGTCTGATCCACTGGGGTCCTTCTTGCGTTCTTATGTCAAAAATGAAAGGGAAAAGAAAAAAGCTGGGATCCAGGCAGGCACCCTGCAAGGAACTCCAATCGCAGTGAGGGAGAACTGCGATTTCACGCATTCCAAGCTTCCAACATGGAAGCCACAATATGAAATATATGACGCGTAGAAAGCAGACTTACACTTGACTACCAGTGTGGTGTAGCACTTAAGAGCACAGTGCCCTGGGACTCTGCATACCTGGGTTCTTGAAGCTCACTAGAGGACTTGGGGCCAGTCACTGACTCTTACTGTAACCTATCCCATGGGGTAGTTGTGAGGAGGAGGGAGATTATGTAACCTGCCTTGGGTTCCTTCAGGAAAGAAAAGTGAAATATAAATATAATTAATTAATGTCAAGACAAACCCGATTTAGCCCCTGTATAGTCAAATGCTGACTGGTGAGATCTCTCTGGGATTTCAGGCAGCAGCTTTTCTTAGCCTGACCTGGAGATATTCGGAACTGAGCCCAGGAATTTCAGCACAGAAAGCAGTTGCTCTTCCGCTGAGCTGTAGTCCTCTCACACTGTCCCCTTCCCAACCAGAACCCTTTTCAAAGCTAGGGGTTCAGATTTCAGGAGTCCTCTGCAATTTTACCTACAAAGTCAGCCTTTACAAATACTGAATGAGCATAAACTTGCATGATTGCTGAGAGATAATTAGAATAATGTAATTATCTTAACCTGTTTTATTTCAAAAAGATCTGCTTATCCAATTTCTCTGTTTCTGCTTTTGTTTTAACCCTGAAAGAAGGCCCATAAATATCCTATCAGGACAAGATGCACTGGGCTACTTCAAATAAATAGCTTGATATAGTTTTTAAAACCCTGAGATTTTATCTTTTCATTCC